TATATAGACCCTTCTAATATCCCTTTATCTAATTTCTTTAATAAATACCCTAATTTAAATACTATAAATTAGGAAAATAATAAGAATTAGATATTATTACTTTTAAAGGCTTTATATAGCCTTAAACAAGCTCCTAGGCAGTAGCAGTTAAAGATTAAATCTATATTAAAAGATATAGGTTTTATATCTTTAAAATCTAATAAAGCTACCTATTATAACTAGGATAAAAATAATTCTTATTATATTATTACCTATATTAATAATTTTCTTATACTTAATAAAGATATTAAGTATATAGAAAATATAAAAAGTAAAATCTCTAAATATATAGAGATTTAAGACCTAGGTGAAGTTTCTAAATTTCTAGGGCTTTATATAACAAGAGATAAATCTAGAAGATCTATAACTATCTCTTAAGCCCATTATATCTAACAACTTCTAGAAAGATTTAATCTACTAGAAGCAAAAAGAAATAATATACCTATATCTCTAGGTATATTAAGTAGCCCTCTAGGTAACAAATTAGAAGGTTATACTCCTTCTAAGGACCTATTAAAGGAATATTAACGCCTTATAGGTTCCCTTATATACGCTATGTTTATAACTAGGCCTAATATAGCCTATAGCATATCCTTTACCTCTTGTTACCTCTATAACCTAATAGAATTCCTACTTAAGTAAAGAAAAAGTATTTTAAAATATTTAAAAAAGACTATTAATTATAATATTACCTATTAAGGTAATATAGATATTAATAACTCTAATAATACCCTTAATCTAGTAGGATATACTAATTCTAACTAGGTAAGTTATAAAGAAACTAGAAAATCTACTTCTAGTTATATCTTTACCTTATTAGGGGGCCCTATTAGTTAGAAATCTAAAAAACAGTTAACTATATCCCTATCTACTACTAAGGCTAAATTTAATAGCCTACAGGAAGCTATTAGGGAGGCAGTCTAGCTAAAAGGCTTATTATCTAAAATAGGGTATAATATAACCCCTATAAATATTAAAACAGATAATAACATAGCCTTAAGCTTAGCCTATAATCTAGAATATTACTAAAGGACTAAGTATACTACCTTATATTATTATTATATATATTAAGAAGTTAAAAATAGTAATATAAAAGTAGAATATATTCCTACTTCTTCTATACCTACAGATAGCTTAATAAAACCCCTTCCTAGGGTTAAATTTTAAGAATTTATTAAGCTTATAGGCCTATTTAATAATAATAAGCCTATATAATATACCTATATATATAGTATATTTTTCCTACTATTATTAGGATTTTTTATTAATAAGTTATTATACTTATTAATATTTACCCTACACGCTACTGCGTAACTCCAGGGTAACTTTTTTCACTTCACTACTTTTACTCTATAATAGAGCAAAAAAGGGAGTATTAGAAGTAAGAATATCTCTAAGTATTCTTATACTTCTTTATCTTATATTTCCTCTATTATAGAGGTTATATATATATAAGATATATATATTTATAATCTACTTACTTAGTAGATTAATATATATATTGATTACGTAAGCATGCCTAATTACGTAATTAACTAAAGATTAGAGAAGGTACTAGAATGTCTAAGATCTCTCTAGATCCTACCTTCTACCTCTGTTATTCCTATAAGGTTATTGTTTTAAGTTAGGGTTATTTACTTAAGGTTATTATGTTACGTAACTAAGGGTTAATTTATAAGCAGCTTACGTAAGTATAGAATATTCTAGTAAGCTGTATAGGTCTATATAAGGGCTAGAATTCTTCCTGTTTCTAGTTTCCTTTCCTTCTCTCTCTAAGCAAGCAAATAGTTAATAATCTAACTACTATACTCTCTTTTAACTATATATCCTTATATCCTCTATTTATTTACCCTAGGTATAAGTATTTATATCTCCCTTTTATCCTATATTCTTGCTTCTATAGGATATATCTTTATATAAGAGATATACTCTCTTATATTCTCCTAAGCTAGAATTCTCTATCTAAGAGACTAGCTTACCTGTTATGCTAACATATCTTCCTTACTAGCTAGGCTAGTACTATATTATTATAGATAGGCTAGATACCTAACTTCTTAAACCTATTTATAATATTCTTTACTATAAAGGCTATAGTTATTATAGTAGTAAGGGCAGTAATAAAGTCACCCCTTATAAATATAAGGTTACTATCCTATATATAATAGCAGAGCACTTATTATTAGGCTTTCTTAAATAGTTAAAAAACAGCTATATCTATTAGCTAAAAAAGATAGGTAATATAAGGTAAAAAAAAACCTAGGATAATATTAAAGTTAATATAGTATTCTATAAGCTTAATACTTATATAACTAGTAAATCTATTAAAGAGGAGAAGCCTATAAGGTTATTAATCCTTTTTAATAGTCTTATAATAGTTATAATATAGTATTTCTCTTTTAGTTTATTAACTATTTAAGTTAGTATACTATATAGTATAACTACTATAGCTATATATATTATAACTAAAATAGTTACTAAAGGAGTAGCCTATATATATATACCTAGCAGAGTATCTATATAACTTAGTATTAAAGTACTATATATAGTCTATTATAACCTCTTAATTAGAGAAGCCTGTTATTAAATATATAAAGCAGACACCTTCTTAGATCTAATAATCTACTTAAGCAGTAATTAGCTACGTTTTAAAGATTATATATACTAGTATACTATTACTAATTATATTACTATATCTAACTATAGTTAAAGTCTTATAGTTAGATAGGTTAATAACCTCTAGATATAGGCTATATTTTGGCCGCTTAAGGACTATTACGTAAAGCCAGCCGTTAAGGCAGCTAATTCAACACCCAGATTCATCAGCGTTCCATATCTCAGATAGGCCAAGATTAAAGTCCGTAACGTTAGCCCAGTACCAGGCGAAGAAATCCCAGACAGAGGTAGTATCAAACTCAGCTCCCTTCCGGTATACCTCAATAGGCCGGATTACAGCCTTGCCCTCTAGCTCCAGGTGGTCGGCAAGCCAGGTCCGGATAAAGTGGTCACTGTTAACAGCCAGCTGGCCCTAGAGGTTACAGAGGAAGTTAGCGGTTTCTTCAACCTAGACCAGGGCTGCCAGGAAGCCAATTTACTCCATCTATATAACAAAGGCGGCAAGCGCCAAATCCTTAGCTAGGGTTAATAGCTTCGGCCGGCCGCCCTCCTCCGGGCTAGCCCGGAGGTTGCCGCCATCACGGAGGGTATAAAGGTGCCAGCGAATTGATATATTGGATACTCTATACTGCCAGGCAAGTGCCCGTATAGTAGGTATAGCAGAGGGTAATTTACTAGCACGGTTATAGGCATAGGCCTGTTATTAGGCAGCAAAGAGCACTTCAGCTACCTTCTTAGCAGGGGTTATATACTTATCACTTTAGCGGGGCATAATAGATAGGTTAAATAAATAGGTTAAAGTAGGGTAAGTGGTTTAGTTAGTATTAATATCTGTTGATAACTTGTCTGAATATTTGATGATTTTGGTGAGAATGTAACGAAAAGTAGGACAAAGTGGGGACGGGGTGCGACCCCCCTTTTCTCGCTGCGACCCCCCTTTTTTCGCCCCCTCCGTGAGGAGGGGGGATTTAGCACATGAGAATCCTGACTAAGCCCCCCGGGTAGTAGTATGCCAACTCCTCCTCAAAACACGGGATCGAGGGCAGCCGACCGCAAAAGGCAGAAATGGAGGGTGGGATGGCGATACGAAGGCAAGTCTCAGTCTTGGTATGGTAGGGTGTTGGGAAGGAGGACTGAGAGTTTCTTTGGACTCAAGCATTTCCAACACATCATTCTGACTCGATGCGTCAATCCAATTAGGACTTCAAGCAAGGTTCTCCGCTGCCATCCCAACTTAACATACATCGATACACGTTCAGCTACCTATAAGCATCGAGTTTCATTTTTTACCTTCCCTTTGAGTTCAAAGTTATTGCTGCCAATGAAATAAATCTCATGCTTGCAGCTGAACAGATGCTCACCTTGGCATGCACAGCCTGGCCAACCCGCCAAGTGCGTTCATGCATACACAGTACTGTATATGTAAGATATCGAAGGAGAGAAAGCTAAAGCTTTTTCTTAAGTTCGATCTTCGATAGCGTGCTTGCATCCTCCCTGCCACAAGGAAGTCTGCGAGTCCCCGATCTTAGCTCGCTTGATCGTATCACTAAGTTCCGGCTGTTGAAATTACCCTTCGTCGCACAGGGAACTAGGTAGTCCCTCCATGGATAGTTCTTTCTCTCTCTGCGCCTATTAAAATAATCGAGATGAATTGGGGAGTATAATGGAATATTCAGAACCAAGGACGGAACAATGGACTTGTTGTCCCCACGGTGAATCTTCTACATACCGATAAGACCCTTCCATCTCTCCGTGCTCAGTGACCTGCACTTGCTTCGAGAAAGGCGATATGTTTATGCTGGGATGAAATGTTTCGTGTTGCAAGCTTCATTGTCTAAAAGCGTCGAATGATTCGATGCCGATGGACACTGGCTGCTCTCAAGGGGGAGATGTGCTGGACTCTCTTACGGCCAAAAAGGTAATCCTTCGCGCAGACGCTGCTGGGGAATCTCGGGCTGTCCCCGTTTCCGTCATTAACTTTGGAAATGTCCCCAAGAAAACCCTGAAACCATTAGTTGCTGCGGCTGCCTCTATTGGCCCGTCGTTGCCTCCAATATCTCCCCCAATGGATTCATAAACATCTCCGACTGGATCGACCGACTGCTCTTTTCCCCTTGACCTTCTGGGTTATCGATCTTCAAGCACGGGAGGTGCCAGTTGGCTAGTCCATTCGTCAATCTCGATCGGATTCTGGCTTCATGTTCCACTTTGTTTGTTTCGCGTCTGCATAACAATCCCAATACACTGTCGCCAAGATGGATGCGTCCGTCCCTCCCGCGGCATATGCCGACGACGAGAGGACGACAGTCGTCGGATCTGCGGTCTTTTGTGTCCTATTCGCAACGACAATGGTCAGCCTAAGAATATACACGAGAACGAAAATCATTCGAACGTTCGGCATTGATGATTATCTCGCCGTTGCTTCTCTTGTGAGTGAAGCTACTATTATTCGAAAGCAATTTTGAGACTGACCTGCGATACAAGTTGGCTACAGTGGCCTGCGGTACTGCCATCGCAGATAGTGAGTTGATTTAAACAGGTTCTGCAAGAAACAAACAGCTGACCCAAACGAAAGTGACGACACATGGTCTTGGAAGACATATCGTAACCCTAAGCCCGAAAGACATTACGGAGTATATGAGACTGTTCTACACATCGATAGTCTGTTACAACATCGCCATACTCTGCATCAAATTATCATTCCTCTGCCAATACTATCGAGTCATGGTTGTCCCTAGACTCCGCAAGATCTACGCAGTTGCCTTGCTCATCGTGGGTGCCTGGTCAACCTCCCAACTATTCATATCGGCACTCCAGTGTTTGCCAGTTTCCGGGTTCTGGGACAAGTCAGTGAAAGCAAAGTGCATTCCGAACCAGCCGCAGTGGTACGTCAACGCCGCGGGCAACATCATCACTGACGTCGCCGTTTTTGCCTTGCCGATGCCTGTTTTTTGGCACCTCAGACTGCCTCGAAAGCAAAAGATTCTTCTCATGGGAATATTCAGCCTGGGGTTCTTGTAAGTTTGCCGATCTTCGTCGCATGTCATGCGCGTGTCCCGTACGCGATAGGTACATGTATTAATATCTTCCTAGTACTGTTGCCATCAGCATTATAAGGGTCCAGTTCTTGGACATAGAGACCGACTTCACCTGGACAAATGTTAAAGCCTCGCTCTGGTCCCTTGGTGAGATCTCGTCAGCCATAACATGCGCAAGTCTCCCGACTCTTCGCCCACTTCTGACCAAGTTATTTCCGGAGCTGATGAGCAGGGTGAACATCTCATCTGTACCCAGCCAGCAGACGGAAACAGGACATACTCGGCCGACGCGGGCGTACTCAGGTCTCCCGAAGCCACGAGATATGGAGAGGGGCATCGCCGACTCGGCAGGTTCTAGCGCGAGGTCGAGCCATATCAGGGACGACAGATTGGCCACCTACGGACTGCCGTACAATCTCCATACAAACGAGTCGAACGAGACCGTCTTCGGTCTGGCCAGTGTGCTCGAGGATTATAAGACCTCTGTTAAGCCAAGCACTGCCGCCCCGGGTGGGCGACCAGTAGTATGCAACACTTCCAGCAATAAACAGTCGCACCACGTCCGGAGAGATGGAAATGGATTTTGAGCTGGAACTCGGCTAAAAGAAGGATAAGGGAATCATGAAACCCTGTCCTTTGCTGTTTCTTTCTCTCACCTGAGTCTCCTTGTATGCTAGGAAACAAGACCGAGATGGTAAGAGACAAGGCAACGGCGCAAAAACAACGGTAATAAACGAGTTTCAAGGAGGTCGACGTCATTAATGAAAAAAAGAACGAGGCTAGCAAAAGAAATCAACAGAGTAAGCAGGGCAGCACTTACCTTCGACTGGTCAGCCGAAGCGACAACGGTAGGCGTAGCCTCGCAGCTATTGGACATATCAGCGTCGTTGCCCCTGGAGGACAACCTTCTCGAGAAAACATAGGATTGGCACGTAGCATTTGCGATATCAATCAGGCTAGCGCGGGGAACGTGAGGCAACCGCAACAACGGACTATTCACAGTTAGCCGCTTCATATCCCTCTATAATATTGGAGAGTAACGATCTATTACGTCTAAAAACCACTAGGTAGCACGATTAATATATTGGGTATCTTGAAACCACAAAAAAGGCAGTAGGGAAATTCCCGTGTGACACTTTGACCCCTCGTCGTCCTTGTTTTTTCCGTTCACTTCATATCTGTACGTATGCATTACTGGCCGCTCATAAGCCACAACGCCACCAGGACTTTTTCTCGGGCACCTTGTATCCCTCCTCTTGGACGTTATGCTTCCCCACAATGGCGAGAAAAACTTGATCAAGTGTTGTTGGTGAAACGCTGAAATGATTGATACCCAAATACTCTCTCTGTTCCTCCAACATCACAGCCAGCTGACCAATCGCACTCGATGACATGTCGTTTGCAGGCGTGATGTCTTTAGCCTTGTCGCCGCCAAAGACGCTGACCACCTCCTTTGCAGGTACGGAGAAGCGCATCTGGCCGTGGTACGTTTTCTCCTCTACGTCGGCTCCCGGGAAAGTAGCCGTGACCCATTGGCGCAGATGCTTGGTTTCTTCGGGTGTAGTGTGCGGTGCCGTCTTGCTGATCAAATGGACGTGCAGGGCATCGCCGAAACGATGTCGGAGATCATCCGTCGTGCCGACAGCAAGCATGCGTCGAGCGAGAATACCAGCTCGGTTTGCGAGAGCATCGGCCTCCTCCATACTGTGCGTGGTCAGTAGGAGGGACCGGCCTGCGACCGTGGCGGCTAACGTCTTCCACATGATCCGCTTGGCGGCCGCGTCCAGCCCTGAAGAAGGCTCGTCAAGGATAAGGACCTTCGGATTGCCCATCAAGGCGATACCAAGACTCAGTTTGCGCTTGTTGCCACCAGAGAGTGTGTGTGCCATTCGCGTCGAGAACGCCTGCAAACCGACCGCGCGGATAACAGCGTTTACGTTGTGGTCGAGATCAGGGGTTCCCCGTACACGGGCATAGAACTCGAGATGCTCGCGAACAGTCATCAAGTCCATGGCGTCATGTTGGGGACACACGCCAAGGTTTGCTCGGGCAGCAGGCAGATCGTGGATGACGGACTTGTCCTCGATGAGAATCTCACCGCCGTTTCGACTTGGTTTGATGTCTCCGCGAATCAGAGAAATGGTCGTTGACTTGCCTGCACCATTTGGCCCAAGAAGGGCAAACACTTGAGACCTCTGAATACCAAAGCTTACATTGTCGACGGCTGTGTTCTTCCCAAACGTTTTAGTCAGATGAATGACCCGCAGACCGTCATCGCTACTCTGTGTGGTTACTCTTGCCACTTCGTTGGCGACTTCCTCGTCAGCCGAGTTCGCGTCCTCTGTCTCGTCATGGTAACGCCGGTGCAAGAGCCGCCGGAATGAGGTTCCCACGGAGCCACTATCAGCCCACAAAAGAATGCAGAACAAGCAGATGGACTGCAGGAGCAAGTACAAGATAGGACCTCCATATTGGAGGATACCACCCGGGTTTGATGCAAGTTGCCGTCCTTCGCAGGCCGTCGAGAAGAGATTCAGAGCCAGGAACATGGCGCGCACGACTGAGCCAATAGGCGCGATAGCTGAGATGACGAAGTGAACAACAAGGATGTTGTCGTCGATTCGTGGGACGGGCGAGAACGTCACCGTGCACATGTAGGCGATCAGGTAGACCAGGAACATCACCGCTTGCCCGGCCGCGACCCAGGCGTACGTGGACAGCGCTGTCTTGCAGAACAGGGATATTACGTACGCCAAAAGAATGGCAGTCAAGCCGTAGAGCAAAAATACTACGAAAATGAACCCAACATGATACCAGACGGATGACAGGGTAGCCCAGAGGATGGTAACAAGAGCTGTGGATGCCAGAACAATGAGGAAATCGAATGCGAGGTAAGACGACCACAGCGGCAAAACACGGACGCCGTTACTGTACTGGAGCCCGCGCACCCCTTGTCGTCGCTCGAGGCTGGGATACAGCGCAAAGAATCCTGGGTAGCAAGCAAGAGCGATGCCGCTGTAGACGATGAATTGCAGTCCATCTCCATCCGAACTTGCGAAGGGGGTGGCAAATGGTGCCCAGGACATGATGATGGTGACATTGCTAAGAAGCATGTTGAAAATGTTTTGCGTAAGCAGAGGGTTGATGAGACCATTGTAATCGGCCATGTACGCGATGGTTGGTACAGCAGAGTCACCACCCAGCCAGATCCCACCCGGCAGGGTCTCTAGCCGTTGATCAAAGATGGTGTCTTGAAAGGCCTGGAAGCTCTGTACAAAAGTGGAATTCTGTGTGAGAATCCCACCGGCGTCTTCGGAGGCGGAGGCGGAGCCAGCAGCAGCAGCATCGAACGCTGGGAGAAGGACACTAGCGGCAGTGTTGAAATCCAATCTCGAAGTCGGACCAAGCACTAGATTCCAGGCGAAGTCCGTGAGGCCAATTCCTTCTGTCTGGTCAAGTGAACGTTCCTCAGAGGGTGCACATCCACTTTGCGCTTGATCCTTGATGAAAAGAGTGACAAGACCGGCAGCTGCCACAGGCAAAGCGAATGCGGTCAAGTATGGAATCCAGTTGGTTTTGAGAATGGTGATGCGCTTCCGGAAGAGTACCACTGCCTGCTCCACGAAACCAATCTGCTTGCCATCAAGCAGTTGCAGCCCTCCCTGGGGCACGGCACCAACGGGGAGAACTTCGGCCGATGCGGTCGAAATTGTCTTCTTTTCGTTCAGGTCCGACCCTGGGTCGGGAGGTACATCGTCAGATTCTCCACGGATCTCTTCGGCTAACTGAAGAAATACATCCTCAATGGTGGGCCCCGAAAAACGGTATTCGTGAATCCCAAATGCCTCAAGAGTGCGAATCACCTTGGCGGCCAGGGCTGAAGACGGCGAGATATAGCTGATGAGGTCAAAAGAAATCTTCTTTTGAACTCCTTCTACATCGGGAGCGTTCTTAATTCCTGTGTCCTTGTGCACATGGACTCGATACCCACCGCCGAGACGGTCCTTTAGCTCCACCGAGGAGCCGTCGGCACGGAGGGTGCCTTTAGACAGAACGGCGATATGATCGGCAAGGAGATCGGCTTCGTCCAGAAAATGCGTTGTGAGGATTATGGTCCTTCGACCCCTTTCAGCCAAGAGAATATCCCAGAGCTTACGTCGAGAGAGAGGGTCAATGCCACTGCTGACTTCATCGACGCAGCAGACAGCACTTCCTCCGGTAAGCATCATGCCCAGCTGTAGTTTGCGCTTTTGACCTCCAGACAACGTCTTCGACATGGCTTTGCCTTTTAACTCCAAGTCGACAGACCTGATAAGGTCGCGGATCTCCTGCTTGGAAGCGATCTGCCCAGGGGACTTGAGCCTGTTGAAGATCTCGATGTGTTGCTCAACCGTCAAGTCGTCCCACATGACGTTTTTCTGAGGTGCAATCCCGAGTCCGCCAGTGCCGTCAATGGTGATAGTGCCGCTTGTAAGCTTGCTCGTGCCAGCGATCGAGTCTAGTGTCGTGGACTTTCCAGAGCCATTGGCGCCCAAGAGACAAAGAATCTGTCCTCTGCGGACATCCAGAGTCAGGTTGTCGACAGCACAAACCGGGTCATGAGGGTGCGAGATGAAAGAAAACAGACGACGGATTGAGGAAGGGCAGTATATCTTGGTGAAACCTTGCAAACGCACAGCAGCATCGTCCAGCCGTAGCTCGCCGGCCGCCGTTCCGTCATTCTGAGTGCCAGGCGACTTCAGGACTATCTTCCTACCTTTCGTAGTAGTGCCATGAAGGGATGACTCGATTAGGGCCCCAAGTAAAGGGTAGGTAAAGATCTGGATAATCAGGAATACCCATAGAATAATACCGGAAAGCTGCCACGGGCTACCCGGGGCAACCTCGGCCAGATTGGTTGGCAAGTCCTCTCGCTCCCATCTCGCCATATATGTGATAAAGTAGACATAGTTGCAGGGCGTAAAGAGAAAACTAAGCAGTCCCACAGCGGCAGTGCTCGGGTAAGAGATGGATTGTGCAAGGATGCCGAGGAGCATGATGGCGAGTATGGCGGCGATGCCACTGATCTGAGCCTTCTTGAAGAGCGATGAGGTCAAGATGGAGAGGGACACCATGGCGATTCCGTTGAGTAGGTGGTATATCAAGACGATTCCAACGCCGGTTCGCGCAAAAACACCAGCGCGCAGCACCAATGACCCAATGACCCAACCTGGGATGTAGATCAGGCTAAATGAGACATGGTAGGAGATGACACGGGCAGCCTGCGCGTGCCACCTGCGTTTGACGGGCATCATGGCATCGACGAGACGAATCATGCCACTTTCACGCTCGGTTGCGATGAATCCTGTGAGGTGGTATGTGACGAAAAGGACACTCGTCATAAATGCTACGCCCATCCAGTTGGTGATGGCGCTTTGATAGTTGATGCGGATTCTCACAGCACGCTCCTCCTGGGTTATAGACGTGAAAGGGTATTCGTTGACGGTCTCGGGAAGAGGACCCTGCTCCACTTGGGACGGCCCGGACCCGGACGATGAACCGGACTGGATGGAAGCAATAGCAACATCGACCGCTCTCTGTAGCGGCAACAGATAGATCTGAGCATCGTTTTTGTCCGAATCGACATCGACAACAATGCTTCGCAGAGCTCCGTCGCTGCGGAGCGTGTAGTTCCAGTAGCCGCCTGGGCCCTCGGACGGAGAGGCTTGGAACACGACGGCTCCGTAGCATTGAGAGACACCGCGGAGGTTGGTAGGACAATCGGTCCCAAGATCGGCAGTGGACGAGCGGCGGAGGACCGTTTTGCCGGCGCTTTCTACAGAGGTTGCTAGGGTATCGATGACCCTATCGATGTCACCTCCAGAGAAACCGTTGTTTACGAACACGACGGTTCCTCGACCGGAATCTGCTGCAACGTTGAGGGCGTCCGGGAGGGATCGAATGCTTCTCGGATCTGAAATGCCAAAGACGGACGGCGGCACGAATAGATTCTTTGCAAAACTAAAGAAGGTCGTCAGAGCTATGGGTAGGATGAATGCGATGAAGACGGCCGCGACGGCGTGGCGAAAGATGATGGCCCAGTTCTTCACCGTGAGGGTCCACGTCTGGCGAAGGAACGCCATTGTTGGCGAGAGTCGCCTAGAGGGGCGGACGCTTGAACCCGTCTTTTGTTTCGTGGGTGTCGTTGTCGAGGGAGTATGCGATTGAATCGATCTAGGTATGATGACCGACACTTGAGATCTCTGCCTCCGACTCGACTATCAGCGCAGTCTATCTAAGATGTAAGCGCGACGCTGTCGGAACTCCGAAAACAAGGGTAAATGTGGAGGCGCAAATTAGGCCAAGTCGCTGGCAACATGGGATATGTACAGTGATGTTGGTGTTGGTGACGCCTCAAGATAGGTAGGTAGGCGAAAGACGGAGGATAGTTTGGATCAAGGTGATGGGATGGTGGGAGGGGCGAGGTCGGGATGAACTCATTGAACTAGGGGTTGCCCGCCGAGTGGAAGATTGCAGAAGCACTGAAACAGCAAAACGGAGCAAGACACGAGCGGCTACAATCTTGTGACCTTTGCGGACACAAAAACGTCGGTGCCGGTGGTGAGTGATATAGAGAATTTGAACGCGCCGAACGCCACCAGCACAATCCGTGTGGACGCCGGGCGTCGTGTTTACAGTGCTTCGCCATTAAACCAGAATAATTGTCCCGAAGTCCGGGTCAGACTGTCTCTCCTCGCCCCTTGTCCAGGTTCATCTCGCTCGCTTATCACGTACAGGTACGGAATGTATGTTATGCTCGGATCTCATCAACCTCGCTTAACTGACCGCGCCTCTGGCAAGACTTGGCGCTGTTATGAGCCCGGGCGAGTGGCAGAGTGTCTGCCACCACCCAATAGTACTAGCAACCTGCCTGCCTACCTTGCAAGTCCTTAGGTACCTACCTATTCGAGGTCTGGGCGGGGCCGAAGACACAGTAGCCTGATTCATGAATATGATCGACGGCTCAAGTCGTAGCCAAACATTCATTCGCGATGCTCCATCATCCATCTAGGTCGTAGGATAGACAAGCGTCCACTCAAGGAAGGGCATGTGTATGCTTACTGTCGTGCGGGATATGCTGGCCTCCTTGGGAGTCCTTCTTTGTAGCCAGATCCGGTGTGGCATTTCGCACATCTCCACCTCTCTAGTCGGGGGCTGCAATATGACGACGACTCATGGCCTGTACTACTTGGCTAGGACGCGCGTCCCCTGAGCCTCGATCGACTGCTTCTCCTCGTTGTCTGCTTGTCAGAGGTGGTGTTATGAGCTTGACGTTGCAACCACCTTCAAGGTGGACGCTGCGCCTTCGCTCTTGGCCCGCCTTCCAGCGACGATTAGTCGGGCCTCGGTTCCTCCTCTGCTTGTTTCCGAAACTCTGCAATAAAATGATGCAAATGACGTCGTCCATGGACTGCCAAGAAGACGCACTACCTGAAGATGATGAAGGAGGCCATAGAGGTAGGTAGGTGGCTTGGCGCCGACGACCAACACAACATTCGTCCCTTCTTATCCGTACCGCCTCAAGTGTCGTTCGATTCGTTGGTCACATATGCTTAACTACCTATCAGCTGAACTTTATTGACAAATGCGATTGACTTGCCAGCGCTGTTCCGTATTCAGACGATGCTTTAAAGTATGACATCTCTCTTGGTCTAGCAGCAACAACCATCATTATTTTCGGACATCAACCCTGCTCATGCTTCCGAGTCCCCCAAAACCCCTTGCCATAGCTGACTAGAATCTCCTCCCCCTTGCTGATACCCGCCTTCCCGCTCCCGCTCTTCCCTTCGGGCAGCACCCAAACAGCCATACACCGCTGCCGAAACCTCTGACACCAAACCTCGCGAAACTCCGCGTTAGGCCTGTCCGCAATCCCCCGATAGTCATTCACGAACCGCGCTTCATTGCCGCCCTTGTCCGCGTCCACCGCGACTTCAGCCTCCCGGTCCAGCCACAGGTCGTAATCCGAATCGGACGGCATCTCCGGGTGTACTGTGCCCAGGTACGGCAAGACAAAGGTCCCCGGCTTGAGGTGCCGCGTTGCAAAGAGCCCGCTCTGTCCCTTGGCCGGGTGCCTGTCGTCCGTGATGGGCGTGATCTTGACCAGCGGACTCGGGAGCACCGTAGCCTGCGCCGGTATGTCGGGTACATCTGCCGGCTTCTGGCTAATTGCCTGCCGTTGGGCCGCGGTTAGGAGCCGAGAGTGCACCGGGGCTGAAAGGTATGGCAGCCTACCAGGCCAGTTCTTGGGCTGTGCCATTAGGTCCCGAGGCCTTCGGTATACGGGAGGCAAACAGGCTGAGCTGAAAGGTTTCTTTCGACAACTTGGCTGAAGGGTTTTCTGTTCAGCAGTTACAGACACTGGCGCAATTAATTGTCTGGCCCCGTAGGAACCAGAGGGCTGACCCCACCCATGCATTTCCTTCCATGCCTTGACGCCGGACAGAGCATGGACATGTTCGGACGACCCCGGCAATTTCTGATACGGCATATCCGTATCCGTGTCCGTATCCGTACTCTTCACGACAATCAACGATGTCGTAAAAAGCACTCAGCAAGTCGGACTAGAGAATCAACTCATGTCTTGTGGACAATGTTATGATCGAAAACGCACGTGCACTCTAATTACTACAGAATGCAGCTACACCTACAACATAATACATTATTGCTTCACAACCCCCCCCCCCCCCCCTTCTTTTCTACCTTGCGGGCTTGCAAAACAAAATGCCCAGCTACAGAAAGTATTCTTTGCTTTCACCGCCTCAGATCACCATACCCCCTGTCTCGAAAAAAATCCCTTCATCTTCCTCCTGCCATCAGTCCTCGGTAGTAGGAAAGGCCCAGGTGCAGCGAATGCTTGAGGTGAGCGTCTTCTGTGAGAGGAAGACCCAACACCCGGGGAACGTCCTACGAAAGAAACACGTCAGTATACTATCGAACATAGAAGTATTCGTGAGCCGCAACATACCTGCTCTTGCCTGGACGCTTCTGCCATCACTTTGGCCACGGTCGATCCCATTTCAGAGATAGCTGCCAAGCTCGTGATGTGGGCACTCTCGGCGTTTTCACGCATGGCAGGTAAACCTGCAACCAGCTTTTCGAGCACGGGAGAAAGAGCTTGCTGTCGTTGCCTCCGGCGGTTCACCAGTTCAAGGAACGCCTTGTAAATCTCACCGCCAAGAGTCCAACCTGCGATGTCGTCGTCGTGGCCTTCGAAGCGAGATAGGATCGCTGTCAGCTCGTCGTAGTCGCGACTGATAACGGCAGACGGTGCCACCTTCCGCACGAAGACGTCGTGGGCCTCTGCGTACGACCCCGCCCGAAGCAGACACTGAACCTCAGCGGAAGCATCCTTCTTCACGGCCCTCATGTAGAGAGCCTGAGCCTCCCAGATCCATGCCGCCGGGATCTTCAGGGTTTGGGTAAGAGTCATAAAGTTGATACCGGTTTCGGGCCCTAGAAGACTGGCATGGCGGCAGAGATTGTCCTGCACATCCTTGGCCCTCATTTCGGGCTGGCTAAGGTGCAACAAGACAAAGGTAGCTTCGAGCCAGCTTCCTTCGTTAATCAACTGATCGGCGAAAGAGATAGTCAAGGCATCAGCCTTTTCAGTTGCGTCAGGACCATAAGATACCTTATTGGTAGAGAGCAGGGCGCGGCTGAGTTGCCAGCTGAGACGGACGTCGAAAGGCGACAGCTGGCTATTTTCTGGACGCAACACAGCCTCCAAATCGGCCTGCTCGTCTGCGTAAAGTTTGAGAAGGCCCCACAAGAGGTCCTCGCGCTGATCCTGATCCTGATCCTGCCAAAGCGCCGGAATGCCTTGCTCGACGAACCATGTTTGTGGCCGCTGCTCTCTACCTTGGGCAACGTCATCCTGGAATATACGAACAGCGGCAGAAATATCATCTTCGCGCGAGATGGAGTACCAGAGACGAAGGCCGAAGGCCTGTTTCCAGTCCAGACCAAACCGCTTGGAGATGACAAATGACTCAATACGGTCTTCGAGAGGAACACCCTTCTTCCCCTCGCAAACGCAAGAGTTGCCACTGAGAAGTTCGTATATTGCTCGGATAGGATCGGCAAACTCGGACAAGAAGTTGGCATCTTGCCATTCGCTTAGCTGCTCGCGCATGTCCTTCTTTGACTCATCGTTGCTCCCAATCAGAGATACCAAGGTAGCAAGGCGGAAGTTTTTGCCGTCGATAAGATATTTGCAAGCGTCTTGAATACGGTGACCAGACAAGGCAGCAATCGCCTTTTCTTCGCCCGATCTGGCGAGGGCAATGGATCGTGACGATGCAGAGTCGACGAGCGCCGCCCAAAACTGGGACAGGTTGTTTCTTCGGGACCGAGCTTCGGCGGTTCTGTCGACGGTTCCAACTGTGTCAAAGAGAATACTTGCAAGCTCCCAGACGAGCTTCTCGTGCATGTTCGTAGGATTGCTGGCGTCCTGATCGTGGAAAAGGGACTTGAGCGTCGTGGGGTGTAACGACAGCTCCAGAATGCCCCCGGCGAGCTCAGCCCGAGTCATTTGAATCTGGTTCTCAAGTGTTTTCGCGGACGACTATTTGCAGGTCAGGTAATGTCTTAGTATTTTCCACCCGGAATTGACGCATACCTCATTGGAAAACTTGGCTGATTGTATCTCGCGACCCTGAGCTTGGATGACATTCTTGGTGATCATAAGGCTGTCGGCCATGTTTTGTCTGCCAGCGCCCTCGAGAGATGAGCGCGTGGAGGCAAAAATCAGAGTTCCGTCGGGTCCCCAGCTGGGCCGCATTGAGTTGTAAAAGGAGCGGTCGGCGTCACTCATGTCGGACTGGTCAACGAAGGACTTAGTTTGTCGTTCATAGGGCCACTAGATTGATATTCGCCTTAGTCACAGTGATCACAGCTTAAATACAGGAGGGCCATGCAGAATGCAACCCACGCAATGCAAACGGGGTCAGACAATCCTTAGACCATGAAGTATTCACCAACCTGAACGAATCCTCTCGAAGGCGCAGGCGCAGACGGAGCGGGAGCCTTGGCCTTCTCAAATAGCGAGTTCATCAGGTCGATGCTTGTAGCAAACCCGCGCCCGTCCGACACAACTCGGCTTTTCTGTTCTGTTGTCTCAACTTCCTCAACAGTCGGTCGCAATGCTGCCTCATTCACACTCCGCAGCAATGCTCTGTCTCTCTTCTGAGGACTAACAGAGCGTTGGAGCATATCCATCCACTCGTCCCCTCCTGCAACCTGAAGTTTTATTGGAGTAGCCGAACCCTTCAGTGCCCGCATTCTAGCTCTGAGAATGCCACCCGGTGTTTCGATTACTGGGGCTGCAGCATCACTCTCTGGCGATTCGCTTCTCTGCTCCGCGGCTAGATGGCGTCTGAGGGGGGTTCCCGCCGTGTCCTCATCCTCAGACATGCCATATCCGATGTCCTGGTCGTCTGCCTCCTCTTCCGTCGACAGAATTAGCGCATTGGACGTCGAACCCGCGAAGCTATCCCCTAAAAAAGACTGACGCTGGGCAGGTGGTTGCGTGTCTTCAACCTCGTCAAAGTCTTCGTCCCGATAATCGAACGCACCAGGGAGGGCGCGACGCTTGCTCCTGCGAAAATCGAATGTGTCATCTTCCTGTGGGCTAGACTCGGAATCGTCCGAGTCCTGTTGGGAGACATTGCTGAAAGATGCATCGTCGCGGGACGGCTCGTTGGCAGGTTGCTCAGCCTCATCCTCGTCCTCGTCGTAATCCAATCCGTACGTAGTGAAATGTTCAACCGAGAACTTCCAAATGCCAGTTTCAGTATCGTAGCTCTCAAACGTTGTGTTCTCAATGCGCTTGAGGCGCTCTACGTGCTTGTGGAATCGTTTGGCATCGTTGCTGGGCCGCTTGTCTCTGCCACGGGGCCAAGACTGCTCCAAAGAAATGGTAGCTGGAACGTTCAAGCCCTTACCCACAGGAGGCTTTTTGGCTGCGATAGGATAGACAGTCGCCGAGCGGGTTTCCAAAATAACAATGCCTCCAAAGATCTCGTCCAGGTCGATGTTTGTAAGGTCAACAGGTACTTTGAATTGCACACTGCCAACGTTGTCCCTGCCCACTGTGAAGCCTGTGACTTGCTGGCGCTGCACTCTATTCATGGAAGCAAGCACCTCCTTGGTGGGGCTCATCCAGTAGGCGCCAGGGGCTGCATCGAAACCTTCCTTATGGTCTTCGGGAGGCTGTGAGGACGCATCCTCCTCATGGACTATGGCAAGCTCCTTGCCCTTGCTTGGGTCCAAGCCTTCGGGTGTTCCGGCTGCTGATGTGGTTCCATTGACACTGACACCAGCGGGCGCTGCCTTCTGTGTAACCGCATCACCTCGAGGGGTAGACGTGGTGTCATTTTCGTTGCTACCTTCGGAGGCATCCATCGTGCTCGTGTCAAAACTGACTCTCTTGGACAACTTACGAGAGCTATTGACATGGTCGGAAGAGGGCTTCTCCTTCGTAGGGGTCGAGAATAGATCGCTCCGCATGTCCTTGTTGATGATCAGTTTTTTCACACTGCCGTTCTGACCGTAGTAGCGAGGCCCAGAGCTGGCCGAGAAAGCACCGGGGGCAAGAATGCTGTCCTCGGTATTAAAGCTTCTCCTCAGGTTGCTGGTTGACACACTTTTGCTCAAGCTTCGGTTCATGGACGAGGAGCCGAGCAGACTCCGGCTAGTACCGCCGGGAGTACTTGCTGCGCTTGAAGGGCTGGCACCAGGAGTACCGTAGGTGCTGTAAGAGAATCCGAAACCCCTCTTCTGAGGCGTCGCATAGCGAGCGGCTGACGCAGGATTCAGCTTGTACATGGGTAGAATGGAGCTGCGTCTAGGCTTGGATTTGCTAGAAAGAGGTGTAGCAAGTGGGCCTGGGTTTGGCGTCTCGGATCCTCCGAGGTTGGAAAACAAGGAGGGCGAGCCGTACGCAGAAACATCGTTGATACTGGCCGTGAGGGACTGTGGACCAGCATTGACACCTTGGGAATTGCCCAGGAGCGAGCCTCCGAGGAATGAATTCTGGGGCTGCTGCTGCTGCTGTTGGTTGTTGTTTCCAAACAAGGAGCCTTGCTGCTGCGTGTTCTGACCTCCAAACAAGCTACCACCCGCAGGCTGAGCTGAGCCAAAAAGCCCGCCTGGCTTCGTCTGATTTTGCCCACCGCCGAATAGCGATGACTGTCCGGTTTGCTGCTGCTGCTGCTGCTGCTGCTGATTGTTTGCGCCCAAGCTGCCGCCGAACAGGCCACCTCCACTGTTTGTGTTCTGGCCAGTCGTGTTAGATCCGAAGAGACCGCCGCCAGTGGCTGTTGGCTTTGCTCCAAAGAGTCCACCGCCAGTGGTGTTATTTGTGTTGGTAGTACCGAACGTGTTTGAGGTAGTGCTTCCACCTCCAAACAGACCTCCTCCAGTGCTTGACGCTCCGCCGCCTCCAAAAAGACCGCCACCCGCTGCCGGCTTTTGCTGGTTGTTTCCGAAAAGCCCGCCGCTCGTCTGCTGAGGTTGTGCGCCGAAGCCTCCACCTCCACCGAATGCAGAGCCCGTGTTCTGCTGCTGGGGCTGCGACTGGTTATTCCCGAAAAGCCCACCACCCGCGGATTGGCCAGCGTTACCGAACAGACCACCTGTGGAGCCGGTGTTGTTGGTAGTGTTGCTATTCGCCCCGAAGCCACTGTTTGTGGTGCTTCCAAAACCACCGGTAGTGCCGCCTCCGGTGTTCCCAAAACTGAAGCCTGCTGGTTTGTTCTGGGTTGTGTTGTTGGTGTTCGAGCCGAAAAGACCACCACCTGTGTTGGTGTTTGTGGAGCCAAATCCGCCGGTCGTGCCCGTAGTTCCGAAGCCTCCGGTACTTGCTCCGCCGCCGAAGAGCCCGCCGGACTGGGTGGGCTGCGACGTGGCTGTAGTGCCACCGCCAAAAAGACCTCCGGTAGCCGGCTTAGCGGCATTGTTTCCGAAGAGACCACCGCCGCCAGAACCGAATCCTCCCGCAGAGCCACCGCCGAAACCGCTGGTTGTTGATGTGTTGGCGGTGTTGCTTCCACCTCCAAAAAGGCCACCTCCGGCAGATGCGCCCGTTCCGAAGCCCGAGGACGGCTGGTTAGTTGTCGAGCCGAACCCACCACTGCCGAAGTTGGAAACGCCGAAAGCACCTGTACCACTAGCATTGCCGTGACGGCGTCCTTGTGCGTAGTCAGCCAGTCTCAGTTCCTCGGACGACCACTTCTTGTACGGTTCCTGGAATAAAATGTTTTGGAAAGAGTTTGACTGGTTGCCTGCTCCCGTAGTTTCCTTCTCTTGGTGTGCTTGGAAAGGGGTGAGTGCGGTACCTGGCGGGTCACCAACATTGGAACCGATGCCGGGGTTCATCGATGCACCGAAGCCACCACCGGCGGCGGTGGTGGTACTGCCAAAGCCGCCAGAGGTGTTTCCACCACCAAATAACGATGTGGTACTAGGAGTGCTGGTGTTGGTGGTAGAGCCAAAAGCGGGTTTGTTGGCACCGCCAAACAGTCCTCCGCCAGAGGAGGCTCCTCCAAACGGGGATGAGGTGTTTGCTGTCGTGTTGGCACCGAAGCCGCCAAAGGTAGACGTCGTAGCTGTATTGTTGGAAGTGTTCGGGGCACCAAATAGGCCGCCTCCGGTGGACGGGGTGGCACCAAAGGCAGGTTTCGCAGCCCCGAAAGCCGTGCTGGTGTTGGATCCAAAGCCGCCTGTGGAGGCAAGAGTTAGCATAACAATCTTTCAAACCCAGCTCCAGACTCAACCAGACTGCCAACAACGATGTAAACAACCTACCCGATGGCGTGCCGCCAAATGCACTGGTTGTGTTGCCGCCGGCACCAAACAAGCCGCCACCAGTACTGGTGTTACTGGCGGACCCAAATGCATTGTTTGTTGTGTTGCCAGAGCCGAAGCCTTAAGCACACGGAAGTTAGTTGGCAGGCCATCGGGGAAGCTGAGATGATGGACCAGGATGGTGAGGTGTGTTGCGACGAAGCAGATTTCGACTTACCGGTACTAGGGGTGCCCGAGTTATTACTGGCCCCAAATCCTCCAAAACCAGTCGACTGCTGGTTGTTGGTCGAGCCGAAGCCGCCGAAGCCGGTGCTGCCAAAGCCAGACATGATGAGCAATGACTAGCAGCGACGGTTCGTGATGCGGTCAAGGATAGGGGAGTAAAGGATAGATGGCGCGAAGGTCCGCCAACTCGTGGGCGCTGTGTATGTCGCCGATAATCAATTACAGACAGACATGCAGAGCAATCCGATCGGAAGGGGCCGACGGGGTTGATGGCCTATGAGCGCGTCGGCTGGAACGAATGGCGATGTGACTTGATGTAGGAGGTGCGTTTAGTATAGCCGGTGGTCGAGGTTTTTTTTTCGATGGGTGCCGCGCAAGGAAGGGAAAGATACGTGGAGAAAAAGTGGCTGGGGTTGGCGGAAGGTGCACGCGCGCTCTGATGACGGGCGCGAAAGGGGCCAAGCAGGGGGATGAAAACAGATGGAGAAAGGATTAGAAGACGAGAGCAAAGTTAACATGCAAATTCCTCTGGCCCGTTGAGGATTGCTGCTGCGACGGAAATGTCAATGGCGGTTGACACGTCTGTTTCGCGTTCCGATGCGAAGAAGTCAAATACCCTTAAGTAGGTTGCGCTGAGGTCGGATAGGTAGTCTCTATGGCGCACGAAGAATAGTACTGGTACGCTTAAGTAAGAAGGCGGTAACTCCCGTAGCATACCTAGGTAGGCGCCTCTTCCGGCGGTTTCTGCCTGAGGACCAGTTCCGACTCTGATTCGGCCAAATAACAGAGCTCGAGGCTGATGACCAATGAATGGGCTCGATCGGCATACTAGGCAGGAGCAAGGAGGATGTAGCTTCTGCCTAGGTTAATTAGTAATAGTACCTCTGCGCCTGCCCAATCACGAACTCGCTGCCTAGGAGGGAACGCCCTGCTTGGTCACGTCAGGTCACCAGACCACATTTGGGTACATATTGTTGCGACCTCAAGAGTGACCTTATGAACGTAAGTGGGAAGAAGCTCATGTGGGGAACCTACCTGGTAGGCTGACATGAGAAATGAATAGGTACATTGCTGGGTCGGAAGCTACTCGACTACCAGTTTTTCCAACCTACCGATGATGTCTACCTCCTCCCGTACCCTGAGTGTTTCCCCATTAGTTTATCTCCAACCCTAATGGAAAACTCCGACGATGGACCAAAATAATATAATGAGCATATCGTCAGTTTAGTTCTCTAGGATTCGTCCATGCCGAAGCCGGGGAGACCGTTCCTTACATGCACCAATTCCCTCGCCACAAGCATCTCTTCGAGGACCCTTATGACGGGCCACGCAAAAGATAGGTAGCAAGCTCATGTTAAAGCACTATGCGCAAGCTGTGTAAATGTAAAAGAGGAGCAAACCGCCAGCCAACTATGAACAGGAACAAGTTGAGTCCTCTGACGGGTATGTATCCGCATTGCAAAATAAACCCCCCTCCCCCCCAATTCTCTAACAATAAGAAAGTATCTTTAGTAATCATGCCAACTACGACCTACGTGGATAATGCCGATCGCTAGCAGCCGGCATGGACCGACTCGCTCTTATCCACGAAACACAACTTAAAATTGAATGAGGTCTTGCGGCTGGGAATTCTGCTGCGGTGGCCTCGTTGCCGCGAATGGGTTGTTGCTTCCATTGATACCAGCGGGACCCGTCGCGGCAGGCATTTGCGTACCGCCGTAAGAGATGTTGGGCATGCCTGTATACTGTGATCGAAGGAATGGGTTGCTCCCCGTCGCCTCCGCCGTAAGACGTTGCGCACCGCTGCCCGCGCTGTTAACGAACGTCCCAGGGGCCGTGTGCTGCGCGGGGATACGCGTCTGGCCCGTGTTGCCGAACGTGTCCATACCGTCTCCTCCGGCAAGCAGAGCATTGAGCTTCGCTTCATGCTCAGTAAGCTCCTTCTGCGGGGCCCCGAACGTGTTGACGCCTTGGTTGGAATTCGTCTGCGGTTGGTTGAAACTTGGCTGGCTATAGCTGGGCTGGCTAAAAGTGGATAGGGTCTTTTGCTCAGGTAGAGCGGGCATGGACGACTGGCTCTGGGGCTGCGGCCGGCTGAACGACGAGGCAAACGGATTGTTTGAGCCCGTCTGCATGGGCTTCATCGGGTTGGCCGGCTTCATCGAGCCAGTGGACCACGGGTTGTTGCTCCCAGGCTGTGCAACAGGTTCTTGGGGGGCGGGACTCTGAACCTGTGCTTGAGCATAAGGGTTGTAGCCCGTTGGCTGCGGTTGAAAGCCCTGCTGCTGCTGGCCGTAGGGATCAGTCATGTTTTGCTGCATTCCATACACACCACCACCGTAGCCGTTGGGGAAACCGGTCGCTTGGGGCTGCTGATAGCCCGTGTAGGCATTGGGCATGTAACCGGTGGGTTGCGGCTGAAGCTGGTTTTGGTCGATGGGGTTCGCAAAGAAGTCAACGGCACTTCCCTGCTGATACCCTTGGTTGAAGCCGGTGTATTGGGGTTGCGTCGTCTGGACGGGGGTGTCATCGAAGAGTAGTGAAGCATTGGTATCTTCCATCTCACGTCGGCGTCGCTCGTCCTCCTCCTTGCTTAGCTTTATGGCCTTGGCGAGATCGTCATCTTCGGTTTCGTGAGCAGCACGGCTAGCTCTTTTCCGGCGATCCTCCTCCTCCTGGTGCTTGCTGGCCTCGATGGCAAGTCTATACTCGGTGTCGTCCTCGTTACTCATCCGGCGTCGGACGCGCGGCTGCGTAGGGCTAGTATGCTGAGGTGCGAACTCTTCGAGGCCGGTGACGCGAGACTTCCATGACTTGCGATCGCTTCTCTCGGCTCGTAGCCTCTCCTCGTCCAAGATGAGGGCTGTAAGTTCTTTGGCAGCGACACGCACTATTCAGTTGTCAGCAAAGCAAACTCGGAGGTAGTGATAAGAGGTCTATATGTCGCGTACCATTCTGGCCAACGTCTCTACCGTCTTCGTCAACGTATTGAAACTCGCGCAATGTCTTGATGATGTAAATGCTCTGCCTCGCCCATGTAACGACGAGCTCGGAACCCTCGTGCAGGCAGTAATCCAGGACCTTCAACGCTTTCAGGACGTGCCTCCAGTTCTTTCCCTTGTCGTTCAATCGCTTGTCGAGCATGTCCATGATCTCATAGAACTCGGTGGATCTGGCATCATATTCAGTATTCGGCCTGGCCCGTGTGGGTACGGAACACCTACGTATTGTACGTGAGTTGAGCGATTTCGCTCATCTGAGTTCCGGTCGGACCCCATGGGTCGTTGCTGGTGGCTGAAAATGCATGTTTAGCAACGGCATAGGGAAGGAGAGGGAGAAGGGAGCGAGCAGAGCGACGCACCTTCTCTGACCTTGACCTGGACGCTGGAGTAACCCTTGGTCACGTTCTTGACGCTTCGCATGACCTTGGACATTTTGGCGGTTGTATATCGTCGTCAAGGGAAAGCTGAGTGGGCAATGGTGTCTGTAGATAAGGAGCGATGGGATTGACATGCGATGCCCGGTCTGGCAGGAGGTTGGATGTGGTTCGGGGAAAGTGGGCTGCCAGATGCACTGGACGACGGCGTAAGAGTAAGGTAAGGTGACCAGGTGCGATTGGGCGGCAGAGCGCTTGGGCCCAACGCAGGTGGAATAATGATGCGACGGGCAAAAGCACAAAGACTCGGTCGCTGTTGACAGTGTTGATGGACGGCGAGATTGATGCGCGGCCAAGCAACAATACCTGCCGACGATGGAAAAGCGAAGGTTTGGATGTGGGAGGGGCGGTTGTGACGACAGTACGGTCCCACGAATCGAATGGCGGCTGAGCGCTGAGCGTCGCAAGCCAAGGGTCGGTTCTCGTTTGGGGGGTGTTCACTGAGGGTTACGGGTCGTAACGGTCGACTTCGCCAGCAACTTGGAAGGGTGGCCCAGATGAAGGTTGAACGGGTCTTATTGCGCGAAGTCGCGGAGGCGAACTATCAAGTAGCGTTTTCTTTTCTTCCTCTTTTGTTTAGTGACGATGGGCTCGGTGTGATGATTGAGAGTTAAGATGCGGAAAATGGTGTTTGGAGACGAGTAAAGTTTGTCCAGGTCGGTGTGATCGGATGTTGGTAGAAACAAGGCATTGGCAACTGGCAGTGGCATGGGCACTAGCTGTGGTACTGGGCGGCGACGCTTGCGTGCCCGTGTTGAAGTGTCGCACACCCACCTCTTGAGGTCCACGGGTGCGTGTGCGTGCGTAATGCCACTTGGCGAGCGGAGATGACTGGGCGACTCGGGCGTCGAACGGCCTGTAGGTACAGACAGGTAGGCTGTGGAAGGAAATCGCCCTCAGTCACACCACAAGTACCCCAGGGCGCCATCTTGCAGAGGCAGTACATCCGTGACACCTGAAGGGGCAAGGTGCTGACGGAAACCTTGATGCCGGGACATCCTCGCCGAACGGTACATACCTACCTATTCGTACAGACATGAACATTGATTACACCGTCTCCTCACGCTCGCCACCTAGGGGCTTTTTAATTCTGTGTCTAGTCCTGCATCGAGCCCCCCCCCCCCCCCCCCCCAGTCGTGGTCACAGATGAGATTCTGGCGATGAGAAGAAAGAGCAAATGAGAAGCATAACATGACGCTGCTATACTTGCTGTTCAAGATATGCCTATGCTGTATCTATACACACGTCTTGCTAGCCTCGGTTTCAGGCCTCTTAGCTGCCTGTGGCGAACGAGAATGAGAAAGCTTACAAGCAACCCGTGGCTTGGGGTGCATAACATGTACCACCTCTGCTGAGCTAAGGTACATACGTCAGGTGAGAGGCGAAGGGTGATATCAACCAAGGCTACCCTGAGTCCCCGACGATACTATAGTGTAGAAGGTTGGGCGGAACAGACTGGGTGGTCCTATGGTTATTATTGAGTGAATGGCGACGTGTAGGTGGTTATGAGATCAGAACGAGACAAGCCGTGGATTGGTCAATTACCTCGCATTGAGCACAGAAGAATCGTCGTAAACTACCTACCAAGCTAGATTTGTGGCCCTCCAGCAGTCTTTTCATTCATCGAACAGGGTTCTTGCATGCGTCAAACAGCCGTAACGCGCTTACCTACTTGCTCAGGCGGGTCACGCTCCAGCTATTCTAGGTACCTTCCAGCATGCAACGGAGAAGGAATGGTGAGCTGCAAGGTCAATGACTGATGCTTTCGAGTGACCTGCAATGCCGTGCGCCTCAAACAACTGTCACACATTTGTCCAAGCATGTGAGGCCATACCCCTTGCCATGCTAACCAACACATAAAAAATATGACTGCCTGCGTCATCACAGCCGTGCCCGGGAGCTTACTTTGGCAGTACCTAGCTTGGAAACATAAATATATGTAATTGGTAAAACCATACTTCAATACACCAGGATGCCAAAAGTCGGGGCCCTGCCTGCTCACATTCTTAGGAGCGCCGTCAAAGCTCATGCGCCCCAATAGCTGGTCTGAAGCTTCGTACAATTACAGTTCCAATCCTACCGCGTCCAAATAGGCTGCTCAGGCCAACGGGGCCAAGCACTTGCATCTCTGCATAGCCGTGTCAAGGTTACACTACGAAGGCTAGCATCTGATAGCCTGTCACTTCACATCCTCGATCACCAGAGCTACAGCAGGTGCTCGAATAACATGCCGCTCTTGCATTATCAGATACACTATAACAATATCGTCTCAAATACCACCAGAGACCACAGTAGTAAGGGGTATCGGCTGTCTGGCATTCACTCATCTCTCTGCATGGCCATCAGCTGCACCGTGGCTGCTGTAGCTGCCCCCAGCTGTCTTTTCGCCGGTAGCCTCTTGCGCCCCATCCTCGAATTGCACCCGAACTACATCAATCGTCTCCTTACTCTCAGGCTTGAGTCCTTCAACCTCTTGATCCTTGGACGCCCCAAGACTCGCAAGTCTTTGCTTGTCCTTGACCCAACCTGGTGGAAGACCAGGCCCACTGTCGGCATTGCCATAATCGCTTTTCTTAGTACCCTTGGGCCATCGGCCCGGTCCGCGCCCTGTTCCACCCGTTTTCCGCCGCGATGAGGACGACGAGCTTTTGCTCTTGGGTCGACTTGCAGTAGGTCGCCTGGCGCTACTGCCACCGCCGGATCGACGCGGTCGCGGGTTGTTGCTTGTGCTTCGCGGCACAGATGGCCGAGGGACGCTTGGCCGCGGCCGGTCGGAACGTCGGCCACCAGGAGGCGGGTACACTTCGAACCTCGACGGAGGTACGTCCTTGTACATGCTGGACCAATTACGCCCCATTGCCTCTTCAGGTGTGGCCGAATGAGGCACTTCACTGGGTTGAAACCCGACTTCGTTGACTGTTTCACGGCTCCCGTCCCCGCTGACCAAGCCATCCTGGTGTGACTCCGTTGATTCGTAAATATCGGGCTCCACCTTTGAGCCATTGGTATCATTGCCGGCGCTATCTGCACTAGCAGATAAGACATCGACAGGTGTGTGAAAGTTGTCAACGATGCCCTTGATTGGAAGGCCATTCACCGCTGGTTGTTGTTGTAAGGAAGGCAGCAGTGTCTCTTGAGCTGGTTTGTGACTGTCGTCTTCTTCTCGCGGTGCTATCGCACTGATGGCTGGACCAAGCTCGAAGTTTGTGGCATTGCCTCGTCCCATGACGTATGGTGTCCAGGTGAGCGCATCTGGGTACAACTTGACGTAGTTCTTGGCCTCCCACTTCGCGATGTATTCGTTACAGTACGCTAGATCGACGCGGAAGGCATACAGTTCCGTTTGGGGATCACGCACGAGACATCTGAGGCCTTCGAGGGCAGAGATGACATCGTCGGGAGTGAGCCCCGTATCGTCCGACATTTGCCGAATACTCAGACCTGGGGCGGCTGATTTATCTTCTTCGACGTGGTCCAGTAGGTACCGGCACAGCACCAGCCTCCAGTAGTTGCGGTAGGAAACGAGACCCATGTCTGAAAGTGGTTTTTCGGGCGATCCGGTTTTGCGTTCCACGCGAGTGAGCAGGTAAGAGAAGTCGATCAGCAGGTTTCCGTAACCTTTTCGCTGGTGTATAGGCAATGTCAGGATGCATGAGACGTTGTTCTGACTGCTGGCTCGTTTTTCCTTTGAAAAGTAACCAACGAAGTGATAGCCAAGTGCGTCGTATTCGCACAGGACATAGAAGAGAAACGGCTCCACGTCGTAGTAGAGCGTCTTGGATCCTAGGAACAGCTTGGCAAGTAGACAAAGATTCTGGCAATAGACCGGGTTCTTTCGGCCGTCCACCTCAAAAACAGAGACGGATCCATGGCGATATATTTCGTCGCCCGGCGGGTGTTTTGCTGGACACTTGAGTTTATGCCGCCAGGCAACATAGTCTGAGTTCATATACTTCAAGCAGAACTCGCAAATGTAGAGTGTTCGGTTCCGACTGTACTCCTCGGGGTAAGGAGCAGCATACCAGGTGTCGATCTCCCAGCCGCCAAAGTCGATGCACTCGATCTGGCTCGCCGGGCCAGAACTCTTTTTGGACCTCTTCGCAGGCGTCGCTAAATTGTGCTGGACGCTGTGGAGACGAGCCCGCCAAACCTCCTCTGCTTTCTGCTTGGCTTCGTCGAACCGCCGACGATCATCGTTGGTAGGTAGTGTTCTTGATGTGTCGGCTTCAGCTTCGCTAAGGATGCCGCCGTAAGGTTTTGTTTTGACTTCATCGGTCTCTTTGTCGAAGAAAGAATAGAAAGGATGTGCATAGTCTGATGAAGTGAACGAGGCCGTCATGGAGGCGGCCAGCCCATCATGAGGCGGCACAGTTGTGCTTACCCTCTCAACTCTTCTTCGGTTTGACGCAGATTTTTGGGATAAGACTCGACGAAGCGCGTAAGGTTTGACGCGCATCTTGACGACGACTGAGCGAGTTTGCCGGATGACCGTTACCGACTGGGATTTGCGTGTGGGGTTAAGGCGCAACTTGCGTCGTGAGTCCTTGTCTCTGGTCCCATTTCGACCATCTTGCGACGCTCCTGCACCGTGACATGACTCCCGGTCTTTGGAGGCGTTGCGCCGGCGCTTTCGGAGCGACATGACAATGTCATCCGCCTCGACAGATGATGTTTTGCGCTTGCGAAGCACACGGGATCCATCGATTGGATCACCGTCGAGAAGCAAATGGTTGAAGACTGAATGGGAGTCGGGTTTGATGGTGCCTTTTTGAGGTGGAAGTAGGTCTCGCGCAACTTGGGAAGCCGTTGATCTTCTGGAAGACGGTGAGAGCTCGAGATCGATTTCGTGTTTCTCATCATCGTCATGCTCATCGGCGTACTCGTATTGCTGCTTCTGAGTAGTATCGGCTTCCGCATCATCAACCGGCGCATCTGCCCCCAATGCACAATCGAGACACTTCCATTGAGAAAGACCTAAGATCACACGTCAGTAAGAGCTATAACCAGTGGAGAAGAACGTACTGCTTTGTTCCTGAAGAGCGCCGGCTTCCCGGGCGCAATGCTGGTGTGCTAGGTACCTTTAGTCAACGCCTCGCTTTAGGGCAGATTCACTTACAGTTTTCGCCGCAGTTGACACAGGTCAAGTAATCTTCGAAGTCTTCGGCAGGGTCGTGCTCTTCGTCTTGTTTGCAGAATATACACATGTTAGGTGCCGCGTCCTCCGATTCCTCTTCGTCATCTTCATCCGCTGCAGCGACCTCCTCCCAGGCAGCGTCCTCTTCAGATTCGATGCCAGATTCACTGTGAGAATCCGAATGATCACTGTCCTGCTCATCTGGCTCCTCGTCGGTTTCGCCTGGTCTGATTTTGACAGCGCCGACGCCCTCTGCCTCGTCCTCGTCGATAGCTTCCAGCAAGCTACTACTACGGCTTCGCGCGCCGCCTGAAGCATCATCTCTTTCGTCTTGTTCCATGCGCTGCTCTATATCATCGTCAGACTGATGATCTACCTCATCGTCCATCGATTCCTGTTCAGAGAGCTCGCTATTATCGTCGAGCTTCTCGCCCATCTCAATGTCGTCCTCAGCGGTGCTTGCGTCTCTCTCCTCGTCTTCATCGCCGACTGCATCCGAAAGTTCGTCATCGTGTGTATTAGGGTTCGTCAACGGGCTTTCGGTGGTTTGTGGTAATCGGTCCGAGGGAAAAACTGGTGCGTCCTCGAATTCAGGGTCTTCGTCAGATAAAACCGCGCTCTGCTGCAGCTCTTCCTCGGTGAGTTGCGCGCTTGCCATCTTGTCCAAGGTGCTTTGCCCCCGCGAGATATTACAATGATCGTTGAACAGTCAGAGCTACTGTTTCAGAATCCGTTCTTCAAGAACAAAATTCGGGGTCCACAGCCCATAGCTAGCACGGAAGGGTTGGAAGCTTAACGAGAACGGCGCGTAAGAATTGTGATGGTTCGTCCTATTCTGAGCGGAAGTTGTAGTGGACAGGGTGACAGCGCGTCTAACCGTGAGCGGCGTTGCGCGTCGATGATGCGCCGTCTCTTGTGGTTGTTGAATGATTCAGGTAAATAGCGCAAATCGCGTTGTCGATTTGTTATCAGGAAACCCTCCAAGCCGGAGAAAAGCCACCGGCAACTTCAAAATCGTGTTCGAGGCGCAAGAAATGACACGCTGCAGGCTCTCGGACTGGCGCAATCTAAGGGATGTAGCTTCCACGGCTATGTTGGACCATGGCGCGTACAGTATTCTTCTATCTTACACACCGTATATGGCAGGCACGAGGCAACGGAGCAAAGATGCGTTTAGTGGACCTATATTTTGCGCTCGGAAGCCCATAGGGAGACAGTCGTCTCAAGTCTCCGTTTTCGCACGGTGGCGAATGGTGAGCTCCTGGGACAATGCACGATGGTGGGTAGCTCTGTATCCAATCATATCTGCCGCAAAAGGACTCAATCAGGAGTATATGTCACGTGATGCAGAAAGCTCCAGTTCGATGAATTCGCGACCTACTGGGGACTAGTAGCAGCGCATCGCTTCAGTCAAACTGATTGACAACCTTGGGATACCGGAGTTTGACACCACCCGACCCGTCTGCCGACAACCCGACCGCAAGCTGTCGCTCTTGTCAGCCTTGCATCTTTTCGAAATATACAGATACCTAATTGACCGCAATTTGCCGAACGGCCGCCCACCATAATGCCTGTTCCTTTCGAGACATTGATTCCTTATGGAATCATGATTGCCGTAAGAGCTGCCCTGCGCCAGCTATGACGTCTGCGCAGTCACGATAGGAACTAAGGTCTATACAGATGTTTGGTGTCACCGGTGCTGGACTGCATGTCATCAAGGGCATCCAGAACGGTGGAAAGAAGCCTCGCTGGGGTTTGGACCAGTGGGATCGGGTAAGTACTCTCTACCTGGACTTGTTATGATCACATTATACTAATCAGAGTATGCTTTTAGCAAAGTATGTACCTCTAAAGAACCCGAACGACCTATCACTCGACCTCGGACTAATAGAAATGATCCTCAGTGATGGACCGAGACCGTAGACTTACGGGCGACCTTCGTGGACAAATTGGAAACCACGAAGCGCCTCCGGGCTTCGAGCTGAACAACCCTTGGAGAGTATGTTTACTTAAGTGAACACTTTTGGAAAGAGCTAACCAAACGGCACAGTTAGAGAAGCGCATCTCGTAGAAAGCGGCAGATACCGAAAGCATGTATTCTACTAGAAGAGTATGGCATCTTACGATGTCTGGTCGGCTCCAGCTATCCAATTAAACACCATTTTCAGTTCAAAAAACTAGCTACCCACCTAGTGGTATCGTTTGCTTTTTGGCAACCCTGGCATGTGGAAGTAGAGACTAGGCATGTTGAGGATTTATTGACCAAAGGACTGTGCAGGCTATTGAAACAACCGGGGTAGTGATGTCCTTCTTCAACCGAAACCAACTCTAGCCTATACGAATTTGCGCCTTGTTCTTGTTCAAGCCATCCACCAACAAACAGGCTTGGCATATAGCCTGACTGGACATGTAACCGCACCTTTCGCACTTGCCCAATGTCTGTAAAGGGACACTGGGTAACGCTCGGTTTGGCAAAGGTTGGTTCTTGGTTTGTGTTCGGTTATCCGCAGCTGCGGTCCTGGTGAAGTCTATCTCAAGATCATCGTCAATAGTTGCTTGGCTTAGGCTTGCATCCAACTGAGCAATTTCTTTCTTTGAAGCCTTGCTCTGCTGCGATCCACACCCAGTAGTATAATCATGTTCAGCGTCGCGGGCAGAAGATCCTCTGCAAGCATAAGTACTACTTTGTCCGCCAGCAACAAGACGTGCCATGTCTTCGCCACTGCGGACGATGTCGAGGATAGCGCTTGGCCGCACCCGCTCAAGATTCTTGATCAAGGTACGAGCGGTCCCTCGAAATGCTTCAGGGCTGTATATGCACTCGGTACTGAAGTAGTCGAGCTTTTTGTGGTGTGCATATAGCACAATCTCTTTCTCATAAGAATACTTGAGGGGTTTGCTGCGCTTGACATCGCAGGTGTCGTCTCCAGTAACGATGCTTGTGCTCCGGCCCAGGCGAGGTAAGTCGCCTCTTAAAAGGTTCATTAGGATAGTTTCCGCAACGTCATCTGCGTTGTGGCCAGTGACGAGGTGCTTGATGCCCAACATTTTGGCCCCACGGTCAAGCGCCTGTCGACGAAACACGCCACAATATGTGCAGTTGCCCTTCTTTCCAATCGTTTGGACGACCTGGTCCATAGTCCAACCGTACAACTCATCGTACCCAATAACCGTCAGAGGCATCTCATACTGAGTGGCATTTCTCTTGACAGTCTCCAGGGAGTCGTCTCGGTAACCCTTGATTCCCTCATCAATGCTAAGAAGCACAAGATCCAGACCGTAATGATAACGCTCATTGAGGTCTTTGAGAACGCTCGCCAAGACGGTCGAGTCTTTGCCGCCCGAAGCACCAATAGCCACCTTTTCTCCCGGAGAAAACAGCGCAGAGGAGACGATCGTATGGTGCACTTCCTCCTCAAAGACCGAAATGAAACAGTGCTTGCAGAGCTTCTGATGGTTCTTAGGACGCTTGACGAGGGCGCGCTCCGTCTTGCACTTGGCGCACAGAACAGGAGCCATGTTGGTGACTGCGCTTGGGCAGCTTGCGGTGACAGCCACTGGCCTTGCTGTTGAGGACTAGATACAATGTGTCGGCTCCTTGCAGAAGAGTAATGATTCCAGCTGAAGTAGACAGTCGCGACGGTGATTCAGCTTTGCTACAGTCTTCAGCAGGGGGTTGTTATCGGTCAACCTAACCCGCGTTGGAATCGAAGCTCCGTGTGATGGCCTGGGAACCTGATTACAGGGTTTGATGAAGGAATTGAGCAACGACCGAGATCAAGTGTTGGGACCCCTCTGTGTCATGCCGGTAGACCTGATCGATGGACCGAATCTACGTGGATAAAACTCTTTTTGCGTTGGTTATCAGACAGAGCCAAGAAGCTGCGTGCATGATGTATAACGACCTTGGGGCAAGACTAACGGGGGGGGGTTTTTTTGCTTGGCGACGCTGACTACAAAGTTCTTTCAGTACGTACCGCTTAGCTAAGAAGACCTTGACCTGCCGGATGCTATGTCAGTGATCATTTTGGACCTCAGTGAACCCCAGCAGCAGATAGTTGAACGACCGAAAAAAAAAGTCCATTGTGCCTCCAGAAACTCATACCAGATATCGGTAGTTTTAATATTCTCGAGAAGACTCTGCTATGAAAAACTGCCTTGGTACAGCCATGAGGAAATAAGGAAGTCGAGTAGCCAACATGGGTCCGTGTGGTTGTTCACAGTCCCAGACCTATCTAACAAACATGCCAATCAAATGCTGCGCAGAATTCAAAGAGATGACAGAAGCTGTCGGTGCATTAAGGTCACGTGGAGATAAGACTAGCTTGTCCTCCAAGCCTGGAAGGCGACTCCTTATCGAGAGTCTACGGCCACACTTGCCCTAATCGTTTTTTTTTTCCTCGCTCTCGGCCCACACCGCGAGTCTGAAAGTCTTTTCTTTCGTCTACCCAAAAAAACTGTTGACACTTGCACTTGTTCTTGTGTCCGTCCCTCATTCATCCCCGCCCACGGCAGCATCACGACAACCGACAAAATGGTGAGTACACATTGAGTCTTCGACAATTCTTTTCGCACTCGAGGCAATTGTCTAGCGATCGCTCGGATGCGCGCTGTGATATGATTTTCCATCTTCCCATCTGCTCCCGGCACGCTTGCGTGTTGGGAACGGGGTAACGATGATGATTCTGGCTGGAGGGGACGTGTGAGGCGTCAGGGATCCGTCTCTGATGCTTCGCCGTCTTTCTCTTTAGAGTTCAGGGAAGACTCAAGTTGCTTTGGACAACTCGCTGATGTCTTTCTTTCTCAATGACAGCCTCCCAAGTCCGGTAAGAAGGTGGCTCCCGCCCCTTTCCCTCAGGGAAAGGCTGGCTCCAAGAAGGGTCCTAAGGTAAGTCCGATGTGCTCATTCTTCCCCAATACTCGCGCAGCATCATTGCGGCTGACCACGCGCTGTAGAACCCTCTCATCGAGCGCAAGCCCCGCAACTTTGGCATCGGTCAGGATATCCAACCCCGCCGTAACTTGGCCCGCATGGTCAAGTGGCCCGAGTATGTTCGTCTTCAGCGCCAGAAGAAGATCTTGAACATGCGCCTCAAGGTCCCCCCTGCGATTGCCCAGTTCCAGCACGTCCTCGACCGCAACACTGCCGCCCAGGCCTTCAAGCTCCTCAACAAGTACCGCCCCGAGACCAAGGCCGAGAAGAAGGAGCGTCTCGTCAAGGAGGCCACCGCCATCAAGGAGGGCAAGAAGAAGGAGGATGTCTCCAAGAAGCCTTACACTGTCAAGTACGGCCTGAACCACGTTGTTGGCCTGATTGAGAACAAGAAGGCTTCCCTCGTCCTGATCCCCAACGACGTCGACCCCATTGAGCTGGTTATCTTCCTTCCGGCCCTTTGCCGCAAGATGGGTGTCCCCTTCGCCATCATCAAGGGCAAGGCTCGTCTCGGCACAGTCGTTCACAAGAAGGTATTTCTCCATTCCTGCTGTAGTCGCAATACCTTGCTTCTTGTTCATGCGCTGACTCTTCAGACCGCTGCTGTCCTTGCCATCACCGAGGTTCGCTCTGAGGACAAGACTGAGCTCTCCAAGCTCATTTCCGCCATCAAGGACGGCTACCTAGAGAAGACTGAGAGCGCGAGAAAGCAGTGGGGTGGTGGTATCATGGGCGCCAAGGCCCAGAAGCGCACCGAGAAGAAGCAGAAGGCTCTCGACAACGCCATCAAGGTCTAAGATGGATCAATACCCGGACTGCTTTAGTTTATTAGGAGACTAGGCCACTGGAGGTTATCGGATTCACAAAAATTTGGCATGGCGTCGGGATGACTATTCTATTGGGTTTCAAGTTCATGCTTCTGTTCCATAATGCTGTGCCTCGACGACGCATGTCACTTGCGTCGCGATGCGTCGTGCCCCATTCCCGACCCGAAGGAATGCATATCTCACCATTGAGTGAACGGCAATCCAATGTATCTGCCAGAAGCCCGAGTTATATGTGATATAATCAAGCCATTGATGACATTTACCCTAGAGAATCGGGATGCCAACGTGACCGTTGGTAGGTTCTCGTCAACAGTGGCGACGCCCAGTCGTATGCTGAGTATATATAAGTAAGTAAAAGGTTACCCGACTTTAGACAGAGGACTCAAGGGAGAGGTTGCCGTCGATATTGAAGCCCGAGGAGAGGTAGTTGCCCGACCTGCCTCCCATCTGGTCATGTGCGAGCCATTGTAGTGTAGTAATGCAATCTCAGGACGCTGAAGCGGACTACCGTCCGCACTCGTCAGTTTCGCAAACCACTATCGATTAGGCTAACGGTAAAGGGTATAGCGGCCGCTGAGAAGCGACTAGCGTTACGGCAGAAACAGAGATCAGAAGTAGGGACCAGTCACGTGCTATATACGTCAGCAGGAGGTTTAGGTGCAAGCCTGGCTGGCTGGCTGGCTGGGTATGGGTGGGTTGACCGCCTGCTATCTCCAGTTTAGTGCGGTGATCATACACTAGCTTCTACTGGTAATTCTCTAGCTATATTCAGCTAGCCTGCCTACTAGTGGCTTACGAAACTGACGAGTGCCGACGGTACCTAAATGTGAGGAGAGAAAGCGGGAGTTAAATAAAGCATCCGGTCACGGTTGGCGGTGGGGTTGATCGGCGACAAGGACTGTTCCTACAGAGGTGGGGTTGATCTAGATCAGTTTGCTAATGTCTCTTGACACAAAACTCAAAGTGCTTCAAAAGGATGAGAAACGTCTGAGATAGGATTGTTGTAGGTACGAGCATCACTACCCAAGAAAATCGAAATGATGCGGTCCGCACTTGAGTATGTGGAGATGCCAGACCTGTTGCACGCCAAGCCAACGAATATAGCGGTGTATCCCAATCATGGAGGTACGAATACCGTAGCATTCTCGGCTTTTCAGCCAGGAGTGCTTATCTTCTTCCGGCCCCTGTCGTTCTCAAGCTGCCCACTCGTGCTTTGCGCGTGTCCGCCGCCATTGCTTGCAGACAACACTGCGTCTGTTTAGGATCATCCGGTCTGGGCCGGATATCTATTTGGATGGCTCATTTCGGTTGACACATGTGTTTCTTTGCCGCAAACCTACCTCGACTGCACCCACCCCGGTTCTGATTGTTCCCGGTCCGGGTTGTTGACGGGAGTCCCCCTTTATTTTATCCTCCTTGAACTCGAAATCCGTCGATCGGCACAGACTTATCAGCCGGCTCATCGCCATCAACTTTAAATGGCAATCCAATCTAATGGCCCGACCCACCCTATCCTCTCGGCACGCCTATTTGTACATAATTGAGCGCAATCGGCATCTGCGCTTTATGGTATGAAGAGCGGCGTTGAGCCCCTCTATGTCGAGACGAGGAGAAGGCCAGTTGAGTGTTTGTGACAAATGGCCGGGCCACTTTCCGCTCACTTCTTCTACCTGGGGAATTGCCAATGAAACTATGACCGGGAACATTGTAAGCGCCTGTCCGGACGTTTAATGCGAGTATGGCATCACTAACTGCTTTCGGGCTAGTTGGTAGCCATCAACCGCCCTGCTTCATTGCTTTATTGCCATGCTCTGCGTCTCCCCTCTCCATCATCCCCTCCTGTAGTCAATGAGGCGTACCGGCTTGACTGGCAAATGACCCATGCCGGCGACCCTCCCGGTCCCAGGACTTGGGGGGTAGAGATTGCGGTCAGTCACTTCAACCCCCGGAACACGGCACACGCTGCCCAAGTTGTCAGAGGAATGCTGATCAGAACGTGGACTCCGAGGCAGATTCGGGGGAGGAACATAATATTTGGTGGACAAAGAGAGCACGTATCGTTGAAGATACCTTCCATGCCAGTATGTTGAGGTGCACATACACACCGGTACGCGACTGTTTCAGAGCCGGGAAGCGCCCTTGACTCAACTAATCCTCGCCAGCTCGTACCCGTTATGATATGCCTCAGAACCACCGATCCCAGCGGACCAACGATTAGATGAGCGTTTCCCGTGTTGTTGTGGATTGCCATATGTCCAGTCCATATAGGAGCGGCCTACAGGGTATGATGCTTGCTCTGTCCATGCCAGGCTAGGACGGAGGTACTTCAACTGGCGGAGAATGCTAACCCTAGGAGACAATCACACGCAGACGATACTTCTGCCCAGATCTGGTGGACAGAGTTGTAGTCAACTACCGATAATACCGCCCTCGCATCTATTCAACGAGTCCCCCCCCCGCTTCCCCCCCTCTTGTCCCATTACCGCCTTTTTCGTCAAATCAGAACAGCTGCTATAGGAAATGTCAGATTTGCCGTGTCTTCCGGTAAGAATCGCTAATACATGGCGCCGGGAGGTCGGCAGGGCCGGATTATGCTTGGGTCGTTGTCCAGAATAACAAACACTTCAAGTCGCAATTTGAGTTAGACGCATCGAGGGGGGGGGGGGGGTCCTCCCGTTCTCTCCCCTCAAGCCCACCATCTCCCACCTTTACCGTCTGCCTTGTGCTAGCTAGTCCCTGGTGAATCCAGGATGACACGTTTGGTATTTCGGGGCGACTCGTCCAAGGCTTGGCTCTGTCTCTGGGTGCGGGCAGCTTTTCATGAAGTGCCATGGTCCCCCGGTCCCAAAGGACGCGAGATGCACGAACATGCCCTGGTATTATGTGTCGTTATTGCCCTCCCCGTCGCCCTAATATATCCATCCCCAAGCAATATATCATCATTCTCTACTTATATCACCTTCATCCTCTTTATCCTCGTCCTCGGTAGAGTTTCACAATATACTCTATCATAAAAACTGCGTGTAGCATCTCAGTTGCTTCTGCAGGATCTCGAAACACCTTGCTTGACGCTTTTCTTATTATAGCCTGCCCCCCCCCCCCCAGCAACCCACGTCTTACTTGCAATTTTTCGACTATCTCAACGTGAGTCTCATTAAGTCTCCTTGACACGGTTGGTTGCCCTTTGCTCTGCCATGCACCAGATACCACGTTCCACCTTCAGTCACCCGCCCACACAATCTTTGGGCACTTCCCTACCTCTCTTCCTCTTCCTCTCCCTCTTCCTCTTCCTCTCCCTCTTCCTCTTCCTCTCTCCTCCCTCTCTTTCCCCGACAAAGCCTCAATATTCTGTTGCTTAGGCCGATTGTCATAATGCATCTAGCCCGACATCGCTGACCCACATTCGAGTAGCAGCATAATCCTACAAGGAGATTCAAGGTCACACCACATCATTCGGCGCCCGCCCTCCCATCACGTTGGACTTGATAAACCCCGACTCTGGTGACTCTCCAACCATTTTACTGCGCATATTATCGGCTGTTGAAAATAAGTTTGCCTTCCAACTCAACGCTGTTGTGCTCCCCACAGCTCCGACCGGCAGTCTCCCTCCCAGACAAGATTTACTGGGTTTCTTGATCCTGAAGCTTCGGAAAGAGACAGGACTCTAGTGGCCGGCCCGGGTCCTCTGTCTTGGATCCAACATAAGCACCAACCAGGAGGTCTCATATAATAGTTGACTCCTTGGCTAAGCAACTCCAGCTGCGCAGGTCTCAGCTGGCCCTCAACCGCACTGCGTCCAAACAAGGCTAGCTAGCAATAAGGCGACTCCGACTGTTCCTTTTGTATCAGTTTTATCGATATCCTTTCAAGCCTCCTCGCAAGTCAGGCTGCTTAGTGGTTGAATTGACCGCAATGGCGTTCCAAGACCGTAAGCACCACTAAGAGCCCTCATGGTCTACCCTCACATGTCACTGATGCAGCATGTTCGTCAATACAGAGAACAAGTTCTTGTACGCTTTGAGCTCGAACCAGGCATGGGCTGGGTACAAATCGCACCAAAACCCTGCCTTCTTCAAAAACCTCGCTTCGGGGCAGTCGCCCTCGATATGTAAGGCTACCTAGCTTCCACGCATACCGGCTGCTAATCACGCTCGCCGCCGACAACGTGTTATCAGTTATGTAGCTAACAAGGTATGGCAACAGTGTGGTTAGGCTGCTCTGATTCAAGAGTGCCAGAGACAACAATACTCGGGCTTCAGCCCGGCGACGTATTCGTCCATCGCAACATTGCCAACATCGTCGCGCCCACGGATATCAACACCTCAGCCGTCATCGAATACGCTGTCGTACACCTCAAGGTCAAGCATGTTGTCCTCTGTGGCCACTCGGCCTGCGGTGGTGCTAAGGCAGCGCTGGGCGATTCGCGTGTCGGAGGCGTCCTGGACACCTGGCTTACGCCACTGAAAGCGGTTCGCGTTCAAAATGCCGAGGAGCTTGCTGGCATCAAGGACGATGACCATCGTGCTGTCCGAATTGCCGAGATGAACGTGGAGACTGGTGTCAAGGTCTTGATGGCTAACTTTACGGTCCAAGAGGCCATGAAGGAGCGTGGTCTTACAGTCCACGGATGTATTTTTGATATCGCTAGCGGTCGTATCCGTGATCTTGGGTTTGGCACCAAGTTTCCGAAGAGCCATAGGAGCAGCAGCATCCTTTCCAACGGCGGGGAGGAAGAGATTGTCCGCGGAAAGCATGCCCAGCTTGTGTTTAGCGATGGAGGAGATGCGTCCATGCTGGTCCGCTGAAAGATAATGAGCGCTGTCAACGGCGTAATCTGGACATACCCCTTCACCTGCCCGCCCATGTGAGGCGATACTTAGCGGTGGCCACAACTGTATCTGAAGGCTTCAGATTTGCTCCGTCTCTGGGGACAGTCGTGTTAAGAAACCAAAGTGAACATGGCACGGGAAACGAAACAGACGGTACAGAGAGGTTGAGGTCATTTTACGAAATCAGAGGGTGGGCGTCAATGGTGTTGAACATGTGTGATGGTAAACTTATTTCTCCAATTTTCAAGGGCCATGCAGACGAGCAGAGCCTTACTTGATTCCTTGCAAAATCCTAAGACAAACCGGGGAAGGGGATGCTTTCATTCCCTGCCTCTACCTATGCCCAGTTCATTGAAGTCGGATGTCTGGATCTCATCAAGTCGTCATTTCCTCTAAACTGCCGGAAGTCATGCCTTTTGTCTCGTGTCGTCGGAAGAAGTGGCACGTGTATCTCGTCAAAAGTTACAACACTTAACCGTAAACGAGCTTGAAGATGTCGTTGAAGACAAAGTAGTTGCCGGTAGGGTCACGCACCAGCTGGAAAGCCTGGGTGTAGTTTTGGGGGCGCTGCTCCTCATCGACCTAGATTCGCGAGTGTCAGAGAATATTCAATGAGGTTGATTAACCTAAAGGATTTAGTCTTGTGCTTACCAAAAGCTGGCCGGTAACGAGAATGATGATGCCGCCCTCGAGGGTGGGCTGGGCATCGAGGGTCGTAACCTGGTGCTTGACCTTCTCGAAAGGAAGAGACTGCAATGGTGTTAGTGTCACCTCGCGGCAGCACCCTAATCCTCTAGCTCTTATCCAGCAATCACATACCGTGAGCTTCTCGACGATGGAGTTGACGCCAAGGGTGGAAGCGGACTCGAAAGTCAGCATGGATTGCTCGCGCTAGTTTTGTCGTTAGCTTCGCAAGGCCAGCCGATCGAGAGATGAAAAATAAAATAGAAAATCGGTTGGTATCTCACGTAGAGGCTTGCAAGTCCCTTGCGGTCCGAGTCAAATTGGTTATAGTAGAACTCGATGAACTGCTCTGTTTGCGTTCAGGAAGGAGTCAGTCTGGCTTAGGGTCGGAGATAGACGGCAACGGCATTGGAAAGCAGGTTTCGACCTGTCGAGCAACGGGAGCACCTACTTGCGACCTCTTCAAAGTCTGTCATTGAAACTTAGTTAGCCACCTTTCCGTACATCCATCTGCAACTCGATGTTGGCAAAAGAAAAACAAGGAATCGTGGAGATGTCGGAGAAGCGGGGCAAAAACACGGCCAGCGCAACGCGAAGCGCAAGTGCAAGGCTGGTCGCACTGGTCGCGGAGGGAGGACGGGATTGACTTACTGCCAGCCATTTTGTTTGATTTCAAAAGAGGAAGGCTATGTTGTAGGCGTGGTCGGTATGTCTATGATGGGGCAAAAAGCGATCGAGAGTCTGGGTGGCCTTTTTTAATCTAATGGGAGAGCTTTCCTCAGGGCAGTCAGGCTGGAAAGAAAAGAATGAGGGGTGGTGGTGACTGAGAGGGGCCGTCCGTCACCTTACAGGGGCACAGCGCACACATCGAGGGCCCAAGGCCGTTCCAGTTCGGGATGGAAGGTACCTAACGCGTGTCGCACACGCTGACGAGGTACCTGGCCCGTCGGGCCCTTTCGGGCATAGGGCAGTATGCCTTCGGGTTTCCTTGTTGACAGCGGGGTTGTCTTGGTCGCAGTGGGCAACCTCTTTGGTTACCGGTATATGCGATTGTACCGCCTCTTATACCTCTTTCACTCATAGATGGTGGGGTAGTCTCGATTTCTTGCAGCCTATGCAATTAAGCACTTTCTGCCTGACGGGACAACCTGCTTACCAAATGCCGGCCGCGCGAAGCGAGCCCGTGTGGGCCGTGCGCTGGACTTATTTCGTCCAGCTACAAAAATTTCAATCCTTTCCCTTTCGCTTTCCTTAATCTACAACACGATATCCCTTTTCAAATAGTCCGAACCTGCTACTTACCAATAGTCCAGCACGCAGGATATCTTAACCTGGTAAGCATCTGCTTTTACTCCCTAACCTCACCCACACGTCCGTGGGTTGCTACATTGATGATCACCTCTTCCATTAAGAACGGCCAACAGAAAATACCATGTTGATTCAAAAATTATCAAGCTCAACAGTCTGAATGTAGCTTACATACAATGCTCTCTTTGGCAATAACAAACTTGTTCTGTCAATGGATGTTTGCTAATCCGGACTTCCACAGATTCACACACTCCGCGCTGCTCAAGAATGCATATCCTGGACCAGATTAGCTCGAAGATAGAAAAAAATGTTATCACTTTACTTGGCCATTAGCAACCACGCACTGCTCTCCCTTTTACCAACCTGTGACATTTTCTTAGAATCCTTGGCTAGCCTGAAGAACCCAACGACTGACCTGACCTTTATGGTCGCGAGAAACGTTGTGACGCTATGCTGGTGAGGCGCTGGCCGTCACTATATTTCCAGATGCCCGACGCTGAGTGTGCTTTCCCCCCCTTCTCAGTAAGGAATAAACGTCAGTCAAATAGCACTGATTCTAACACAACTTGAATGGTGGCCTTATTTTCTGAGCATCTCATCTCACAGAAACGGAGCTGTGGGGGTACATGGAGCGTAGGTTAGTATTGGTTCTAAACGCTTCTAGGACCATCCTGCACCCTTGTCCTACCTTCAAATGTCTTTCCCTCCTTGAGGGAATGCTAAATGCCCATCTGCCGTGGCCTTGGCAACTATGCTTTAGCACAATCTTGCCAACGTCACGGTTCGCCGCTATACCCAGGCCTCAAGAATCGCGTCTATTGGCCGCCTCCTTGACTAGCACCTAGGCTAGCGCCTTAGGCCGCTCAACCATCTTGCCGGTGTCCTGGGTGGATATGTGAAGTCGGGAAAACAAGTTGTAGAGGATGGATCCAGGCCTGTGGGTCTATGGATACGATCGAAGGACTATGTCAGCTGGCATAGCATAGCACGGCGTAACACTCGTGCTGTGTGTTGATGGGCTCTAGAGGAAAAGTGTGTCTTCGCTACCTATGTCTGGGTAAATGAGGGAACCATGGCGCCAAAACGTAACAGAGCTTCAGTAATCAAATTCAAGACGGAGATGGTATACTTACATTCGACTTTCTTCCAGAGAGGCACAGGAACCAGGACAGCCGGTGGCTGGCTGTCGTTCCTGGGATGAGAAGGTGCAATTCATACCTCAGCCTTTCAACTGTAGGAGTTCAAAGGGGCAACTTTCCACCGATTAATTTGCCCATAATAAAATCAAGTACAGCCAATGCTCTTCCTCCCAAGTAGCATCAGCTAACACCAGTTTACTCACCAAGGGGAAACGAAGCTCTATATCTCAATTCAGGCCGGGTACACCATCCCCTCTGCTCAACTTAGCCAGCCGCTGTGTTAAGGAAAAGAAGGACCACCCCACTGCCAAAAGCATCTTCAAAGAGGACAGCATGTCCAACCATATTCATACTGAATGCTAGCCGCATTACCAAACTAATGCGACGATAGGCAAAAACCTATGCCACACTTACAATACTTTGTGTTTTATATTTCTTTATTTAAAATCCCTGATGCGAACCTTGGCTTTTATCTGCCATGTCCGGGTATTTCAACTTAATTAGCAACTTGTGGTCTAGAGAATAGCACCTGAAGATATCATACTTGACCAACCTCCCAGGCATGAGTGCTGTTGGTACAATTTGGCTTGTTTTCGTTACCAAGAGTCCTTATATCGCTGTGTTTCGGCCCCTCGAACCCAAAGCGTACAGCGTCGGACCGCTATACCGAATCATTAGGGATGTTTGGTTTTGAATATGATCTGGGCTGAAAGTCATGTCTCGAGGGATATATGGTTCATTACCTGCCTCCCTCGGAGGGATATGCCGTAGTACTGGTCAGCTCCCATACATGCAAGTTCTTATTGATACGAAATACTCATTGGAGCTCCATGATGCATAGAAAGCACGCCCCCCTCAAAAAGAAATAAACAGCTTGTCTTGGGATAGAAGCCGGGGCTAATGAGACTGCGGATACAGTATCTGAGCGCTGTATTGTTTGAGCGAGTGTCTGGGGAAAATACATTAAAGCTTCCAGCCATGGTGCCAAAGTCACGCCGTGTAACATCATGCAGCTGCCGATTTCCGCGATATATGAGGACGTGAATGACCGAGCCTGGTTCTCGTGAGCCATTGAATCACTGTTCAACTTCTTTTCCGGCGGATTTGGAGGAAATCGACTCTCAACTCTTCATGTGCTCGTTCCCAAGATACCCCTCCAGCTTTGGATAGACAGCAGGAGATCTCAGGGAAGATGTGAGACAGTGTCAACAGTTAATGTTCGTCCAGTGCGACGAGGTGAAATAGAGATGAAAGACTGCCAACTATTATGCTGGGGAAGAACAAGAATGAAAGGACATGAGACCTTGTCATTCGTTGGCGCGATAATTCGTCGGTTGCAGGGAAATATATTATGACAGCGTCTAGAGGTATCTCCTAGTGTGGTGTCTATCAATGATGTTGAAAAGAGACGGATGAGAACAAGACGTCTACGGAAGGGAACAGCAAACGACGGTTCGAAACATGACACAACACAAACGCATACATGAGCAGGCATCACGATGGGCACAAGGTGGGTGGTTGCTTAGATTGACCGACGAATTGCATGCAATCTATAGTCTGTTTCCCGAGGCCCCAAAAATGCAATGGCCGTCGCATTACGCCTATACAGCAGACGTTGTCGCCTGCGAAGAGAATCGAAACCGTATTTCGTTCCACGATATGACTTGTTTACTTCCGGAATGCACCCCCTTTAGCAGCGACGTTGCCCATTCGTCGAGAGAGATCGGGACTTGTCTCCTAAACGCCTTCTACCTTATGCAGGGCATCATCCGTATTGACCTTTACCTCGCGCGCTCCACCATCCCCCGTCCACAACTATTCGTGCCTCTATCTTGGCGTAGCACTCACGTGTGCCATCGATTGTCATCGCCAGATTGCGGGAACCGAGTACAGATCATGGAGAGGACGAAAATATCCCTGGTATCCAGCTCGGCTCTCAAAGTTCCGATTCCGCACCATTCGTCTCGACGTTCATGGGGCTGCCATTCTGGGCCTGGCGTTGCCCGCGAAGGCGGGCATTGCCACGTGGAGCACGGTGCCGAGGTGCGGGCCGTCCATTGCCGTTCATGTTCTCGTCGTCCTCATCCGAATCGGGGTGCTCATCCGCATAGAGGCGCGCCTCGTCCAGTTCGGTCATGTCGTCCGGCCTGTCCCTCAACCACTGCATTCGCGGACCCGATTTGGCAATCTCAGAGACGCGGAAGCCGTAGATGCGAGGCTCGTATATCCGACCAGCACCCAGACCGGGTGCAATGTTCTTGGCATACATGCCGTTTATCATCTCGACCGAGTCATCGTTGATGCGTGCGCCACCGCTGCTGAGAACCTCAGCTCCACGCTTGGTGAGGTCGTACTCCGGGAACGTGAGGAGGAAAAGGGCACCGAATGTGCGACCGAAAAAGGCTCCATCAACCGTCTGGAAGCGGCTATTGGGGGGGACGTAGACGTCGAGACATGAGGGGCAGAACAGCTTCACAGTGTCTTCACCAGGAATATCAGAGAGTCCCACCGGGAGTGTCCTTGCTTGATCGCAGTTTGTGCGGGGGCAGCAGCCGAAGTGACCCAGCTCGTACTTCTCACTCATCTGCTGGATTCCTGCCCGTGAGCAGATGAACCGTTGATGAATCAGGCCATAGAGCATCTCGGAGGAAGACTCAATGACGCTAAGGTCACTCGCCATGCGGCTATGTTGTCTCCGGTCGTGTCTGGGACCGAGACGGTCTTGGTCTCCCGAATCATTATCCTCTTCGTCTTCCTCCTCCTCCTCCTCTTCGTCCTCGTCTTCCTCAGGCTCCACGTCGAGGATCATCTGAACGTACCCGGTTAGTACTCAAACCTACAAGGCGGGAGTTTCCGAGAAGCACAAGGAGGGGGGGGGGGGGGGGGGGTTGGTTCAAAGAGAGCGAATAAGGCAAGTTAGGAGGATAGGGGTAAACACCGAGAAAATCCTGAAGAGCATACCTCAAGTGCTTCCTTGTACATGGCGACCTGATTTTGCAAGCCCGTGAGGTTGAAGTCATCTTCAATGAACTCCTCAGAAACTTCTGCAAAGTATTCGTGGCCAAGTAAAGAGCAGAAGGAAGATATCCAAGACTCCGGAGCCCCCGAAGAGGTGGACATGTCGTCGAGGTAATCCAAGGTGGTGGTATTGACGGGGTGTCGGGTTAAAAGGCGAGAGGTTGCGGCGCGAGTAGGCTCGCGCGATATAACCGTTGGATGGAGTCAAAGACTGGCCTCTCTGTACGGCTATTTGGATATCGGGTAGTGAGTAGTATTCCCAGCAGGGGCGCAAATATGGCGGGGTAGTTGGTGGGCGTGTGGAAGGGTCAGACGCGGCGCATATCAAGCGCAAAGGTCGACGCCGTCAATAGAGGGGATGGTGGATCGAGGACGGGTTTCGCGAAAGATCGGAGTCAGCGCGCTTAGCGAAATTGAGTTGCGATACAATTTTGTTCGTCCTTATTTTCTTGGGGGCGAAGGCGGCGGTGGTATTTGGGCCTCTCAGCAAAAGCTGAAGTTGTGGTGGGTGGCTGTGGACTGTGGTGCCTCACGCAGACGGCCCAGCCCGCTTAGAACAGAAGATTACGCCCAATCACAACCGTGGTCTGTGCGCGTGCTTCTGCCCGGTGAAACGGGTCTTTTCTTAATCCTGCGGCCGTCCATTTCGGTGAGGGTCTCCCTCTCACCTGCCAGCTACGGCCGCTCACCGATTTGCAACTCCATTCCCTCGCCACGTGATGTCAGTTTCGAGAAAACACGCGTCATGCCGGAACTGATGATGTAGCATATGCTTGTCACGCGTCACTTTTCACCATACCGAAAAGAGAGCGTTTCCAGATGAGCCGTGTCTGAGAATGGTATCTCGCATACCAGGCTGTTGCTGCGCAATCAGGTTGCCAAAGCCAAGACTGACCGGCCGAAGCTTCTCAACCATCACCTCAGTCGAAGTAACAAAAACATCATTCAACACCATCGACATCTCTGAATTCCGAGAGTCGGCTTTCGTTCCGGGGACACCTCGTCTTTTCAAACAACCAACGACATCCTCAATCAAGAGTCCCTTTCCCGCATCATCAAAATGGTTCAAGCACGATAAAGCCTTTCACCCCAAGGCCCTCACACGGGGGCCCACCGTCACGTTCGCCAGTTACATGGACCAGTTTGCGCATCACATGCTGCCCTATGAGCTAATGAGCCCCCAGCTCTCTGAAGACACGAATGTCATTGTCAGTACAACAAATCAGTTCCTTAACTGGCTTGCTTCGGGCTCGGACCCGATAGGCGCGGTCCTGGCCGGCATCGTTCATGCCGCTAGTTACCCAGACGCCTCGGAGCCGCGCTTCTCCTCCTTCACCGCGCCCTTTCTGCTCCTTCTCAAGGCGATTGAGTTCAACAGACTGCACGAGAAAAAACTCAAGCAGCTCTATGTAGCTCAGGCCCAAATACCCGACCTCCCGCCGGAAATTCAGGATGACCTCCCTGTCCCGCGCATCGTAAGGGAGGCCGGCAAAGGCGATATTTACAGTTCGAGCGTGTGGCTCGGGTTGGAACCGACGTACACACCGCTGCACCGCGACCCTAACCCAAATCTGTTCTGCCAGCTTGTCGGTGAAAAGGCCATTCGTTTACTTCCCCCGTCGTCTGGGGATCGCTTGTATCGCAGGGTGCAGACGCAGATTCAACAGTCTGGAAACAGCCGCATCAGAACGACGGAGATGATGGAAGGCCGTGGGAGAGTCGTGATGAACGCGGCCGTTTGGGGTATGGAGGGCCCCGAGGACATTGTGGAAGCCAGATTAGGCCCTGGAGATGCTCTGTTCGTCCCCACGGGCTGGTGGCATAGTGTCAAGAGTGGGCATCATGACGGGCGACTTAATGCGTCGGTGAACTGGTGGTTCAGATAGGAATTATGAACGAGGGGATGACATGACGGGGCATGTAAGGCAAGCAGCCGTGTACTATAGTGGACGGGTTTCGATTGTTCAAGTACTACCCACGGCGAGCCAGTAGAATACACTACTTTTGGTTATTTGCCGACGTATTTCTCTCGCTTTTTGTTGAACCTGGATTCACCTTGGAACGAAAACTGCGGTAGTGGGGTGAGCTGCGAGCCCTATTGAAACGCAGAATCCTCCAATGTTCCAACAGCGAGACCTATCACTAGCACAATAGCTCAGGGGTAGAGCGCTGGGCTCATAACCCAGAGGTCCCTGGATCGAAACCAGGTTGTGCTACACTACAAGTTCTGCTATTTCAGCCTCACGATTTTTTATGCATCTATTGCAAACACTCCTTGATTGTCGCATTTTGCTCGACGATGGATGATTTCCCCAATGAATTGACATCACTCCACCGCCGCGAGAGTGTATTGTCACAGTTGTGCAACATCTCGTTAAAAGCGTTTTAACTATCCCGAACCGGTGCCCCTGCGGCGCACAAAACAAGGTAGACCATCCTTCATTGGGAGTGTTAGACTGCTTTTGCTGACTCTCGTCGAGTCGTCCACCCTCACGCAGTCAAAAAGGCCAACCACCGTGGCGATGACCTGCACGGCAATGATTTCTGCCATTTTCTTGCCCAGACACGTCCTCGGCCCACCGTTGAAGACGGGGAACTCCGAGGCGCTCTTGTTGGCTACTTTGCCATCAACTAGCCAACGCTCAGGGCGGAACTCGTCCGCATCGGGGCCCCATATGAGGCGTGATCGGTTCATTGCCCAAGTGCACCATACAATGACAGCGTTTTGGGGGAGAAAAGTACCGTCCGGCAGAGTGGTCGCCTGTATGGCCTGCTTGATCTCGAAGGGGATGGGTGGGAAGATGCGCAGTGCTTCACAGAAGACGGCGAAGGTGTATGGCATCGATGTTGGATTGCCCTGCTTTGATATGGCCTTCTCGAGTGTGCCCTGGCTGTCTCCTGTGACTTGGTCGATTTCCTTGCGGACCTTGGCTACGACCTCGGGATGCTTCATTAACAAGTAGAACGTCCATGTAAGAGCTTGTGCCGTTGTGTCTCTGCCAGCGGAGAGATAGTTCAGTGCAGCATCAGCGACCAGCTGCTCATCCCCGATGGAGTCCAAGAGCGATTGGATTAGACTGCCCGAGATATGGCCCATTCTATCCTTGCTAGCATCCTTGAAAATCCGCTTCTCGTTTACGGTACGACTCTTCCTGTCCTTCATTGCGTTGGAGACAATACTGCGTCCGAATGACTTCACGGCCGATATAGACTTCCGCAACCGGGTACCAGTAAATAGTTCGCTGACGAACCATAGCGGGTTTTGAAATCGTTCAGCAGTTGCTCCGGATGCGTAGTCGAAAGCCAGGCCGAAATCGTCTTCGGCGTGCATCTCCATCTGGGACTTCCCATCAGCGAAAGAGTCCTTGCACACGAGTAACTTGGCTGGAGCAGGGATTGAGTGGCTCTGAACCAGGAAGGAAACCTACATTGTACGCCATCTTCCCCATGAGTTGTGTGGTGATTTCGTGAAAGACAGCTTGTAGGTCAACAATTCCCTTGCCGGCCTTAGCCTCCAGGAAGGCCACACTCCGCGATAGATACTCTGGCAGAGCCACATCTGTCAAGACTCTCAAGTTTGACGTGTTGAGAAAGTTCAGCCCCGCCTTGCGCTGTATCCTCCACAGGTCGCCATCAACATTGATGATGCCGTTTCCTGTATCTGTGTGAGCAAACATGACCCTTCGGTGCTGATTCGCCTGGGGTGCTGACCGAATAGGTCCCTCGACCGCGCTTGGAAGAACTCGCCCTTGGCAAATATGCCCTCATTTTTGAAGACGTAGTCGAGATTTCTTGGGTCACTGATAATGACGCCAGGCGGGAGGCTTGGTACGGAGATCTGCAACGTCTCAAAGCCGTAGAGCTGCTCGCACTTTGCAAACCAGTCGAACAACTTTTGTCGATCTCTTAAGAAGTTAATTCCGTTGCCGGCAAGGGGTAGAGTACCAGGGGGGCGTCTGGGCAAACCAAGTCAGTGGTGCGTTGGACCGGGACCTGTCCGTCCCATCTGTGGGAAGCTCCGCCTATGACTTACTGTAATGGAACACCGTTTCTCCTCAATTTGGGTTGGCCAAAAATGGCATACAGCAAGACGGAAACAATGCCTGCGGCGAGGACTGTTAAGGGGTTAATGAGACCCATGTTGAAGCCGTAGACCACAATGGTCGTGAAGGCGACGAGCAATCCTTCTGTCAGCCGTATGGCGCTTCAAAATTCCAAAGAAACCCTTTGCGCTTGGACGAAAGTATGTTGAAGGAAGTATCAAAATCCTGGGATGAAGTCCGGTGGTTGGGCTGCTTCTCGGCTTCGCTTCATTCAGTCTGCAAAAAAAAAGGTGCCTAATTAGCAGCAGAAAGACAGTTACATTGGGTCTGATCAAAATAGGGTATGCTAAATGCGTCGGGAATCGTCTGATGTCAAATCATCCAATGAATGTCTATCCCAGAAACTCGACGGCTTCATCCAGGTAGGCCAAAGAGGAAGCTGGTTGGCGGTTGACGCTTGGCGAGGATAGCAGGTTGAATTGGCTTCCAAGTCCCAAGGGATCGATCCCACTGCTTCCCTCTCCGGTGTTCCACTAAAGCCCTGTCAAACCCCGCCCCCCTGTAGCTTCCCGCCGTCATGCTATCTTCCATTTCATCATCCTCACCTCACATAGTCAATTACCTCCAAAACGTAGACACCGCCAAATAATCGCCGACGGAGCAGTCCCGTAGTACACTGGTGGATATGTCACAGCCTCGTACCAGCTGTGTCGTTCACCCACGGTCAAATGAACAACCAAACCTACCTACCTACCTAATAATTAGGTAGGTACTGTGTTCCTGTACCTGTACAACGTGGAGACGGGATCCCTGCCCGTTCTGGATCTTTCGGTGTCTCAAGGTGTTTGTTACGTGCAGCGAATGCGACACCCTCGAGCCTTCCGCGCCAGCTAGGGGAACCGAACTCAACGCCTCTGTTCCTCTATCCATACTGAACAAGCACACCATCGACCCGTCCACAGCATCAACCTTTATGGCTTAGAATTGGCCTGCAAGCTAGACAACAGAATCCTTTTGGAAGCACGTGCTATCTAGCGGTAAATCTCTTTTGGCCGCCCACATCTATTCAGAATTTCTATTGCTCCATACCGAACATTGTCTCGCTTGCACGGCTCTTCCCAGCAACACCAACCACTCTCGCCTTAACATCACCACGATGGCGCCTCTTATACCACGATTTCACCTCTTCGAAATCGACGATCAACCATGGTATGCACGACTGCATCGACTCCCTCTCTCTCCGCTTCACCTCTGCTTCGCAGTCAACTGACACACTCTCTGAACAGGTTCCCGTCTTTCCTCCGCGCTCACGTTCAAGAGGGCCTCCACGCTGCCTGGGTCCAAAGACTCCCCGTCCTTCAGACTGCCTCCCCAGCCCGCGTTGCCGCCCAAATCCTTCAGCGCATGCTCGGCCCCCGCCTACCCTCCTACACCTTCATTGACTTCTGCGCTGGCTCCGGCGGGCCAACTCCTGCCATCGAGCGTCACGTCAACCGCCACCTCACAGCTCAGAAGCAGCCCACTGTTGACTTCATCCTGACCGACCTGCACCCTAACACCGACGCCTGGGCCCGCGCCGCCGCCAAGAGCAATCACATTGGCTACGAGCCCAACAGCGTGGACGCTGCCGCCGCGCCCCGCGAGCTCGTTGACGGCTATGCCTCGAAAGGCAAGAAGGTCTTTCGACTCTTCAACCTGGCCTTCCACCACTTTGACGACCCACTGGCAAAGGCAATTTTGAAAAACACACTCGAGACATCGGACGGATTCGCCATATTCGAACTGCAGGGCCGCGACCTATACTCTTTCCTCATGCCCGCCATCCTTGGCATCGGGTGCATCTTCTTGGCGCCCTTCCATGCGTGGAGGTTACGCTCGCTTTCGGTGTTGATTTTCACCTACCTCATCCCAATTTTACCGTTCGTATTGGTCTTTGATGGGTATGTTTCCGCCCTGCGAACAAGGACGCCTGATGAAGTCGAAGCACTGATGAAGTCGTGCGGCGCCCGCACCGATGGTTGGGAGTTCAAAAGTGGCAGCGAACCGCATCTGCCGCCTGTTGGGCACGTGAACTGGATCGTGGCCGAGAAGATTTCATCCAGAGATTGGTTAGATGGACGGTATGAGTCTCCGAGTTGCAGCTATCTGCATAAAGTAATATATAAACCATGATATGACACAAGTACTTGTGCCCTACATCTGTGTAGCCAAGCACTAATGTCAGTCTAAGGCCTCAAACCAAGAGAGAAAGTAGACGCCCTCACCTCACCAGCTTCACGGATGAGTTGAGGAGTCTCATTGGTAGTACAAATCTACTCAGCTCGTGAACCCAGCCATGCGTTTCCGGATGTAACCGGGGGTTCTTACATTGACGACATCGAAAGTCTTGGAGAGGAAGTAGAATTTAAGTGACGGGCCCACGGGAGAAAGGAGTCTCTGGATGGCGTCAAGCTTGCTTTCATTTTCAATCTATAAGATGAAGTCCAAAAACTGATCAAACTCCTGTTTTTATACAGCAGAAAAACAACAGAATCCCAACTGCCGCAGTCCCATGCGGCATCATGTTCATGTCGAACGATGTCGACATAGCCCGTTTCCCAAATATGACCCGAAGAAATGATTAGATATGATAATCATAAACCCATGAATGACGACGCTTTACGCTCGCACAGCAGCACTTGGTTCGACACTTTAGTTTAGACAACGGGACCAGCTTTGACGACCTCCTCGGTCGCCTCGCTCGCGTACTTCTTGAAGTTCTCGTTGAAGAGGGTGCCAAGCTTCTTGACCTCGGTCTCAAAGCTGTCGTTGCCCGCGACCCAAGCGGCCTTGGGGTTAAGCAGCTCGCTGGGGACGCCGGGGCAGGTCTTCGGGACCTGGAGGTTGAAGGTCTCATACGTCTCATACTCGACCTTGGCCAGCTCACCGGAATGGATGGCGTCGAGAATGGCGCGGGTGTACTTGAGCGGGCAGCGCTTGCCACCCTGGGAGGCACCAGCACCAACCCAGCCCGTGTTCAGGAGCCAAGCGTTGGCGTTGTGGTGCTCAATCTTATCAGCGAGCATCTTAGCGTAACGCATGGGGTGCAGGGCAAGGAAGGGCTGGGCGAAGCACGAGGAGAAGGTGGCCTGGGGCTCGGTGACGCCGTCCTCGGTGCCGGCCATCTTGGAAGTGTAACCCGAGATGAAGTGGAACATGGTTTGGGCGCGGTCCAGCTTGGAGATGGGAGGTAGGACACCACGAGCATCGCAGGTGAGCAGCACGATGTTGGTGGGGTGCGAGTCGGAGCGGCAGGGGATCTTGGCATTGCTGATGTACTCAATTGGGTAGGCGCATCGAGTGTTTTCCGTGAGGGTAGAATCATCGTAGTCGACGATGCGAGTCTCGGGGTCGAAAACAACGTTCTCGAGAACGGAGCCGAAGCGGATGGCGCCAAAAATATCAGGCTCCTTTTCCGCGGACAGGCCAATGGTCTTGGCGTAGCAGCCGCCCTCGATGTTGAAGACGCCGCGGTCACTCCAGCAGTGCTCGTCGTCGCCAATCAGGGCACGCTGAGGGTCGGCCGACAGAGTGGTCTTGCCGGTGCCGGACAATCCGAAGAAGAGGGTGACGTCGCCGTTCTTACCCTCGTTGGCAGAGGAATGCAGGGTGAGAACGTTGTGCTTGATAGGCATCTCGTAGAAGAGGACGGTGAAGACACCCTTCTTCATCTCACCAGCGTACTCGGTACCAAGAATGACCATCTCCTTCTGAGCGAAGTTGATAGCGACTGAGGTGCCGGAAGTCATGCCCTCGGTGTATCTGTTGGCAGGGAAGGAGCCAGCATTGTAGATGGTGTAATCGGGGTGGAAGTGCTCGAGCTCCTCACGAGGAGGGCGGATGAGCATGTTTCTCATGAACAGGGCATGGTAGGCGCGGGCACAGATGACACGGACACGGATGCGGTACTTCTCATCCCATCCAGCATAACCGTCCACGACGTAGATGCGATTTCTTGTGTTCAGGTAATCGATGGCACGCTCGCGGTTGATCTTCCAGACCTAGAAAACCTCACGTGTCAGCAGATGTGTGATAAGAGGCTGAAGCAGATTTGTGGATCTGGGTGCCGGGGAGAAGCAGTGATGTGGAGGCGACCAAAGTGGTGTGGGGCGAGGGACAGGGGTATGGAAGGTGGTTTAGCGTCTTTTCCCGCCCCGGGGCAGAAACAGAAAGTGGTAACAATGCGACAGAGGGGCTGTAAGACTATGACGACACTCTTCAGGCGCAATCTGCGCCCAGAGCACACATCGCTCCCACGTAGAACACAAAGGGGGAAGTGTCTGAAGGTCACAGTGTCGATGTGAAACATGACGTATTCATCGATAGCAAGTTCCTCGGCAAGCTTGGCCTTTTCTTGCGCCGCTGACTGGTATTTCAACCAACTTGACAGCTGCAGACGAGAGAAAGTCAAAGCAATGCAAGGTAACTTGTTTCATCGAGATCCTGTTTGATGTTTGTGTCTGGGGGACGTGGCTACTGCCGCTGCTGGCGGGCGGGCTGTGATGGGCTGGGCTAGGCGGGAAACAAACAGACAGCCGACGGGAAGAGTGCCGCCTGTGTGTGGTTTGTCTTACCTCGGGTGACATGGGCTTGTTGACAGGACCCCACCTAGGAAATTCGAATGTTAGCAAATGATTACGCATTCAAAAATTAGCAACCAGCCGTTTAGCTGCTCACGTGCGCGCGGCCAGATGTGTGCAATGGCTGTGTTTGGGTACCGGTGCTTACCAAATGTCGTCCTTGGAGCCGTCCTCCTCGACAATTCGCTTGTCGAGAGGCGAGCGTCCAGTCTTCTTTCCAGAGTAGGCAGTTAGCGCACCACTTGATGTGATGGCAGAGCCAGTCTCGTATACGAGAGCATCTTCGTAGAGGGCGGCGACGGAGGCGTTAGGGATCTGGTCCATGGTTAGTTACTTGTCCAGAATCTGTCTTTGTGTGCTGTTCGCACGTACAATGGCGACTCGGTCATAGTCAATGTGCGCGGTCTCGTGAAGCTCCTCCTCTGTTTCGGTGTGTTAGACAAGCTCAGGGTGTTGGACTGCTACAATCGCCGTAGGGGATCGGGTAGCTGTTAGACTATCATACCAAGCTCGGTGTGCTCGTGGTGAGGACTGGATGTGCCATGTTAGTCGGGATCCTTCGCAACGCAGGTCCAGATATGGAAGCAAGTGGACATACGCAACACCACTAGGGTGGAGAGGGGTCTTGTTGACGTTGCTAGCGATCACTTTGGCGGTGGCCATGTTAGCTCCTGGTGTGTTCTTTGCTTCAAGTAAGGTGGGCTGTGATGATTGGGAGGCCTTGTCGAGGCTACATGAAGGGTAAGGGAGGTCAAGACGGGGAAACAGAGCCCGTGTCTAAGTGGAAGATGTCCGATAGACGGGAAAGGGTACGGCGATGTGGATGGATAAAGGGAAACGAGAAAGGAGGGGACGAACTCTTGCGTAAATCTGCGTGGGTTCCTTCGTGAAGAATTTGTGACTTTGGGCCCTTTACTGCTGGATCGGTGTAGGGAGAAGCGGTTCTCTGGACGGGATCCTTCATGGTTATAAAGAATTGAGAAGACGGCGGGCTGGTTCTTTGAGATCGGGTGAAGATGGCTTGGGTCAGGGCTGGTGGTTCTCGTCCGCTTTCAGGGATGGCAAAGGAATCGTGTATCCACTTTCGTGTCGAGGTACGGATAGTGTGGAGCGGAAAGGCAGATGGGAGTGTATGGAGTGAGTGGGCAAAGGTGTATGCAAGACTGCTTCGCGACTTGGTCCGGGCTGGAACCGAGGATAGAAGGCCAGAATGGGGTCTCCCACTTATAAGAACGGGCGCGGCGTGTGGAGTCGCGGGGAGAAGGGCAACAACGTGACTGGACGAGTTGTGGTTTGCTGGGCGCTCCACGATATTATTTCGGGTTCGGAGGAGGGGCGTAGATCCTTGTTGCGGGTTCGGAATAGGGACAGGATCGGAAAGACTCGAACCTGTTGCTTGTCACTTTCGTCCCTCGGGGCGAGCTCGTGGAGAAGCGGACCAGCGGTATCCGTACGAAGATGGACAAGTACGTACTGGGTATGTATCTCTCTGCCCTACCTTGGGTAGGTAAGTAGTGAGTGTGAGTGTGGGGAGGGGTGAGAGGAGGGAGGGGTGGGGTGCGTGGGTGTGTGGTCGACCAGTGCAAGTGCTGCGAGGTGCAGGGCATTCTTGGATTGCCTCATCGTCCAAAGATAATGAGGACCCGACCCGTCTCTCTCTTTGATTATTGGGTCATGATATCACGTCGGGCTAGGTACCTACTGGAGCACACGAGAAAGGGGACGGACGGATTGATGGACAAGTGCCATGCGGGTGGGAACTGGCGGCACGGCAGGGGAGGGTAGACAGATAGCAATTCGACATTTCTCTCGGTGGACGATTTACAACACATTCTGCTCCCTCTCCCCCTCTCAGTATTGTACACTACTACTACTGCGCGCGGCTGCATACCTGCCCACCTAGGTGGTATACATAGTACGTGTATCCGAACACTGGCACGCACATATCCGCATCCACACACCCCCCCCCCCCCCCTACAAAAGCTCCGCCTGTGACTCCGTCATTATTCTTGACTTGACACAGCGTGGAAAACATACGTGGTAGATCTAGTCGCGAACGCCTCGTATATGTCCTTGTACTGAAACTAGATTCGATCAGGTCCAGATATTCGCCTCTGGCGCATTAGAACGAGTAAAACTTGGCACGTTAACCAAAAGCATTACTCGTCTGACACCCAAAAACGACGAATCTTCCGGTCTGTATACCCCCGGGTAGCGTCGAACCCTAAATGTTGTCTCGATAGGACTTAACACGCGCCTCCCAATACGCATAACGCGGAGGCGTTAGACCCGGCTGCAAGATGCCCGTTGGCTACGATGGATAGATAGACAAATCCATCTCTAATCGAAAGATGTAGTGGAGGCCAGCTTACGCCGGAGTAATAGGAAGGGGACTGCGTACACACTGTTAGTAGTGATTGCCCGGAATGTAATCAAAGATGGTGAGACGTTTCACTCCTTCTTAATCCCCATTTCAGGCACATGCCGGGCCTAAGGCGGCCTCCCCCACAATCACAACCTGCAGGCTTCTTCCGTCTGTCTCCGTGGGTGTCGGCATGGTCCTCCCGAATGCTGGCTAACTTACCTTGTCTCTCTTGCATCCGATCCGTCAATAGTGTGAGACTCGAAGCCGCCCGCCCGCCTACCCAGTACGTAAAACATGTCTTTGTGCACGTGCTCTCTTTCAACAAGGCGGCAGCAGCACATGGTCCCTTTCTGCTGATTCGGGTTCGTTTGGTTACAGATTGCGGCATTACTATTGGACGACTCTCGGGCTGTCTCGTTAGGCAGGAGAAGGAGAAGGAGACGGAAGGACAAAGGACAAGAAGAGTTCAGGCGGCCTCCGGGACGCTCCTCGGTCGTCGAAGCCTCTTCAGTTTCTTGAAATGTCGAGGTCGAAAAGATCCGGGAAGGACAATGCACCTGCAGAAGAAATGCTACCATTACCCTTGCACATCCACCAGCCAGTACCCAAGTACCCCGTGGGAGAGGTGTAGGTACATAGCCTTAAGTATGCATGTCTGTGTGGCCATGCGGCACCCAACCCGACGAGCCCCCATGATGATCGATTCAAATCTTGTTCCTCCAAAGAGCCAATTAACCGCGGCCAAAGTTACGAAACCATGCATTAGGCAGTTGAAGTCAGAAACCAACTTAAATTTTTTTTATTCTCTGAATTTGTCTTTGTATCTTGCCCTTGCCCTGAGGAACGTGGCCGAGTCAGGGTGTGAAAGAACGAAGTAGGTATGGATTTGATTTGATCCAGTTTTGGTTTTTTCCAAGGAAAAAGAAAAGAAAATTAGGAAGAAGCTGGAGAAAAAGATGCAAAAACAATCAAGCGTGTATCGTGAAGAATAAAAATACACAACAGCAGGAAGAGCTGGGGACAACCCGTCCAGTATCCGTTCCGTGCCGTACCTGACTGAGGAGAGAGCGCGAGGCACATGTCTGCTGTCTCGTCATGGGTAAGGGGTACGTACGTACGTACGTAGGGATGCAGTACCTACCTACCTAGACTCACACCCGCTTCTTACAGGTACCGTCATCATGCCTTTGTCCTCTCCCTGCCCGGGTCCTGGGTATCTGTACCTAGTCAGGATGTCTTCCTCACCCCGCCCCCTCGCTCTCAGCCCACCTCAGCCCAACCACAAGCCCAGTAGAAGCAAGCCAAGGCTTTGAGACGGGCCTCGACAAGGAGGTAATAGGCAAGTTCCTTCTCGGTCTGATCTTTTGGCTTGAGATGCTGCTCCCCGCTGCAGCGCGAGTTCGCTGCGAGCCCGCTGGGTTGCTCTGCAAGCATGTTACCCTGCCATCTTGCTCGACCCAGTAACCAACCAGCGCTTACGCGGAAAGTCTACCTAATCGCATGGCTTCCATGCGCCTACGAAAGCTCCGTGTCTCTGTCCGAATCCCCTCTACCCTTTTTTATTTGTGCTCTGCAGACTAATTGCAGTACAGCGCAGTAAAGATTCTCTCGTCTTGCTTCTCGTTGTGTTACTAAATAAGGTAGTAATTTAAAGCTTTATGATGACCCCCAAAGTGTGTGCCCCTTCGGTTCGTCCAAGCGGCAAACAGTATCCGTAACCTACAGGCAAAGAGAACAAGCTGAAACGACATCCACGATAATGTTTAGGAACACCATCTCAAAGTGATTGATTACAGCACTAGTTTTCTGCCTTCGTGTGAAGCCAACCCCGCCAACGCATCGCGGCAATGCAATGCAAGAAAACAAAATGCCATGCCCCCCGGGTTTCCCCTCTTTCACGGGTGTCTTGTCTTGCTTCTTACACGCACACCCCATCTTTTCCCCAAACCAGCACAGTTCTTCATCGGGCTTTCACGGGTAGGAGGGGAAGCCAAGTACGATTCAAAACGGCTGGATCTGATGGATCCACAGACTCGTAGGTGGGATGGGCCCCGGCCAATCTTGCAAAAAGATGACGTTGGACAGCTGCATCGAAAGGAGAGAGCCGCTTCGCGTGGGTGTGTGCGCGTGTGTGAGCGCCCCGCCCTGGTACGAGTTACCCCGCGCTCCCCATTGCCGTTCGCCCAATGGGCGCCGCTAGCCGTGCAGAGAGGCTCATCCTCAGCTTGCTGTTCCGACATCTTCCGGCGCACACAATTTAATTCCTTGCTCAACTTGTTGATTGTATCATAACTGCAACTCCAAGATACGGTAATGCGCAGAGTGTCGCAACTCGATACAATTCACTCTCAGGTCATACGCAAACCCACATGCATGCCATAACAACCTCCTGTACCATTACAACAGGGGTGCCAGAGCCTACGTTGGCTGAATATTGATCCTTTGTTGTGCCGTACCGCTCCTACTACCTTTGTATTCGAGAGAGGCCATGCATGTCATGTCCCTCCCACTACGTACATTTCTCGTTCCGAGAGCACCTATGACTGGTAGAATACCTCGTAAAATGGAGATAACAGAAGGATGGACAACATGGTCATCATCTCGTCTCGGGCAGGCACAGCTCGTCATGGGGTCAACGGGTCATCTGACCGGGCACGTTCAAAGATGAAGAACCGACATTGCAATAACATCTCGTGGAGTGGCCTGGCTAGTCAGATACGGAAGAGGGGGCGGGGGAAGAACAGTCTGCCAACTGCATCGACCCCACGATACGTAGTCGTCGTCTCGGCGCGTCCGTATTAGCATTACACCACACAGAACAGGAAACTAACCAGGGCCAACTAGGACGTACGCCTCCGTCAGTGCCGGGTCTCTTCGGCTCCGCTCGACTCGCCCCACTCGCCCATTGCCGGAACCTTTCAGTACGTACCTCTCTGAAAGCAGTACCTGGGTTTGTGCCCAGGTACTCTCGAATTGGGCTGTCACTCCAGAGCCCGCTCCTAACCTCCACGAGAAAATCTCGGAACCGCCGACTGGGCTGGGGATACCCTTATTGTTCTCTAACTCTTTGGCATTGCAGCCCCGCGAATGTCCTACTTGTCGGAATCTTTCGGGATACACAATGGTTCCAGATAGTCATTTCGGAATCCGACAATCCCAACTCTTGCTACCTTAGCTCGCTTACGCAGACACACAAACACACACACACACGCATACAGGGTCAAAACGTGAAGCCATCGTCATGTGCGTGTTTTGTCCGGTTTGAGATTGATTTCTGGTTTTGGATCGATCCATCTTTCCCATCACTTACCCCAATCCTCCTTCACAATGCTATCTGCGGTCGGCCCTGTCATGCCGAGTCTGTTGTGTCGCGTCCGTCCGTGTCACGGCATTGCCGCCCTCACTTCATGACGTCGCTCACTCCTCTTTCTACGCTATCCAGCCCCATCTCTATGCATGTCGGTCGTGGCCCAGAACACCTTCATCCTTTTGTTGTTGCGAATGCTTTTTCGCGCCTGCCGTTTTCAAGAAACACTCGGCTCGGTTCTCTCGCCCGAAATTGAGTCTTGTTTTCGCGTCACCCATTGTCAATTTAAGAAGCCTCGTCAGTGATCAGCTTCGTAATCTTGCCAATGGCAATGGTTTGTCCCTATTCTCATATGTTAGCCGTCGGGCGAGCAACTTTGAGGCAAGAGCGAGCGGAACGAACCTGGTCTCTGAGGGTGAAACGACCCATTTGCGGGTAGTCTTCGAACCTTTCAATGCACACTGAGCCGGCACCGCCAATGACTTGCAGACGAGCGATGATACTGTCTCCCTTCTTTGCGTGCGAAGGCGGCAGCTTGCTCTTGCGGTTGGTGCCCTTTTGCAACTTGTGCAGCAAGGCGGCGAAAGTCACTTCTTCGATGGCAGCGTGGACGTGCAGCACGCAGTTGAAGCCCGCTGACAAGATGCTCTTCAACTCCAGGATGCGGATCTGCGCCTCAAATGTCTGCACGTTGTGCACCAAGCGCTTGGGCGAGCACAGGACGAAGCCAGGCATAATGTCTTCCTCCTCAATGCCTCGAAGACGGATGCGAACCTGGTCGCCACACTGGGCAACCTGCACTTCCTCCTCAGTCTCGCCGTAAATGGCCGAGGCATCCACGTTCTGCTTGTTGGGCATCATGACAAGTGACATGCCCTTCTTGATGACACCGGCCTCAATCTTACCCTCAATCATGGTGCCCATATCGCGGTACTTGCCTGCGACGGCCATCATGAAAGGCGCGTTGACCTTGCGCTCCAGAGCCTTCATACCATCGAGGTACTCAAGCAATGAGGGTCCGTCGTACCAATCGGCAGTGCCCTTGGGAATCCTCTCTTTAATGTTGATTGACTGCTGGGCGGCCACGGGGATGAAGAAAACGTCCGTCTTCAGGTTGTAACCAGTTCCCTTAAGGAACTGGGACAGCTTGGACGTGCACTCCTGGTAGCGCTCGTGCGACCATTCTACAGTAGCATCGTCCATCTTGTTGATGGCAACAATCAACTTGTTGACTCCCTGCGTCTTGGCAAGCATAGCGTGCTCTCTGGTCTGGCCACCACGTTCGAAGCCGGTCTCGTACTCGCCCTTACGGGCTGAAATGACCAAGATACCGACATCAGCCTGCGAGGCACCACCGATCATGTTGGGCACGTAGGTCTTGTGGCCGGGAGCGTCAAGGATACTGTATCGTCGCACATCGGTCTCGAAGTAACCTCTGCCAACCTCAATCGTCTTACCCTGTGACCTTTCCTCCTTGTTCAAGTCCATGACCCAGGAGAGGTACCAAGACGGGTTGCCGAGTTCTCTGGCTTCCTTCTTGTACTTTTCCATTGTCCGCTCATCTACCATTCCTGTGTTGTATAGGATGGAGCCACCCAGAGTGGACTTTCCGGCATCAACGTGCCCGATGAAAATGATGTTGACGTGCTCCTTTCCGTAAATTTCCTTCAGAGTCGCCTCGTCGACGTCGGCAGTCTGCTCCTTTTGAACGGCGTCGACATCTCTCGCGGCGGTCTTCTTTTCACCTGCAGAGGGGCTTGAGCGGCCGGAAGAAGGGGACGGAGAGGTCTTTCCGGACTTGGTAGTAGAAGCACCCGTCTTCTCAATCGCCTTGGCAGCCGTGGCCTTGGCTCCGGCCTCGGCCGCGGCGGCGCCGGCCTCCTTAGCAGACTCCTCCTTCTTCTCCTCCTTCTTAGGCGGGGCAGTACCGCCGATGGAAAGGACCTTCGCCTTGGGCTTGGGGGCGTCACCGCCAATGCTCAAGACTTTGGCACCGCCCTCCTTCTTCACTGTAGGTTGGGGCGCGGGCGCGGGCGCGGGGGCATCGGCGGGGCGCTTGGCAATGGTCGGGGCGGGCTGTTGCTGCTGCTGCTGTTGTTGTTGCTGTTGCTGCTGCTGGCCGTACTGAGGGTAACCCTGGCCTACGAGTCCTTCGTGTTAGCGGTGATTGTGATGAAGGTCATATCCCAATGTGAAATATACCGTAGGGTTGTTGGTAGCCCTGGTGGCCATAGGCACCATAGTTGTTGCCCTGTCCGTACTGGTTGAAAGTTTGTTGACCTTGACCACCGTACTGAGGGAAGCCGCCAGCACCAGCGTAGCCCTGGTTGTAGTACTGCTGGTATTGAGGGGCGTAGCCGCCGTATTGCTGACCGGGCTGGAATGCCTGAGCTCCGGGGGTGAAGGAGGAGGCGCCTGGGCGGAAGGTGCCGGGCTGAGAGTTCTGCTGTTGGTTGAGGTTAAGTTGCTGCTGGGCCTGGCGCGACAGGTTGTCATCCTGGGCCGAAGGATCGTCTTCCCACGAGTTGAGGTTCGACATCGTGATGGACTGCAGCGGGGCGGATGGAATGGATTATCGAAGAGTAAGATGAGTAGGTGGTGAAAGAGTGGAAGCGGGATCGAGGGGTTGGGGAGAGAATGCGGTCAGAGCTGGAAGTGGGATGGGATGTTAACGAAATGCGCCCCAAGAAAGATTTAAAGAGGGGCTGGAGGGTTTATTTTTCCCGTGGCGGCAACAAAGGTGACAGGTACAGGCAGGCAGTGAGTGACTTCAGTACCTGAGGTAAGGCAGGGACGCAAAAACGGTGGGAGACAAATGGAACAGGTGATGAGGACAAGGTGACTACGGCTTGGATCTGGATTCTAGTGACTCAGCTTTGGGCTGGACGTGCCACTAAGTTCCTGATTATTCGACTCGTCAAATGGTTTAGATTATTCGAAGCCCTTTGCGGTTCTGGCAAATTTTTTAATTATCCTTTCGCAAAGATCCAACGCAGCGGCTCAGGTTTTGCAAGTGTATCGACCTGACGAACGCTTTCAAGTGCGGGCTCCACCGTTCGGCGGGGTCGCCGCGGCGCTGCCTTGACACTGTGGCACTGTCCACGGTTGCGTGCCTCGATTGAGGGGTAATTTGCTCCTCCAAAACCCAGAGCACGATGAATGCCCCTCGCTGAGTTCACGTGATTTTTTTTTTTTGTTGTTGTTGTAATATTTAACGCCGGGACGTTCCTGTAGAGGACAAAGGGCGCCTAGGGCAGCTAGCTAAGGAGATATACAAAAAGCACTCAGCCGGAACCGGCCTATTGTAATATTCCGACGCTAACCTCCTAGGAGGTCAAATTGGTTGTTGTTCCTTCCGTTAAAGTGCCTATGGGCTCGATCGGTGTGTTCCTTCCTTCTGGATATGCCTTCATAATGGGCCGCCAGCCCCCTGAGCCTTCCATTCCTGCCCATTAATCCAAGATATCCTTCACCCGGCCGGATTCCCACCCCTTCCTAACAAGTACTGACAAGTATCCGTAATACGGCACTGATTGCTTCAGTTTCTCCTTATTCCAGGGCTACCCTAGGGAAAACCACAGAGGGAGAAAAACCTAGGGCAGCCGGTTGCAGCTGCACGGGGCTGCATAAAGTGTGTGTCGTTTGCATCGGCTTGAACTCTCCAGAAGTAGCCTTTGCCTAGTCGCTCGATGTGGTGTGCATCTGATTGATGTTGTGTGGTGTTGAAGAGGAAAGGGGTCCTGAAGTGGTGGTGTTGAGGACAGATGCGTCGAGGGATTGTCGGAAATGTGCGCCCTGTTAGGGGTACAGGGCGCCTTCCATACGTTTTTCTAACAGAGGGGTCCGTGCACCCATGGGTTGAAAAATAAATAGAAGGGAGAGTTCCTGAGTTCACGTGAGAAGCGCGGGCCTGGCTGCCCGTTTCGCACTGTGCGATGTTGCCAACCCCTTCTGCCCAAATCGGGCACTGCAATTGGGCTGGGCTGGGCTCAGACTCCAGTAGTATTGCAGTGAGGGGCGAGCTTCCACGCCTTGCTAGGCCTTACGATCCCGTCACCGACCAGGTTCACCTCTGGCAATCTGCCTGAGGTATCCTGGTTCCAAGACTTGCACCAGGAAGATATCACCTCTTTGTGCTAGTTCTTCGAGGCAGAAGGTCGACTTCGCCTATTGATTGCACACAAACGGAAAAAAGCCCTCTGCCGCATTGGTAATCTACTCATGACCAGGCTTTCCCAGCACCAGCATGGAACCTGAACAACCATGGATGCCTTACTCGCTAGACTGGGAGCCCAGGCAATGAACATGGCCATCAGGTCGGGCATTGCCTTGACTTCGACCTATGCCTTCTCTCAGTGTTCACGCCTTATGAAAACTGTCGATGATAGGGCTGTTCGGTCAGAGATCAAGAAGCTTCAGAAGAGGTTAGACAGCAAGATCAAGGTGAGAGACCACGCCCTTGGCACCGCGGCCACTACGCTAACGTACCCTGCGGATCGTTTCTCCTGCCATAGATCTCATAGAGTTCAAGTACATGTCCCTATTTAATCGACTTCCCTCGACCCACCGGCTAACAGCTCCTTAGGTCGGGCAGAGGCAATGCCTTCCTGGAATCGGCGTTGCCTCTGGCCAAGAGTCTTAGGCGGAGTATCGCTGCTCTTGGACGCCGCGTTGAGCAGGCAGCACAGATGGGCGAAGCAACTAGCCAAGCCCTACCGCAGAGTCTGGGTTCTGAACAGCATCTTGAGGAACTGAGGGCGATCATCGATGATATGAAGGACCTCTTGAATCAGCTGGACAACGATATCCCCCTTTTGCACATGGCCATATCTGCATCAGGGGAGAGCCTCAGTTCTTCCATGTCCCCGGGTGTATCGCCGTCACGTTTCTTGCAAGCAGGTACTTTCCTCACATATGGGGATAGCCAGTTCGCCGTTGATCCTTCTCGCCCTGTGCAGATAGGACCTGTCTTCACACTGTCCATCTACATGTTGTTCCTCGGTCACGCCTCGACAACACCCGAAACACAACCGGCACACCCAGAAGGTCATTCGCAAACCCACCAAAAACTACAAAACAAGTCATCCGAAGATACCTCGGCGCCGTATGGTCTCGGGGAGAAAGAGCGTAAACCCTTGTGGCAGGAGGTCATTCATAAAGCCAGGGTTCGGCTGTGTCGGATACCGACAGGACACGTTTTTGATCCCAACAAAGGCTTCCAACCGTCAGGGGCCCAACACAGCAGATTCACCGAGTCTCGATTCCGCAGGTCAAATGCTTACGGCTCGGGTCAGCGCAACGAGTATGCCTACCACCTTGAGATCATTGAGAATTTGGACGATGGCCGTGCCCACGACGACCTCGATGATGAGGCCGCCCCGTACGACGACATCAGACGCGCAGGCATTCGCGAGTCTATCCCCATCCATCAAATTTCCAAGATGTTCTATGCCGATACCGGCCGAATCCTCAATATTGGTGGAGGAGGAACAGACAACAATCCCGTTCTGTTGTTAAAACGAGACCTCCATGCAAAGCCACCCTTGGATATGCAAGAAGAAGTGATGGCATTCGACGACGAAGCCGACTCCATTATAGTTTCCGGATCCGAGAATGAAGAGGCTGTGGATGAGCAGGAAGACATCGATCGCCAGCTTCGAGAAGAGAGTGCGGCGCTGGACATGCTGGAGCAAATGCCCAAGCTGTCTACCAAACCCTCTTGTAGGAGCTTCCCCAGCCACCTAGATCCGGAATGGCTTGCTGTGGAAGTATTTGAAGATGACGACGATTCGGAGAGCAGTGAGACTGAAGAAGAAGATCTTGGGGAGGAAGTGCACAGGTTGGACACAAGCTCGGGCCCAATATCAGCAGCTACGTCTCCGAAAACATGTTCCCGTCGTTCGAGGGCATCGTTAGACACAAGATTCATGGCGCAGATTCAGAGTCTGTCACTGCAGTCGTCCCCATCCGTCAAAGCTACGGGTTCAGCCGCGTCAGTCTCATCTTTCTCTCGGGAGGTAGCGAAACACGCGATGGAAAATACGGAGTCATTTGTCGCAAGATCGCCGTTTGGCGCGGTTGTCACCTCTCTTTCCCTCATGGAAATGTTGATTAGATTGGCGAGTCTACAAGAGTTTCAACAGGCACCGCACCTAACCATGCACGATCATATCCTGAATTTCTTCTTGGAAGAATCATCAACCACGGGACTGACGGGAGAAGAGCGGTTGAGGGCGAGGATGGAAGCGAAGGAGCGTGTTGGTTTTGATCCATACACTGATACCCCATCTAGATGATAGATCATTAGAAAATGATTGCATGACTGCGAAGCCGTCAAATCGTGCTCTGCAAGGTTTACTGGCATGTGAGGCAGCTCTGTGAGACTCTAAAAAGCGGCCCGGGTTTGAGGCGCAAAGTGCAACTGCGAGCCGTGCACTGTCTCCTGCTAAGGCGGCACTTGGCGAGAATGGGCACCGCCACACATTAATTCGACTCTAGGTAGATTCTTGCCCCACATCTGCCTAGTGGCGTCTGGTTGCCTACCCGTTGCTGGGGAAAGTTATGTCATTGGTAAATGGTATCAACAGCACATCCCGTTCACGTTGAATCAAAACCCTCCCAACAATCGCGGCTTGTTATGTTTACACATTCTGGACTCTTCCAAAAAGGTGAAACCCATCCTGTCATAAAGAAGGACCTCATTATCGGCATACTTCCTCACTTTGCCGGAGCTATATTGATCCCGCTCTTGCGGCGTTACTACAGCCCACATTCGCTTGTTTCCCCCCTCCAACGAAGGTCAACATCTGACCCCTCCACTTTGAAACGACAGAAAACCAGACGAGCCAAGTTCGCTTTCTGACCCGAAGCGCAGTCGGATCATCTCGAGCCAGCGCGCAGACAGGACAACCACTGCAGTCCGATAATACATATCAAGACTGGTCACGGCTAAGCTACACATCAATGGTCAACCAGCGGAATCCGGCCAAGGGCCCCTTGCGCCCGATCAACCCAAACGAGGACTCGCAGTCCTCGACCGCGCGCCAACTGCCCAAAACAGGCACACCTACCAGAGACTTCCGTGGAGTCTCTCGTGGGACATTACGATCCGATAGCCGAGGTTCATCCTCTTTCGAACCCGATGCCCTCGCAGCCAGATTTGACGCTATGCGTGTGTCGACAACGCCAGAATCGAACTCACGGGCGGCAATTCCAAACACGTCTGCGCGTCGCAGTCAGCCGATCCAACGCTCAGTCAGCCCTGAACTGGTAGAGATTACGCGGGACGACTTCAAGCACCCATCTCGACCGACTTCCAAGGAGAGCGACGCAAGCTCAGGCAACAAATCAACGCTACCCTCTGATGCATTGGAATCCTTCTTCTCGGACACAAAACGTCGCGATCCTTTACATTCTTCACCACACCAGCCGGTCTTTGGCCATCCCACCAAGATTATTTCCTCTCTCAAGCAAAAGGCTGCAGGCGTCTTCAACGAACGTAGATCTCGACCCGAGCACCATAGACCTCAAAATGTAGCCATGCCGTCTGTTCCCCTATATCAGGACAAGAAACCGGACCCGCGCACGTTGTACAGCTCTATTGGTCCAGATGCCAACCCTTCCACCTACAGACCTCCCGGCAGCTTTGGAGAAGCCGAGTTCTATACCGATCCGGCGAAAGCCTCAGCCGACCTGAAGGCACTGTTGGAGGGCGGCATGGAGTCGGACGATGAGGAAACTCAAAACAAGGAAGCCGAAGCGGCTGTCAATGATGGTACTATGGAAGGTCTCAAGGTGAAGCTCCTTCCCCACCAAGTTGAAGGTGTTGAGTGGATGCGAGGTCGTGAGCTTGGCCCAGTCAAGAGAGGCAAGGTCCCAAAGGGTGGTATTCTGGCAGACGACATGGGCCTTGGTAAGACTCTGCAAACCATCTCCCTGATCCTTAGCAACCAGAAGCCTTCCAAAGGCGATAAAGGCTACAAGAAGCATTTCGAGGGCATCGAAAGGACGACGCTTGTAGTCGCGCCCCTGGCGTTGATCAGGCAATGGGAGTCGGAAATCAAGGAAAAGGTGGCTAAGAATCACGGGCTTAATGTTTGCGTTCATCATGGGCCACAACGCACCAAGAGGTTCAAGGACCTTGCCGCCTACGATGTGGTTGTGACCACTTATCAAGTCCTGGTTTCCGAATGGGGCCACTCGTCCGAGGATGACAACGGCGTCAAGGCAGGATGTTTTGGCCTTCATTGGTGGCGTGTGGTTCTTGATGAAGCACATACCATCAAGAACCGCAATGCAAAGTCGACAAAGGCATGCTACGCGCTGCGTTCAGAGTACCGCTGGTGTTTGTCGGGAACCCCAATGCAGAACAATCTGGAAGAGTTGCAGTCCCTCATCAAGTTCTTGCGGATTAAGCCATATGACGACCTGAAGGAATGGAAAGAGCAGATTGAGAAGCCTCTGAAGAACGGCAAAGGACATGTTGCTATTCGCCGCCTCCACAGTCTTCTACGGTGCTTCATGAAGCGACGTACCAAGGATATTCTCAAAGAGGAGGGGGCCCTCAATCCAGGTGGCAAGCCGACGAAGGACGGTGAGAAGTCTAGCACAGGCTTCAAGGTCACTGAGCGCAAGGTCGTTACCGTGGCTACGATGTTCTCTCCTGCTGAGCGCCGCTTCTACGACAGACTGGAAACTCGAGCCGACGAGAGTATCGAGAGGATGTTGAAGGGGAAGGTAGACTATGCTAATGCCTTGGTCCTTCTTCTGCGGCTCAGACAAGCTTGCAATCACCCCAAGCTGCTTGAGGGCAAGCTCGACAAGGACAAGGATGCGCTGTCCACTGACACATCCAACAAGAACTCCTCGGCAGACATGGATTCTCTGGCCGACATGTTCGGCGGAATGGGCATCGTCACAAAGACATGCAGTATCTGTGGACGAAACCTTCCCAAGGATGTTGTCAGCAGCGATAGAGATACCTGTCAAGAATGCTATGATGATCTGGCCTACTTCAAGGAACATGAGACACCAAAGACAAAGAAGCCTAAGCACAAGAAGGGCAAAGTCAAGGGGATTGTGAAGAAGCCTGCGGCAGCCGAGGCTGAGGACGGAACACCATACAAGCCTAGAGCACGCCGACCTAGAAACAGGAACATTGTTGTCGACAGTGATGACGAAGAAGCAGATGGCAGCTGGCTCGTACCTGAGGACCAGCGTTGCCAACTGCGAATGGGGAAGGCCGGCGGCGAGGATGACGAGAACGCCGAGGGCGGCGGCGACTGGATTGGATCCGACGACTCTGATCATGAATCCGAGAACGAAGAAGACGGCAATCAACTTGACAGCTTCGTTGTTAAAGACGATGAGGATAGACGTGGGCGAAGCGTGGAAGAGAGTTACGCATCCGATGACAGCCTCCCTTCGATAGCAGCGATAGCATCGCAGGTGAAGGAGGAGAACTTTGATGCGTCGCAGTCATCGCATACCGACTCGGAAAGCGAAACCGAATCGGAAGAGGACATGGGCGTGGACGAGTTGGAGCTCCATTCTGACAATGATACGAATTACAACCCTGACGGCCAGGTGTCTCACATCCTAGCCTCCGCCAAGATCCGTCAGATGATGCAAATTCTGCATAAGGAAGTCGACCAACACAAATTCATCGTGTTCTCGCAGTTCACTTCCATGATGGATCTTGTTGAGCCCTTCTTTCGCAAGGAGGGTTTCAAGTTCACTCGCTATGACGGTAGCATGAAAAACGACGAGCGGGAGGCCAGTCTGCACCGTCTCCGTAACGATAAGAACACACGGATCCTGCTGTGCAGTCTCAAGTGCGGCAGCCTGGGACTTAACCTGACGGCAGCCACTCGCGTCATCATCCTAGAACCCTTCTGGAACCCCGTAAGTTTCTTACCCTCTCTCTCCCTCTCAACGCATTAAGCTGACAGACAATACGCTAGTTCGTCGAAGAGCAAGCCATTGACCGAGTCCATCGCCTTACACAAACAGTTGACGTCATTGTCTACAAGCTCACCGTCGAGAAGACGGTGGAGGAGCGTATCCTCGCGCTGCAGGAGAAGAAGCGTCTTCTTGCTGAGACGGCTATTGAGGGAGGCATGAAGAAGGATGCCTTCAAGCTCGGCTTCAAGGAAATTATGGACCTGTTCCGCCGCGATGCACCCGATGCGGTCTCCCGTGGCGACGACAGCTACGTCGAGCCGTCCTCTCGTAGCACCTCTGCGAGGACCAGCAGACAGGGTTCTCCGGAGACCAACTTGCTGGCCGGTAAGGCCAGGAGGGCGCCCAAAAAGATGGAACATGAAATGTTTGGCCGGCGTTGGTAGACGGATGAAAATCTGCTAGGTGGGTGTCTACATGTCTCAACTAAAATTCTGTTCGGATGTGATAGGGGCAGATGATCGGCCATTTTTGGGGAGCAATGGCGGATGGCGCTCCGTCTTCCCGAGAAGCCACTGCACGGGAGGAGCGATGCTCTTCGGCAAGGAACAGACGGAATTCTACGGCGTCAGGAAAGTGTTTGATTTTAATCTTGACGAGACAACGGTAAATGAAAACATGATTTCCACACGAGACATTGACGCGACGAACCATTTGTGATTGCCAAGTTGGCGTCGTAGGCTCAAACGTCGGGCGGCAACAGGCGTTGGATGCAAAGGAGCTTCGGTCACGTCACAACCCCGAACAGCGTGGACGACGAAAAGTATGGTACATATTCCTGTGCGCCATGTATAAATCCTCCCATTCACCGCCTCAGCGGGCCATCGTCCCTCCCCGCCTACAAACCGACAGTCTGTCTCCTCAAACTGGGGTATGGAGCTTTGAACAATCCGCAGTATTCATCCCCTATCAGGAAATGAATCGCACACAAGGCCGCTGACTACACAGCACGATACTTCATGGGACACGGCGACAACTCATCAAAATATCTCCCGGAAAGAATGGATGGGTGAAAGAAAAAATCTCCCTGCCTCTGTCGCTGACCGTCGCTTACATCCAGAGAAATGAATGTATGTTACCCATTAAACAATCATATGCCCTCCCTTACTTACCCAGTGGTCCTTCCACGCGGCTCCTAAACATATCCCCAAAGTCTCACTAGACTGGATGGGCTAGGTTTTCAGCTCGGTCGTTCTCGAGTCATTGCCTCACTATCTAATACACGCCGCTTTGCCGATAATAGTCCGCTGGGGGTGGTGCACTCGGTCCATCACCAGCGGCGGCGCCCGGCGGAACGTATGCTCGATACTGTGGCTGTGACGGGCTCTGGCTGGGTAGACTGTGCCTGGCATCATAGGCCGCGCCGCTAGGCTGTAGAGGAGGCGGTGTCAAGACCTCCGACCGGGCGGGGCCAGGAACGGGCGGTGCTGCCGTCGTCGGCACAGGCGGCGGGGCCTGAGTCGGGGCGTTGCTATAATTACCCTGCCCCTGAGCTCCAGATGGCTGGTAACTTTGATAGTGCGGCTGCTGTGCTTGTTGAGATGACTGAGAGGGCTGTCCAACTGGTGGTGCCGACGGTTGGAAAGAAGACGGCGCGGGCACCGTTGACTTGCCTACGGTAGGGCTGCTATTGTTGTACGGGTCATCCTGAGAGTAGACGGAGGACGTATACGTTGCAGCAGAGCTCGGGTTGTGGGCAGCAATGGGCGAGTCATATACTGAAGTCGCCAGCTCCTGGGCGCCGTAGGTGCTCTGAGGCCTCTGGTTAGGGGGCACGGTGTAAGTAGAGTAGGCGTTGGCTGGCGGTGTGGGCGATGTATCAATCGACGGCACCTGGGCTTTTCCGGTGGACGGATGACGCTGGTCACGGGGGGGATACTGCTGCTGGTTGTGAGACGGACCGCCCGCTGATGGCACTTCTGCACCGGCTACGTAGAAAGGGGCAGGTGTAGCCTGGGCTGGACGCTGGAAATTCGGCGAGGGCGTGGACTGGGGGTATTGTGGTTGGTCTATGTACAAGACTAGTTAAACTTGTGCATTTGAGCAAGGCAATCAAGGTAGTTCACCTTGGGGTGCAGGAGTGTAAAATCTCTGCTCCTGCTGCTGCTGCTGCTGCTGCTGCTGGGGATGCCCCTGAGGACCTTGGGCAGGGTATCCTGCTCCTGGACCACTGGGGTACCCGCCAGCGCCCGGTCTCATAGAGTACTGGTGGTAGCTTGGTTGAGGAGGGTGCGACATGGACGACTCCAATAACGACTCGTAGTCACGGCGAGCCTTGATGAACTTTTCGTTCAACTGTGTGAAGTCATCTGCGTTGTGGTCAGTCAGGGCTATCCGAGCAAAATGACTACAGCGGCATGTCTACCTTTCTTCTGCGAGTACTTCTCGATGAGCTTGATCAGCTTCGGTCTGATGGCTAGCGTCTGGTGGTAAAGTTTCTGGGCAACCGCTGTTAGTACCAGGCTCGTCATATATAAACCGTCCTACTCTTTCCGACTTACCGAGATCTCCTCATTGTCCTCCTCTCTGGGCGCCGTGTTTGATGTGCTCAGCAATGTGAGCAGCTTCTCGACATTCTTGATCTCTGCAAACACCTCGGCTTCCATCTGGGCCTCGCGTGCCAGCTCATCGGGGGTCGGGTCCGTAAGCTTCTCGACGTAGTTAAGAGGGAAAATACCCGTCTTCCCCTTGAGCGAACCCCGCCACCAATCCTTGTAAACGGACTCGAGCACCGCAATGACATCGCCCTTCTTGAACTCGAGCTCGCCCGGCTCCGAGGGAACGAAGTCGTACAGTGCTCGCACTCTTGAAACCGTAGCAGCCGTCGTGCCTGCGGGCACGGGTGTGGAGTGAGCCTGCGGCTGGGCGGCCTGTGCCGACGATCCAGGGGCAGCGGAAGATGACGAGGCGGCGGCGTTGGACGCGGCAGGGGCTTTCTTCCTCTCCTCTTCCTGTAGCGACAGCTTCAAGGCCATCTGTAGCTCCTCGTCCTCCTTCTGGCGGTCAACCTCAGTCAGGCCCGTCTTCTGCGGCGCCGAAGGGGGCTGCAAGGTGGGGTTGCTCTGCTTAAGTCGGAAGTATGCGTCGTACATGATGCCGAGATCGGGATCCTTGTTGAACATATCGGACCACTCCTTCATGCGCTCGAGTATCTTGGCTTTGACCTGGGTGTGGGTGTTTCGGTCGTTTGCTAGTTTCAACATTGCGTCGGTGAAGGCTCGGCTAGAGAGCTCGCGGTGCATGTTCTTGCCGCAGTTCTGACTGAGAGCATTTGCGAGCTGTACAGAAGCAGGGGCGACGAGATCAGTGATGGTTCGCCACACTTGGCATGCTGCTGAGGGCAAAGGGGACGACGCATGGAATGCGGGCAACTCACCTCGAGGGTGTAAAGCTGGACATTGGCGTTACGGTGCGCTAGGCGCTTGATCATGGCCTGGACAACTTCCTTGGGCCCATTCTGGTCGCTGCCAACGCGATCGCAGACCTCGATGATGGCTCCCCAGTCTTCCGAGGTCAGGTTCTCGTCGGTCGCCTTGGCTAGATGACGTAAGGCCACACAGGTTAGCAAGGTCTCTCTTTCTCTCTCTCTCTCTCTCTCTCTCAACTGGTGGCGACAGGTGTGTTTTAGACCGCAACAGACGTACCGACGCCCTCGTCAAAAGGACCAGCTGCGGCAGCTCGAAACATGTCGGGCAGATGCTGCGAGCGACTGCGAATGCGCTACAGTGACCTTTGGTCGGTGAAAGCTGGTTCGATCGGGTCTGGTCACTTGGAGTATCTCGTGAGGGGTTTCGTGTCAGGATTATAAGTCGACGAGAAACGGAAGGCGCTACAAAGGGTTGCGCAAATGGGGGGGGGGATGTTGCCGCGACGAGTGTGGGAATGCGTGGGTGTATGTGTTTTGTTTGTGTGAATGAGAGGTTGATTTGCCGGGAGGGAGCCGAGTTAACCAAGTCAGGCAGGCTGGCACCTTGGAGCCTGGTCGTGTGGCTGTTGGTGTATGTACAGTGGGGTGGCAAAAGTATCCGACCGCACCCCACCCAACGCGTCGCGTCACGATTCCCTCAATTCATCTCTCCTCCTTCAAAGTCCTATTACAAGATCAAAAAATAGGTAATTTACAGCTACTTTCTTCTCTATTATTAGCAAATCGTAGGGTAAAGGATAAGCTTACTAAACACTAGCGTATTACTATTATTACCTCTATTACAGCTAGTTTTAGTTACTAGTAAGCTGCAGACGCGTTTAGTTACTTAAAGACTATAGTAACTAATACTCTTTAATAATTCTAATAACACTATACCTTTTAGTCTCTACCCTAAAAAGGCAGGCTAGAGAAACTATTAAAGCAAGAGAAACAGGCTATTATTAGATCTGCCTAATCTAATTTCTAGCAGACGTACTAAGAGCTTACTAAGGAGTAGAACTATAGAGTTAGCCTCTCTACTATTAAGAGGATTCTATATAGTGCTAACTTTTATAAATAGTAAGCTATAAAGAGGCTATTTATTATAAAGGAAGCAGTAAGCATAAGGCTTAAATTTATAAAAAAGTAGCTACTAAAAGTTAAAAAGTTAATAAAGGTACTCCTATTTTTATTTAGGCCTCTTATTTTAACTCTCTTGCTAATTATTCTCCTTACTAGACTTAGTTCTCTAATAAGAGCTCTTACTAGAACAACACCTTATCTCCCTCTGTTTAGGTATTTAGATTACCTTAAGAACGCTAGGATAAGTAATTTATTAACCTTATAAGCCACATTAAGGTAAATATATCTATTATAGTCTAAGTAATAGTATAAAGGACTAGCTAAAGTAAGCTTATCTTTCTTATAAGAGATAAGAATAGCAAAAGGAATAAATATAGCTCTAACAGCTATATATTATACCTAAAAAAAAGGTTATCTTCCTAACTAAGATAACATATATTATTTTATATAGGATAACACTACTATTTACAGCTTAAAGAAAACTACTAAGTAGATATTAAATAAGGGAATCTCCTAGCTATATTAGCCTCCTTACTTACTAGATCTTAACCTAATTAAGTATTACTAGCAGATAATAAAGAATAACCTATAAAATATATACCTAAAAGCATTTAATCTTAAGAAAAACAAATTAGATATTAGTAAATTCAAGGAGCAGTTACAGGCAGCATAGGATACTATCCCATAGGAGCATATTCAGTCATTAATTAAGTCAATACCACAGCGCTTAGAGGCAGTTATTAAAGCACAGGGTTAGTATACACAATACTAATTAGTAAACTTAGAGCTTTATTTTAACTATAGTTTTACTATATATTTTAAAAAGTTAATAGTTTTGTAGCTAGATAAAGTAAGGGGGTAGAAATACAGGTAGCTAGTGTAAGTAGGTGCAGTCAGATACTTTTGCCACCCCACTGTAGGTTTAGTATAGTAGGTATTGCTTTAGCTGAAGTGAACGGACGTTGTACAGTACACTACCTACTATCTAGGTACCTACAGTCAGTAAGTAGTGAGCGGGATTAGGTAACGTCACTTGCAGAGCAATGCAATGGGTGTGCGTAAGGCAGGTCAGGCCGAGTTGATTAACCTTGTAAGTAGGTCAGGTAGATATGGGGGCGACAAACGGACCGACTGACAGTCACAGTCGTCACAGACACAGACAATAGACTTTTGACAGTGATGGCAGTGTAGTAAGAGATATGCTCCGTACAGTACCTACGCATCTACCTTATCCAATACGATACGTACCTAGGTAGGTAGTGTAGGTAGGTAGCTAGTGGGGGAGGGATGCTGACATATGTACCTCCCCATGCCGCGCAGCCGACATGGTACATACAGTACATACGCGTGTACCTGGGCACTCCACTAACCGTCGTCATCATCATCAATCCAGCCGGGCTGAGCCGCCGATGAGTTACGCGGACGTTTTCTCTCGAGTCTTGCTCTTTGCCTCTGCGCGTCGTCACGCCCGTGGATAGATACTGTGCATGTAGCATAGCTCGACATATCCCCTCCCATCCAATCTACTATATACATACCCAAAGCACAGGCGTGCGTAGCCAACCACACTTCAACTTTTTTGTATGCGAATACCTCGACATGGCATGTCGATGGCTCTACCTACCACCTACCTACCCAGTTACGTAACAGCCGTAACAGTTACCCCCCCCCCCCCATGTTGGCCTGCGCCATGTCACAAACAGCTGCGGGGAACTTAACCTTGGCCAAGACGGTAATAGGCACTACGTACTGCGTCCAATACCTGGATACTCACACATGAACTTGCCGCAACCTCACTGCGTCAGCCTGACGATTCCCGCCGACGGGTACGCCATGCTGCTTGCACTGTTGTGTGTACATGCCAGTCTTTGTGCATTCTCTATCGTATCTGGAGCAGAACTCTTGGTTTTCCCAAGCGTGTTTTAGCCAGTCTTCTTTGCCGGCAGTGGAACATCAAGTCTTTCATCATCCCCGTCTCAGTCCAACGCCGGAATTCCCCTTCGCCGAACCCCCATCATGTATATCTTTGCAATGTAAGGAAACGTCCGTTTCTGTGGCGGCTTCTCCATAGACTCACCAAGTGGGCCAATCCGGACCTTATGACCTGATGCGACTTCGCCACCATGTATAACTTGAAACCCGGAAAGAAAAAAGAAGAGGAAAAATAGTATGAGAAAAAGCAAACCCGCTGGCTCTTCTAGCCCTGCTTTGCCATGGCATTGGCAAGCAATCATCATTGTGGTGAACCCTCTCTGCTCACCAGCCTCGTCGGCTAATGCCTCGAGGCTCAAAGTCGGCGCGGCTTCCCGACCCAGATCCCACATTGCCGCCGCCTCGTCCCTCCTCCAAGCTCCTCCGTGACTGCGCGTCCATCTCTGACATGTCGAAGAGAAGGGGCTCCTCGTCCATTAGGTCGTGCTCGCCGCGTGCGTATCGGCCGCTGGAACCTGTAAAGCTGCCTCTTGATGATTGAGGGGGGGTCTGGCCTCGTCCGCCCGCCGAAGGCATACCGGCGTACCGGCGTCTGCCAAAGGGGGAACTTGAAGGGGCAACAGTCATCAGGCCACCCGGGGGCTTAGAGCCTTCCGAGGAGCCCTGCCTCATCATGTCTGCTGAGCCCGAGGACGGCAATTCGGACGCGGGTTGCAGTGAAGTGCCAGGTTGATGAGATGATGACGCGGCTGCCGTTTGTCTACCCAACAGCATGCTAAGCGTCGGCGGCTCGCGGTCTTCCGCACCTAGGCTTATGCTACGATTCGCGGCAAAGGCAAGGTCCCCGTCATCGTCGTCCACCGTAGCCCGGTTCTGTTGCGCCACCGAGCTTGACCTTCGAGGATGGATGCCAATTCTGGGTGATATTGGAATGTCGATAGCAGTGGTCCCGTCCTGGGTCATGGTGTCTTCCCTGGCGAGCTGTGTGTTTTCCGCACTCGGGTCGGTTCGCTCGCTCCGCGGCTGGCTCGTGTTGTAGTTGATGATCGAGTTTTCGCTCAGTCGTGAAGGAACAGCAGGCGTGTGAGGCGTGTGTGGGGACAAGGGCTTTCCGGGCGAAGAGGATACCGATACAGACGCAGGCGCAGCCATGCTGGGAACGTTGGAGAGTTGCCGGCTGGATGAGCTCGATGAACGCTGCATATGCATCGATGAGGTCATGGAGTCAGTCAGCGCATTGTTTGACTCCTTCATGAGGTGGAACCTCGAGAGCTGCGCAACTGTCCGGTTCGTCGCCCCCTCGCCCTTTTTGCCGGATTCGAAACTCTTGAGAGTCTTCTTACTGTCCAGCGCCTTGAGAAACTCGGAAATCTGGTCATCGTCAGTCTGTAGAGACCCAGAGCTGCCCCCTCCACTTGCTTCGGCCAAAAGACCGGATCCTGGCTGGGCCACAGACGAAGACAGACTCTGTCGCCCGCTGCTGCCCTGTTCGTCATCGCCGGCCTTGCTAGCGCCACCAAATGACAGTCGCCCCTTGCGATGAGTGAAGCTGCTGCTGTAGCGGCTGGTCGAGGATGGTCGCGGCGAGCCTACCACGGCGGCCTCGGCCGGTGGGGGACCGCCTCGGAGAGAAGCAGGCATCCCTGCTGTTAAAGATGTGCGATTGCGCGGCTGGGTGAGAGCGTTGAGAGCCGCGGCGCGCGAGGCCGGAGAAGCGGGTGACTCGGAATCTAACGTCCGCGGTATGGGTGATCCCGACAGGGAGCCAGCCTTGAAAGGCTGAAATGAGACAGATGGCCGGCGACCAGTGGTGCCAAAGCCCTTCATAGAAGGTCTCGCCGCGAGGCCGGTGACGGGTAGTGAGTTTGGAGGGTTTAGTTCGTTGCCTGTTGGGGCGGATCCCGGTGGTGAGCTTGTGTCAGACCCGGGGGGTCTCACGGCTTTGAGGGCCGATATAGGACTGGTGGCCAGGGCACCTTCGCCGTGGAAGGTCGAAAGGCTGCCGTATGTCTGGTGAATATCTGATAGATTCCGGCTTCTCCGGTGAGATGGAAGAGATCCGACCTCGGGGTCATTTCTCCTGGTGCTTTCGCGTCGTTGAGGCAGTGATGGCTTGAAGAAGTTCTCGTCAACACCCATGAAGCGCGAACTGAGAAGCGCCTCCGAATCATCTACCCGGAAGTTGCACTCGTTTCTGTATGTCACAGATGCGTGGAAGCGGCCCACGGGTACCTCCAAGTCGCCAAAAACGTAGTCGGTCACGACATCCGGCCGTCCGTCGTACAACGGATGCCTAAGCCGGTCAAGACCGCCAGTGTCGGGCTCACCGGTTCGGATACGGCAGCGGGGCTCCAAAGAAGGGTGGACACCTTTTGTCAACGATGACTGGGAGAACTTCCACCCTGGAAGGATCCTTGTTGCAACGAAGAGCGACCGAAAGAAGACGATGCTCTTTTTGTAAATCGTCGGCAGCGTCGGGCCAAAGTCGTCAAGATCTGTGGTGGGCATCGTCTTCAACTCGATGCACCATCTTTCCAAAATCACCTCCGTGTTCCTTTTTGAGGGGACTAGACGCCCGTCGTCGCTCGAATCGGACGAGTTCAGAGCTTCCATGACGTCCCAGCGCTTTCCATTCTCGTCGACGATGACCAGGCTCTGGCTCGGGGTAAGACGGGAGGTATCGAGATAGGTTTCGATGATCAGGGGCATGGGCTTATTCTCGAAGCTGCCGCAGTTTCGCCAGATCCGGAGCTCCTCCTTGAAGTCGTCGAACTCTTCCGTCTCGATTTGGAACTACAGAGGCGCAAAGCGTCAGTGGCTGGAAGCGAATGGCAGGAGATGGAGAGCATGCAAGGACCATGACTCACCCATTTGTTCAGCTTCTTGCTGCCGGATCCGCGAGCCGCATATACAGGCTTAAGCTTCATGCGCGATTGCAGGACCAACGACGCGGCCTTGGTGTGAAAGTTCTTGGGGCAAGTCAGTCTTTATACTTAGTTGACCCGTGTGCTTGCGGCTCCTGAACCTACCTGGATTATCTGGTCCAGCTTTTTGACTGCATCGGCAGATACGGTGGGCGGAGACGACATGTCAGCGGTGGGCGATACCGTGACAGAATCGCGGCCAGAAGCTCCCGACCCAGCTCTATCACGAGCGCCAAGGATGCCCTCTCTCGGGTTGTTGGTTCGAGTGGGATTTGTCTGGGGGGCGGAAGCAGGAGAAGAGACCCGCGGGGCAGGGCGAGCTTGTTGATGCATCTTGTCTCGGGATGGCGACCGGCAAGGCAAGGGAAGAAGGCGTCTCGGATGTGGTTGTGTAGCTAGCTGTCGAAGCGAGGCTCTCTCCCAAGGCAAGGATGCTGGTGCGGTGCGGTGCGGGTTGCGCAGGAGAGGCTATACTTCGTAGGCGGAGGGGGATTGGCGGTGTCGAAATCGGGTTGGCACCGAACCTGCTCATCCATCCTGCATGGCAAGAGAAACGGGCGGTTCAAGGCGTCGATGCCCCAATCCAGAAGCGTGCGCCCACGGAGGGTCGCTCGATATAATAGAGGGCAACTCGATGCGGCGAGAGGGTGGAAGCAGTGTGGAGGAGGCTATGTGGGAACGGTGGCGGCGAGGCAGGCAACGACGGGGCAAGGCAGGGTCGTGTCGACGTGGAGACGGGGCGGAGGAGGACGGAGGGCGATAGCGATAACGATACGGATACTGCTCGAACAGGCCAAGGGCGCTGTGTCGCGTTAAGTTAGCAGGCAGAAGCAGACAGGGCTACAGAGCGGCGGAACGGAGGAGTTAGGCGTTGGCTTCGACCATAAGCTGGCCTCTGGTTGCTCAAGGTAGGATGGGGGGGTGTGTAGTATGGTATAGTATAGGAAGGAAGCTCGTATGCACATTCACTAACAAGGCCAACGAGTTGGTCTAGTAAGTGCGCGACGTGTAGTGGGTTCCCCAGGAAGGGATGGGAGGACAGCAGAAGTTGGATATGCAAAGCTTGCGTACCGTACCGTCTTGTGGCAGTCGAGTTGGGGAGATTACCGACGTCGGTGTCATCCGCTCACAGGTTGAGGCTTGTGATGGTCGACAAGTAGCCTTCCGCCATCGAGTCACCTGCTTCGTGGGGCAAGAGGGAGAGGGAGAGGGAGAGAGAGGAAGAGAGAGAGAGAGAGAGTGTGTGTGTGTGTGTGTGCAGGTAGGTATTTGGGGTGAAAGCAGGGCGGTGTACCTAGGTATACCTACCTACCTACCTACGTCGGTAGCGGAAAGGCAGGGGGGGGAGGGGGTCGCAGGTTGAAAATGGCACAAGTGCGGAAAAGATCAGATGGTATATGCTGGCTCGGAAAGAGTCGAGGGGAAGTAAAAGTCAAAGTTAAGAAAGAGAGGGATGGATAGGTAGCAGGATTAGGTAGAGAAAAGGGTTGAGAAGAGACGAAGAGGGGAGGAGGTGTGGAGAGTGAGAGAGAGAGAAAGTGAGTGAGTGGGTGGCTATGGCGATAAGACGCAATTCAATGCAATGACCCAATATTGATGATGCAAAGAGGGTAAGAAATGGGCGCAACAAAGGGATTGTTATTGTTAACAATGCCTGGGGGCTCTGAGAATCTGATACCTAGGCAGGTAGGTAGGCAAGTAGGGTAGGGCAATCGAGGAAGAGAGAAAGAGAGTGAGAGACAGAGGGAGAGAGACGGGGAGGGAGCATAGACAGACAGACGTTAGAGAAGAAGGGAAGACGGGGACAAGACAACAATCAAGACTGCGGGTGACATGGATCTCTTGAGCGGCTCCTCGGGTCCAGCGTTGACTCTCACCAGTGATAAGCGTGCGTGCGTGCGTGCGTGGTGTGTGTGGTGTGTATTGTATCCTTAGCATGAGAGCAGAGTCAGGTAGACAATGCCAGTCAGTGGACGATGGGTCTGGGTCCTGCAGCGGCAGCACTATCCGCTCCGCAAGCGCGCACACCGGCACCCTTAAACAAGCATCCGTGAGCTGGGGCGGCTGCTGCAGGCAGGCAGGCAGGCAGGCCTGGAGCATCTCCCTCGCTACCAGTGCAGCCCCATCTACCCAGATGGCCATGCCATGCTGTTGGATGGGATGGGATGGGATGATGGGGATGGGACGAGACGAGACGGGGAAGAGAGAGCAAGGGGTTACTGTTACTGGCAAGTACCTTGTCAGGTAGCCTGTAAACAGCCACCATCAAAGTATCCAACAAGTACCGTATGCCAGACCGTTCGTCACAGGATGGGATGCCCCATGGTTGCCGCCTCACCTTGCAGGCGTCAACACTTACACTACGCAGTAGGTGCAAGCAACGTATGTACCTTTCCACTGCTGCCCTCTTCTTCCCTCCCTTGTTGTATCCGTCTAGGTAGGTAGTGTACTATTACTAGGTACCTAGGTAGGCAGACACAGTCCAAATACCTAGAATCTCCTCCATTCACGCATGGGCTACCCGTTACACCTCGTCGGATCGCCAATAAACTGACACCAGCACATCATCTCTTATCAGTACCGATACCACCACCATTACCACACCATGGCCCCCGTCCGCCGGCCTCTGATAAGTACAAGGCGGTATGGTATCATGGGTCCCCGCATGCGCCTGGAGCACCTCCGCAGATCGGACCCAGCCTCCGATGGTACCACTCACACGCTTCCTTCCTCACACAACCAACCCCCGATCCACAGTCACGGCATGACGATAAAATCGCCGATGGGAGAGCCCTGAACCTCCTGAGTAACCCTGTATGCCTTGCCAACCCTTCTCCCGTCACATGCTGCCACCAGCCGGCCTAGTGTAGGCTAGGTAGTATAGCTCACCCTCGGGGACAACCCACCCAACCACAGTTGTTCTCCTCTACCTACCTAATCGACTCTTCGTGACATGCAATCGTACCTGGGCAGGACACAACGGCAGACGAATTGGACCCAACCAGTCTTGTTCTTCTTCTCTTGCTATGTTTCTTCTAGTATCCCGTCATATTGTCTATTAGCCTGGTTGCCATCAATCTCGGCCCAGAGTGTCCGCCTCATACATAAATCGGAATTTCTTCCGGGGCTCTGACTTCCGTGACAAACACCTGCCGCACCCCCGGAAACGCCTGTAAACAGTTATCACTGGGTGTGTCCCGCTGCCGCTGCAGCTGTTGATGCTTTGCCGCCCCTTCCCCGCCCCCGACTGCCCCGTCCTCGCGAGTTACTCGCCGGCCCGCTGGGCGCCTTGGCCGCGCATCCACCGGCCTCAACACCGCTGCCGGCGCCTTGCTCCTGCCCCAGGGGCCCGGCGCTCTTGCTCTTGGGACCGCCGCGGCCGCGTCTCCCTCGTTTGCTGTCCTTCTGGCTCCTCCCCTCCTTCACCTTGTCCTTGGCTTCCCTGCGAGCCTCTTCCTCCTGTACACGCCGTGTCTCCTGGTCCCACCATTCTTGAAACTCCTGTTCCTGTTGGATCTCTTGCATCGACCTCTTTGCCACCGCTTCCTTGACAATCTCTTGTTCTCGCTTCTGCTGCCCGATGATGTCCTGCAAACTCAACCCCAAGATTGGCTCGGCCTTGCTCGCTGGCGTCATGTACGATTTGGAGTGCGGCACCAGGTGCTTTGCCTTCGGCTGGCTCGACGATGCACTAGGTACTGCAGGAGAGCTGCTCACGCGGGACTGCCCTGGGAAGCGCGTATCGGGCGATGCGGCTCTTCGGGGTGACGAATTCGTCGAACTCTGAACCGAGAGCAGCTGCTTGGTGTTGGCCGCCAGCGGTGGCGCAGCCTTGGCCGAGTCCTTGACCAAGGTGTCCCTCAGCGATGTCTTTGGTCCGCTCTGAACCGCCTTCCAAGGCGCGGGTTTGCTTTGAGCCGCTTCCTTGTCCCAGGCCGCCTTGGGTTGCTGAGCTTCAGCCTCGAGGGCCGCTTGTGCTGCTGCCTGTGCCAGCTGCTGCTTCTTGCGCTCCTTCTGCGATACCTTGGGCTGAGCCGGCTTAGGCGAAGCCTCTTTGCTCTTTTGGGCGGCAATGCCGGCCGATAGGGCCGACTTGGCAGGGGTGTTCGTCAAGATCTGGCGCAAGTCCATCTTTTCAGTTGGGAAGGACGCTGCTGCCCATGGGCTGCCGGACCTTTGGGCGCCGAACCCGCGAGAATTTGTCGGCGACGGGCTCGCGCCAAGCTGTCTGCTTGACGGTGGGCTTTGCACCGGGAACTGCGGCGACCCGTCTTGGCCTTTGCCGTCTTTCCAAGGGCCTGGCAGCGATGGCAGCCGCTCCATGCCGGATCGACCCTTGGCCTCGGCAGCCATTTGCGACGGCGAGGTGGGAGGAGAGGGCCCTTCATCGTCCATGTTGAACATCAGGTCCCCCTGGGAGTCCTTGGGTCTCAAGCTGGGACTGAACGGCTCGTTCCGGCTAGCCTTGGACTTGCGTCGACTTTTATCCAAACTGGAAGACATGGCAGCGGCCATGTCGTCAAGACTGCCGAACTTGGTGGTCTTGAAGGATGACGACATCTTCTTGTCGTCCTCTCGTTGACTAAACCGGAAAGCCATCTCCCGCACCCTTCTTCGCCGCTCCTCGTCAATGTCCAGTGCAAGGTCGGGGTCCTTCTCCAACAAGAGCAGCTCAGCTCGACCGCTCCTCGCAAAGGGATAGCAAGCTAGTTGGTTCTCTCGTACGACGCTGTCCAATTCCTCCAATAGGTCTTCGTCCAGATCGTCCAAAAGGTGGTTCTCAAGCACAGCCTCCATCTGCAAACAAATGTACTCCAGGCCGGCGTCCTTGAACTCTGTAACCGAACAGGCACTGATTTCGTTCAGCAGCAGGGCAATGTTCCTCGTGTTGGCAAAGCGCGCAATGATGAATTGGCAGATCTGTGACAGCCGATCGAGCATCAGCTCGTTTGCGACGCTCATCACAGACATGACGAGATCTGAAAACTCATCAATGTTCGCTGCAGTAGCCTCATTGAAGAGATCGGGGCCGACGTCTGCGTAAAGGTATCGCAAAACGTACTGGAAGGCCTTGGGGTCACAGTGACTCAGATCTACATGGACAAGTTCCTCCTCGCCTAGATCGTCACGGCGGCCTGCAAGCCACATTCCGCCAGCGCGTCCATGGAAGAGGCCTTCGAAAAACTCGCATCGTTGGCGCATGAGCTGACTGTGAACTGGCACCTCTTCGCCATCAAGTTCAACCAAGGCATCGGCGTCTTCAAAGTACTTGGTGTCTTGCATTGCCTTCAGAAAGTCCCTGTCGAGCGACTTCTCCACGGTCGTTTGCAGACGTACAGCTGCTTCAAGCTTCATCATGTCGAGCTTGGTCGCCAACTTCATCAGCTCATTTCGTACATGACGATACCTGTGCGCGAGAGAAGGCGCTTGACGGGTGTGGTTCCATGCCGGTATGACCGCGTCGTCGTAGCAGTAGACCACTAGGTTGACCAAAGAAAGCAAATCAAGTGAGTCGAAAATAATGACCGTTTTGCCGTCTTCCTCTCCGAGTTTCAACACTTGAGGCACCTCGCACTCCCCCGCATTGCGATACTGGCTGAGCAGGTCTCGCAAAACAGAGCTTCGGGCCGTCAGAAGCCAGGAATGAACCGGGATCTTGATGTCCGGGGAAGTCGATGTACAGACCTCCATGTTAAGATCCTCCTGCGGACTCAGGTAGAGGAGGAATGAGCGAAGATCGTGCTCCAAATCCGCACTCTTGAGAAGTTCATATGCCAACTCTCCGATCCTGTACTTCAAGTCCTCGGCCTTCCAGAACCCGAGTGTATCCTTGTCACCGCCGCTTGGCGTCGAAGCCTGGAAGCCTCTCAATGGAAGCAACGATGCCACGTCCTCCCAGAGAGACTGCTCATCGATGTTGATTCGGTGCTTCATGACGTCGCAATCCTTGCGAATTGCTGCGAACGCACCAAAAGTGGAACTTCTGACAGCCACAGCGTTTGTCACGCTTGGAACACGCTGGAACTTGAAGTCCTTTCGTTTGATGTCCGACGATCCTGGAATGGCAGCATCTTTTGCCTTGGCACGCTTGATGCGTCGCCAGACCGCCCCCGACTCTGTACATATAATGACAGCGCCATGCTCGCCAACGCTTACCGACTTGACGCCATCCTTCCGAGCGTTCCAGACACACTGCGGTGTCGTAACGGCGCCCTTGATCTTGGAGGGGTTCGTCGTGGAAGTGGCCACAGGGGCAGCGTCGGACTTGTGATTCAGTGTCATGGTGAACAGGTCGCCTCTTGCGGTGACTGCGGCAATTGTCTCACCGCCAGAAGTAATGCGGCTAACGTGGTTCCTTGCTGAACCATACCTCGTCGACGTGGACGTGGTGAACTGGTGGTTGACAAAAACGTCGGGGGAGGGGAACTTGACAAAGTTGTAGCCGTAACTGGTAAAGACACAGACTGTGCTATCGGCCAGTAAGACTGTGGTCGCCTTTTCGATGGCCGAGACTGCAGCGATAGGTGAGGAGAAGAGCGAGGCAGCAACTTTTCGAGGGGTTGGCTGGACCTCCAAGGACCTCGAATCTGCATCCATAAGGGCCAGCTGGCCGAGGTTCTTACCCCAGCAAAACAGAGACGTCGAGGTGTGGGCCACAGAATGTACGGCGGATGCTGCAACACCCACAACGACTTCCTTCTTGAGTGTCCCAAACACTTGTCGTGGAGTAGTGCTCATAGGTTCCTCGTCCTGCCTGGCCGGCGGCGGCAAGCTGTATCCTAGCTGAGAGCTGCTATTGGACCCCCAGGTCCATAGTTCGCCGGCATCCGTGACTGCCATGGTGTGGTTTTGGCCTAGTGCAACTTGCACCACCTTCTTCTCGGCGAGACCGCCCTGGACGGGCACAAAGCGGAACTGGGTGTTTTCATCGCCCAAACCAAGTCGTCCGCCGCGGCCGACGCCACAGATGTAAAGGTTTGATACAGGGTCGGTTGTCAATATGGCCGTGTGCAACTTGGACAGAACGGCGTCATGAAACCGAAGAGGCCGGTTCCTAATCAAGGCGGGTACTTCCTCCATGTCCATGTCATCAGCCGTAAGATTCGTCGTCCCGTGGGAGGTTGGCTTCGTCTTTGCAAGGTGTTCCTCGTAGAATCGCCGCACGAGCTGATCGGGCCGTTTCAGAGTGACCCTCTCAGGGAACTGTCGATCATCTTCGTCGCCGACTCCAAGTGAGATGTTTCGGTTGCTTCCAAAGACAAAGATCTCCTCGCCTTCAGATGCACCACCGAGTGTGGCGACGGACCCCATCAACGCCTGGCCTCCGTCGGAGGCGTCGTCCATGTCAGATTCGAGGTCGGAACGATCGGACCCAGCCGAGTCATAGAGGTTTCGTACAGCAATAGTCGAGTTGTACAGGTCGAAAGGGCTATTGCCTTCACGGTCCTTGGTCTTGATCAGCTGACCAGCCTTGGCCACGGAGCTTCCCAGCGTCTGTTCAGTCAATATGCGACGCTCTCGCTCGAGCAGCAGGCGGGCTACAGCAACATTTCCATTGTATAGTGCCCTGTGAAGAGCATTCCAGCCACTCTCGGGGTCTTGGACGTATAGGTCGATGGCGGGGTGGTCAAGCAGTGCCTGGACAAAAAGGATGGCGGCGGGATCGGACGAAGAAGCGGCTCGGAGGAGCACGGTGAGGCCGGCGTGGTCGCGACTGTTGATTTCGGCCTTGCCAAGATTTGCGTTGATATTCTTGGAGGTGGCGGCGCCGATGCCACCGGTCGAGGCCTTGCGTGTCTTGAGATTCCGGGGAGAGGTCCCGTAGGGACCGGGACTTCCGCCCAGAGATGCAGCGCCTATCCCCGGACTCCTCGTGGAGGTTTGTGACGCGTGGGCGGCCGGGGCCAGTAGACGCCGAAACCTTTCGACATCGTTTTCCCAGTAATATTTCCAGAGTAGGTGACTCATGGGCAGGGGTGAGCGAGGGACCCTTCCAGCACCTGGATAGCACCTCGCTGTGAGTCTCTTGGATCACGGCTTGTTTAAAGGTGCGGTTCCGAGCGCGAGAAGAGTGTTTTATTTTGGCTTTTGATGAACGAGGCTGGGACAGTTGAGCCAAAGGATGCGTCAGGTCGGTTGCGAAGTCAGGAAGGCCAAAAAGGAGGGCGGGAGAGGGGTTTATCGATGTTGCCACCTAGTCGTTGAGGCCGGGGCTTCGGAAGGGCGTAGAGGGAAATTGATTGCAGGTAGCGGGTTGTTGATAGAATTATCAGTGTCGCGGATTGAGGCGCTTTATTTTGGATGGCTGGACGAGTCGGTTCGATTGGAGGATGAGGGCGGGGACGAGGGCGCGGGTTGAGAGAGGGATTCGAATGGTAAGAGGGAGGTGGGGTTTTGGCGATGGGAAATCGAAGGCATTCGTTCATTCAAACCGCAGGCCACTGACAGGAGCAGTTGTGAGCGTCAGGGCCCGGGCTGTACCGGGGGCCCAATGGAGACTCGTTCGTTGTTGCGCAGCCATCCAATGGGACGCCCGTTCCGGAGCCTGTGCTCTGGTTGCAGGCCAGGCATGCTTCGCTTCAGGGGGGGGGGGGGGGGGCGCTAGCGTGCTGCTGTTCAGCTGCAGTGCTGACAGGGAGATAGGTAGGTGCACACACAGTACGGAGTACCGTCCGTACCTTTTGTAAAGCGAAAGGTGGCAGGCTCTAGAGCATAGAGTGTGTTCTTGTGGATGGTGCAGATAGGTGAGATAGGGATACTTGGAATAGGTACCTAGCTAGGATAGGATAGTAGTCGTCTTGACCGGTTCGTCCGTGTGTGACTAGGTAGGTACCTATTCGTGACGTTGCGTCTTGGAGACAGCAAAGCCAAGAAACGTTGGCCTTCCATCTGATGGCTGAGATGTTGTGATCTATCTACCTACCTACGTGGGTAGGTAGGTAGGTAGGTAATTTGAGTTGGCGTGCCGCCCATTCCTCTGCAACGCAACATTACGCATACCATGGCGTTCGAGATGGGTTGTAATTACTTGTTGTTAATGTTGTTGTTCCACTTTCCTTGTGGTTGGTGGTGTGCATCAAACCAGAGTGAGTTTAGCGTGTAATACTACATACCTGTATGTCATCAGTCAATTGCAGGTCTACCTAGGGAGTAGATAGTACGTAGTTGAGTTGTTGCATTATTAAGTACCTAGGTATGTATACCTAGTTGTCGACTTGGCATTGTGTGCGACCTTGTCTTGGACGAGCATTGTGGAGAGCTACCCCGGCCTCCTGTACCCCGCCTCAGTGCTGTACCTGGAACCGCCATTCTGGGCTGCCGGATGCGCGCCGCTCAGTTTCGGCCGCTTACTATCGTGTGTCTATCAAACTAGGTACCTCGGTAGGCACCTGGAGAGCCTGGTTGCATTGTGTGTGTCCTTGAGCAATGGCCAGTCCCTTCTCCATCGTAAGAACTTCAAGGGAACGCCTCGTACATACATGGAAACACCGTTGATGAATTAGCAGTCTACTTCAAGTGCAAAATATTTTGTCAGCAGAGTCTACACATCTATCTACTGCCTATTGAGTACTAACTAACTAACTAACTACTGGCAGCGCATTTTATCAGTACCTAAGTTGTTAAAACCTTCCACCCCTTCACTTCGAAATCACGCCGCTTCACACACATACACACACAGACAGAGAGAGGGGAGCGGGGGAGAGGGACGAAGAGACAGAGCACCAATCACGGACATCATACGTCACGAATGCTGTCAAAGAATCCGCTTCCCCAGTGGAGTCTGATTTGCAACCGGCGATAAGGGACTTCCACCCGGGGGTTGATCCTTGCGATAAGAACCTCCTCGTCCGATTTTTGTTGATTTACCGAGTAACTTCTTCACTTTGCCTAGGTAAGTACCTATTACCCGGTGTATTATCCCATCCCCCCCCCCGCCTACCTGCTACCTGCGCACCAAATTCGCCCTTTTTTTTTTTCCCTTTGCTTCTTGGTATGCTCCCGACTACGCGTCTTACTCTCCTTCTGGCCAACTAATCCCGTCAATTCACAGTGGTTTTCCCGTCAAAATGTCGACCGACAAGCCCCTCCCCTTCGCCTACCAGTTCGCCGCAGGTTTGTTTCGCAAAAGAACCCCGCGATATCGGACCCAGAATACTAACCGCTTTATCCAGGCGCCATTGCCGGCGTCTCGGAGGTCAGTACTTCAGGACACCAACACCATTCCAACATACATTGACAGATGTGCTCATGCTTCCGCGAGTCTAGATCCTGGTCATGTGGGTTCCAAAGTCTCGCGCCCCAAACTCGCGTGGCCAGCCAGCTAACCGTTACCAGGTACCCTTTGGACGTCGTCAAGACGCGAGTGTGAGCTCCGCCCCGATTCCCTGCCTACTGCCCGCCCGCCCGCGCTTCCCGACTGACACGCCCTCTTCAGGCAACTTCAAACCGGAAAGGGCGTTGGTGCCGACCACTACAATGGCATGGTTGACTGCTTCCGCAAGATCGTCCGCAACGAGGGGTACGCGATGCAACCCCGCCTAGACTCGTCCCGGAGCCTTCACCTGCTTACAAAACCCCCAGCTTCGCGACCCTATACCGCGGAATCACCGCCCCCATCCTCATGGAGGCTCCCAAGCGTGCGACCAAGTTCGCCGCCAATGACGAGTGGGGCAAGATCTACCGCAACATGTTCGGTATCGCCAAGATGAACCAGTCCCTTTCCATCTTGACCGGTGCTAGCGCTGGTGCCACCGAGTCCTTCGTCGTCGTCCCCTTCGAGCTTGTCAAGATCCGTTTACAGGACAAGGCTTCCGCCGGCAAGTACAACGGCATGCTCGACGTTGTCCGCAAGACTATCCAGACCGAGGGCATCCTGGCCATGTACAACGGCCTCGAGAGCACCATGTGGCGTCATGTCCTGTGGAACGCCGGCTACTTTGGCTGCATCTTCCAGGTCCGCGAGCTGCTCCCCAAGGCCGAGAACAAGACCTCCCAGGTCACCAACGATCTGATTTCCGGAGCCGTCGGTGGCACCTTCGGAACCGTCCTGAACACCCCCATGGACGTCGTCAAGTCCCGTATCCAGAACAGCCCCAAGCTTCCCGGCTCGACACCCAAGTACAACTGGGCTTGGCCCGCCGTTGCCACCGTCGCCAAGGAGGAGGGTTTTGCCGCCCTGTACAAGGGTTTCCTGCCCAAGGTTCTGCGTCTGGGTCCTGGAGGCGGTATTCTGCTCGTCGTCTTCACCGGCGTCATGGACTTCTTCCGTACCCTCAAGAGCAATGCGTAAACGCAACTTCACTTAAAGAGACGGGCCCAAAAGAAGGATGGAAAGGGACAGAACCGGGATTGTACATCTTATAGAGGTAGATACCAACACCGGGGTTTTGGATTCTGGCGCTTAACAATAATACCATATATATCATACTTCCGATGCCTGGTTTTGCACCTCACCCAACATGCCATTGCTTGCCTCGAGCATCTGGGAAACTTCGTAATAGTTAGCAAGAGCAGCTTATCCCCGGAGGCTTCTTTCCTCGACAATCTTGAGCCAGGAAATGTTAAGGTGACTCGTTTTGCGTATCTTGGGTGTGATTATCACTGTGACCTTGAGAGTCGTTTGAATGGCGTTGAATCAGGGCAAGAGTTTGTTACTGCAATTTCAAGACTAAGTGTCCATAGTGTTGGTGCCTCGTCTCTTCCTACCTTCTATCCAACGCCTGCCTTCGGTCTTATGCTGTCTGACCTAGGTAGGTAGGTAGGTAATCTTTACAGAACGAGGAACGGATGCGTGCCACTGGCAAATATCTAGCTTTATATGCCTTACCTCTTGGGAGCTGCGCCCTCTTCCGCACTGCTTCGCTCCTGCCCTTTGCGACTGAGCAGCTTCTTGCAGCAATAAAACCACTTGCGAATCCCAGATCTCGCACCTCAAGCACAGCCTTTCATACTCGGTTCTTCAACAGGGCATACTAATCTCATCCATTGCGGACCTTGGTATAGGCCTCTCTCTCTCTCTCTCTCCTCCAACGGCAAAGCTAGTCTTCATTCTCATATGCAGACACGTTCACGAGCCTAACGTGATAGGTTGAGTTGAGATGCATTACATTAGTAGTCACATCGTTCAGTGGTGACCCGCAAGCAATACTCGACCGAGACAGCATATTCCGTCTCCGCATGCTTACCCGACGAAGCTTCCTGTAAGCAGCAAGATTTCGTACTCAGGTAAGGAAATGTTTTTCTATTTTGACATATTGCGGTCCTTCCCTGCGTCTGGATTGCTCCTTCCCTGGTTACCAGCAATTTCATACTGGTCTATCTCTCGCTTTTGTTGCCTTATTAACATTAACACATCACTTGTCTCGCACACAACTGCACGCTTCAGCTCACGTCGCGTAATTGCCTTTCTACTTCAAATACAGCATACAAATTTAGTCATAGATAACTAACTCCAGATATATCATTCTGGCTTTGGCAGGTCATTCACGATGACCACAATAGACGGGCCCCCCCGGTCACTTACCCTAGCCGCAGGAGGTTTACACACACCTCCATTCGACAATTCTCCTTCCAATGGCAACCAATCGGCTAGCGTGCAGACGTTTCCGATCCAAGTAAACACTATCGCTACCGATCATCAGGTACCAACTGCCGGTTCATCATCAGCGGAAGACTCTACTCTGGAGTCCACTGTGGAAGATCTTCAGGTCACAGGCGAGTCACATGCTGCTCCAGCCAGCCTTTCTAGGGGGCTGCCGGGCTTTGGGGTCGAGCTACACACCAATGGACTAATCGTCTTAAACTCCCATGAGGGCGAGGGGACACGACGATACTACAATCCAGACGAAGACGAAGTCGATTCCGATGACGGCGAAGCGGTCTCGGAAGATGGGTTGGAGCTCCACAGCGGTATCAGAGCTAGTTCTGACGAACCCTCTTATAACGATGAAGACGATGCCGAAGTTGCAGAAAAAATGGACGAACAAGCGAATGAAGGAAGTGAGCCCGATGGTGGAGAGGAAGAATACGATAGCATGTCGACTGCAGGCGACAATGATGACGACTTCAGCCTACCTCAGCCCCCGCCTATCGACCTCGACCGTGTTGGCTGCAGAGGAGAGTGCCGAAGAGATTTCCGTCAGGGTGTTGACTTCTACGAAAAGCAAGTCGAAGCTCTTCAGGACAGGCTTCGGAATCTAACCATGACGAATACCGATCTGAAGACCAAGTTGCACAAGGCGACCCGACAGATCGATATTCTGAAGAATCCAAATCCCAAAAAGAGAACCGTGAGAACATGGCATGAGAAACTTCATCTGTCCATCACCAACCCCGGCCATAAAGACGCCTTACCTTACAGTGAAATATACAAGCTTTGCTGCAAGGAAGAAAACATGAGCTCCAAACCCGAGAACGTCCATCCGAACTTGAGACTTCGGCGACCTAAGGCCAACGAGCTTCAAGCAGATGCATTGGGCGGCTTGTTGATGGGTAACTCAAGAGACGGCTCGGATTCTGAACCAGAAGGGGATAATCAAGGACCGGCGGCAGAGAGACGTGACGGACCCGAGGCGCTGTTCGTACAGGACGACGAGCAAACGGGAGTCGAGCAACCTCAGGAGGTATCGGTACTAAGCAACCTCTCATTCGAGCAGTTTCCGGCCAAAATTCAAGCCAATATCTTCAAATGGGTCTACATCCAGGAAGGCAAATTGATACACTGCATTAGCCGTCTCGATCCTTACATGCCCCCCGAGGAGCCCACTGGGACTAACGTCGACAGAAGCGGTTTACCCCATCGATTTCACCTATCTGGCAAATCGTGCAACGTCACTTACGCCATCAAGCCGAATATGCATCTTGCTCTCCTTTCTGTCTGCAAACGATGGCACTACCTTGGTGTTCACGCTTTCTATGGACTCAACACGTTCGCCTTCTCAAGTCTGGGAGAGTTTGGCCGCTTCTGCACTGGAATTGGAGCTGCGCGCCGAGAGCGAATCCAGCATGTAGAACTTCTGTGGATGGGAAACCAGTACCTCACACAGAAGCCAGTCAAGGAAGGCAAAGAGCTCAAATGGGCTTCCAAGAGAGCTTGGGATGCTTCTTGGCTCTGCCAGATGCGCCGTCTGAAAAGCCTTACCATTCATATAGACGAGAGCGGCAGTGGCTATAGAAGACGAAAACACGAGCCTGCTGGTCACGTCGACTGGATGGCATCAATGACCGCTGGTCAGCCTAATTTTCGTCTGACAAGATCTCTCAGGACTTTGCAGGGGTTGGATTTCATTTACCAGCTTCGGGGAATGGAGTTCATTCAGTTCTACGACTATGAGATGTGTCGCATTAATGGCGGCCGTCACCCAATCCGCGACTGGTCTTTCTATATGGACATCGAAAACGTGACGGCGATGCCGAAGACAGGTGATCGAGCTCAAGAGGCAGAGTTCGAAAACCTAACGCCAGTCCTTCGCGATTTCGTACTCGCAGACGAATATCTGGAAGCAATCAAGGTACTCTACCGTCAGAGTGAGGCGTTTGACGCGAGGCATATCTCGTCAGCGAATGGTGAGGAAGTTGGAGACGAACATGCCGATGCCGAGATTCCAGACATCGTGAGGCCTGCGGAAAGACGCAACACAATGGCATCTCGCGCGGTAACTGACATGGAGATAGACGAAGACGACGAGGTTAAACTTCTAGACGTAGCGATGCCTGCGGATAGACGTAACGCGACTGCATCTCGGGTGGTGACTGGCGCGGAACATCCCGATGGCGATAGGAAGACCACTGACACGAAGAAATTATCCACCGCCTTTGAGGTGGGATATGATAGTGCTGAAGATGGCTCGGGAACGGAGGATAACGATGCCACCCCAAAAGCGAATATGCTCAACGCCCGCTCTGGATCGGCTTTCTCGAACGCTTCTACCTTTGGAGAAGACGGTATCGGGAGCAGCTACGGTGATGAGGTTTCCGTGGCGGGATCGAGTAAAGAGAAACCCATTGATCTGGATTCTTTCGAGCCCGAACAGACACCACAACCGACCCAGCTCCAGCACGAGTTGGACATGAAACGTGAGCCGTCTGTGGCGGTGTCTATAGGCCCATATTCGTCCCGAGAAAGCGAGAGATCTTTCGACAGCGGCAGTGGCCTTTTCCTTCGCTCGCCAACAATGTCTCGCTCCCGCACCCAACGCGAGTCCACGGAGATGACTGAGACGCTACAGAAGAGGGGATTTGAGGATTCAGAAGTACGGAAGGTCATTGACTTGACTGAATTCGAGGATGAGCCCTCGTCCATGAGTACTGGATACCCAAGCTCGTCTCAAACCAGTTTCACTCAGCAGACGCATCGTCATCAACCCGCCACATTTAATCTCTTGACGCAACTTCGTAACAACCCGATTCGGGCCCGTCCCGACAGCGAAGAAGAAGAAACCCCGGTTTTCAAGAAACCTCGGCTAGGGTAGTTTCCAGATCAGACATTTCTTTCTTTTCGACCATATCTAAGTGGAAAGATGATCATTTTTTCGTCTCGGCACTTTACAGAATCCTCCAGCTCTGGTCCATGAGGAGCAAGTGCAATATTTGCCTTTCTTGCGTTTCGGTAGCGACATTCCGACTTTCATGGCAGTTCGGTCTCGCTTCAATACATCAATGAGCTTTATGATACGGCGACAACTATTCCTTGCACGATCTTCGACATATCAGCGAAAGTACCCAGGTTGCATTTGGGTTTGGTGATTTCCAGCGGCGACTCGCAGCATGAAGCGAGGGGCATACTAGATGCGGGTTGAAAAGCGGTTTGCAATTTCGAAAATTAGGTTATCGGCGACTTGTGAGAGCCGTCTTGGGCTGGCCAGGCAGTCCACAATAGTATTAGACAGAGCCCCATCGTCCGATCTTCTATCGGACTACATCGCTTGGCTGGCACAGACAGATAGAAACCCAACAGCGATTGAACTTTCTTGAACTTGGTGGTATATCAAACTCCGCAAATACAAATCAGAAAGTGATCTTGGTGCCCTGGAAGGCAGCCATAGTCTGCTCCTCCTTGGCCTTCTTCCTCGCCTGCCAACTGGGATGCAGGACACCTTCATCATCCCTTTTCGGGGGCGGCCTCGGCTTCCCCTCCGGAGCGGGAGCCCTCCGGCACTCATCTCTCCTGCTCCCCTGCTTGGTGCCCAACGGGTTTGACACGCCCTTCTTCCACGGCTTCCGCGGTCCGTCCTCCTCTCCACCGACGGCACCCCGCTTCATGTCCCACCCGCTATCCCGCACGCCGCTTCTTTGCGCGGCAGTCTGCTTTTTGACGTGGTTCGCCTGAGCGCCGTACTTCTTCTCCCAGATGGCTTGCCGCTGTTTCTGTCCCAGCCGCTTCTTGGGAGGCGCGAGGTCGAGGTCCGACGCCTCGGACTCGGAGTTGGAGATGTAGCCGCCCATGAGCGAGGGTAGGAACGTCGTCTCCCCCGGCCTTCCGGTGGGTTTCTTGGCACGAGCCTGTTTCTTCTGTTTGCGCGATGCCGGTTCGGGGGAGGGGGAGAGGGAGACATTGGCGGCATTGATGCGGCGTTGCCTCTCCGAGTCCATTCCGCTGTCCGAGTCATCTTGGCCGACCGCGTCCTCATCCTCTCCCTCATCGTCTTCGTCGCTGTTGCTCTCGTCATCTGCGGTGTCTCCTTCTGCGACTTCGCCCAGTAGGGCCTGGTATTTGGCTTTCAGATCCTCGCCGCCGCTCCCGTCTTCCGAATCCGAGCTGCCGAGCATGGCCTCAAACTTGGCCACGGCCCTTTCCTCGCTGTCCTCGTCAAGCTCGACCTCTTCCATGTTCTCGTTATTCTCTCCGTCAGAGGCGCCGCTGTCAGGAGGGATCTCGTCGTCCATCTCGTCAAATGGGATCTCTTCCTCGCTGACCTCGGCCTCGGCCTTGGCAGACACGTCCTTCGCGTCAGTTACCTTAGTCTTCTTCGCTTCTCTGGGCTGGTCTTCCTCCGTCTCATTCTTATCTCCAGCAGCGGCCTTTTTTCCCTTCTTCTTCTTTTCCGGTATGGGGACGTTCAGGATTAGGCAGACGCCTCGGACCGCCTTCTCGATGGCTTCCCGGACATGAACACGGTTAAATAGGCCGCTGGTGACATTGTGCAGAGCGGCCTTCTCGTCCTCGGATAAGTCTGGCTTTGGAATGCCCTGTTTAATCGATTCGGGGAGGGCAGGACTTTCAGCGATTTGCTTGACTTTAAGGAGCGAGGAGTGAAGGTGGGCGTCGGCGGTCTGTTGGAGATCAAGGGACTGAAAGGTATGTTAGCGACACTGACCGGCCTTGGGCGCCGTGAGGATTGAGTTTCACACACCTTGAGCACAAGAATCTCGCGCTCCAGCCTCTTGACCTTGTCGGGCGTCGCCTTGTCGTCGCGCAAGCGTTTGCTGTACCGTTGACGTTCTAGTCCTTTCGCGCCCTTCAGGGCACGGAAGATCTCTTTTCTGTAGTCGGCGAGCTTCTGTTCAATGTCATCCTCGCGTGATCTCTTTCTCTTGACCATTTTGACCGGCGGCTTAATTATGATTGGCCTCTTTCGTTGTCGTTTGAGGGGAGGTGGGTGTCGGAAGCTTCGAAGCTGGCCGGCGGAGAACAAAAAAAATGTGGTTCAGATGCTGGGTATTAGAAGACAATCGATAAGGCGGAATGCTTCCGACGACCGTGCCCGTAATTGATGGGGCCGCTGCTCGTGCTTGTTGGAATGGTCAAAAATGGGAGACATAAACTTTGTCTATTATCTGATTGGCCGTTATGGTCGGCGCAGCGACATGGATGACGTTCCTTCTTTGGAGGGGCATCCAAAACACCCCGCCGTTGCAGATGCCTACAAGTGAGCCTCGTTGATTGCGCTTCTTTGCTCGAGAGATTAGTATTGTTAGTAATCCCTTCAATAGCTATCAAACGCACGAGTAAGCCTGAGCAGCGGCGTGAGAAAACAAAACATTCGCCTCGCACGTAACGAACAAAGTATGGCGGAAGGTAAGGCCGAATTGGCCGCTCTTGGAGCTGGCACTCTGTTTGGCGTCAACGGCATGATTGCTGTCATCACGGGCGGCGGTTCAGGTAAGTGCTTCATTCGCCGTGTCCTTAGCGGAAGCTGACAAAACGGCAGGCATCGGTCTGATGATGGCCAAGGCCTTGGCCGTCAACGGTGCCGAGAAGGTCTACATCCTGGGCCGGCGCAAGGAGGTCCTTCAGGAAGCTGCGTCTTCTGTCGGACCCAATGTCGTGCCATTGGTCTGCGATGTGACTGATAAATCTAGCCTCAAGGAGGCGGCCTCTTTGATCGAAAAGGAAGTTGGCTTTATAAACCTCTTGGTCTGCAATGCCGGTGTCGGTGGACCCCAAGTCAAGGCTCCTTCGGCAGAGATGACGGCTGCCGAGTGGGCTGAGCAACACCTTGAACACGACACGTCCGATTACACGCGAGCCTTTGATGTAAATGTCACCTCGGTGTGGTACACAACCATGGCGTTTGTCAAGCTGCTGGACCTTGGCAACAAGAAGGGCAATCTATCGCAGACCTCGCAGGTCGTCTCGACCAGCTCCATCGCTGCCTTCAACAAGAATGCTCCTGGTGGTTGGGCATACGGTCAGTCCAAGGCAGCCGCCACTCTGCTCATCAAACAGCTGTCAAGCAACCTACCTCGCTGGGATATCAGAGCCAACTGCATCGCCCCTGGCTGTGAGTCTTCCCTTGGGCCTTGTAAGATTGGCCGAACTGACATACGAGTAGTGTTCCCGAGTGAGATGTCTGCGCCTATTGCGAAACTCTACAGCAACGACGGCAGCGTTCCCAAAGAGATGGTGCCTCTGCAGAGGATGGGCGACACTCAAGATCTGGCGGGTGCAATGCTGTACCTCGCATCCCGAGCTGGGGCCTACTGCAATGGCACGATCATAACGGTCGACGGCGGCAGACTAGGAAACTTCCCCACGACATGGCTCGCTTAGGTTTGAGTGGGTGTTAGTAGATACGTGCTTTGCTTGCTTGGTAGATAAAAAGACGGTCAAGACACCGGTCAAAAATAGCAACCTTGGGTTCGCCCGCTCCTAAGTAACTTGATTTGGGCATACAATTTGACGTGTCCGGCCACGAATTGATTGCTAATGGGATGCGTGCTAAGAACGAGCGCTGCAAATGATGTTTGACAACGTTGATTTCCATGGCCGGGACCAATGTCAATCAGGGGTGGGTGTATGCGAGTCAATCAACAGGCGTCACATCCAGGACCTTGGCTCGGTGCGTTCCGTGGGAGTGAAGACGTGGAGAACTGAAAACAGGTACCGTACTTAGGTACCTACTCCGTAGTAGTAGGTATGTAAGGGAACCTGATTTCGGAAATACATCGGCTAGTGCCCCGGCGTGCATCCCGACACACCTCGAATACCTCCACGTACCTAGAAAGAGGGGCAAAACGCAGAACGGGCGTGAAGACGGTACGAATACAAGTACAGTCCAAGAGCCCAACTGACCGTGATCCAGCCTCCCCCACATTCTGTTGTTCCCTGCCCTGTCTGGCTAGGCTCATGCAAGTGGCTTAGCCTTTGGGCGCGACGCCTTGTCTCTGACTCTGGTCGCTTTGCCGCTTGCTTGCTTGCTTGCTTAAGCTGCGCGAAGCTTCGGGCCTCTTCGCGATCCGGCTCCAGAGTCGCTTTTGTGCTTGTTTCTCTTGACGGGTTGCCTTCTTGGCTGCGATCCTGTCCGTCACCCGTTTTCTGGCATCAGTTCTTCGTCTTTCCTTCCCCCAAAACTATGGTCATTTGGGCAAGGAAACGCAGACCAAAATGGACGGAGACTGGGACGAGGTGAGTCGGATCCCGTTTGCATTACCCATTGTCCGCTCTCGCGACGCTCTCTTCTCTCGGCAGACGTGCCTCAGCTGGAGTTGCCCACCAGGTGCACCCTTGCGTTCGGCGCGATCGCCTGCACACGCGCTGCACTGGTTTTCCCTATCGCGCACTTGACTAACCGTCTGGAATGTCAATAGGTCGCTCGCATCCCCTTTCCGCCTCCGGGCGTCCACGCCATGGCGACGCCCGTGACGACCATGACGTTTGACACGGCTCAGGACCTGCTGTGGACCGGGAACGACTACGTATGAGCCATTCGAGCCAGCCTTCGTCGCGAACGCATACTGACGAGGCTGTTAGGGTCGCGTCACTTCCTTCTACGGCAGCGAGCTGCAGCGATACACCTCCTTCAAAGCACACACGACACCTGACGGCCCTGTGAGGCAAATCCTCGTCAACGACAAAGGCGTTGTGGTGCTGGGATCGAGGGATATACACATGGCCTCCCGAAAAGGCCCACCAATATGGCATATTAGGTGCGAGACCTCTGCTCCGACCGCTGCATCACTGCCTGACACCGTCAACACAGACACGATGATATGAAAGACTTACGATGCATGAGCTTTACGTCCAAGGGGACGTCCGAAATTCTAGTGGCCGGATTCCAGGACACCATGTTCGTCGTCGACCTTGCCAAGGGCGAGGTGGTCAAACAGGTTTGTTTGGCATACACGAGACAATACGGCCGTCTTGCTGATGATGCTGCTGAATATAGGTTCCGACCGCGCGCTCATATAAACTCATGAAACGAAGCAGATACATCTGTGCTGCCACCAAAGACGGCACTGTTGACCTGATTGACCCTGTCAACTTCTCGGTTGTCAAGAGTTGGAGCGCTCATTCGGCCCTCATCAGCGACATGGACGCCCAGCATGACTTCATCGTCACCTGCGGTTATTCGCTGCGCCAGGGCCAGAACTACATGTTGGATCCTTTCTTAAATGTCTTCGACATCAAAAAGATGTCGTCAATGTCGCCGATTCCGTTTCCCGCTGGTGCCGCCTTTGTCAGGATGCATCCGAGAATGTCAACAACGAGTATCGTCATGTCTCAGGGTGGGCAAATGCATGTTGTTGACCTGATGAATCCAAACACTAGTAATGTACGGCAAGCCAACACTATGACATACCTTACCATGTTCGAGATTGCGCCTTCCGGGGAGGCTGTTGCTTTGGCGGACGCAGAATACAACATCCACATCTGGGGTTCTCCTTCGAAACTCCGCTTTGTGGACTTCGCGTCACAGACGGAGTTCGCAACCCCCGAAGAACCACTGCCCCCCATAGAGTGGACTGCTGATACGTCAGTAACTCATCTTCCCAAAGTCTTTCATCTATTGTTTCTGGTGCTGACCTACTGCCAGACCCCTCAACTCCGTCGGCATGCCGTACTACCGGGAGGTCTTACTGTCCGCCTGGCCAGATCTCATCTCTGACATTGGAGCTCCCCCTACCAAGTTGGAACCCCAATTCGTTGCGGGTCTCAAGCAGTCGGAGCTGGGCTTGTATGGACGCAACACCCGGGGCCTTCGCAGAAACCAAGTCGAAGACACCCGGAATCTGGACAAAGGGAACGCCTCGGGGATTTTGGCGCCGAAATTCCTCAGCGAAAAGGCGAGAGAGTTTGCCAAAACCCCGGTTGGCAATGCGAGTGGCGATGACAAGGTTGATGGTGTTGCCAATTCTCTTGCGCAACTGGACATCGATCCCACGAAAGCAGAATGCCCTCCGATGTACCGCAACGTCGAGATCAAGTACAGCAAGTTCGGCGTTGATGACTTCGACTTTGGGTATGATAACCCGTCTCCCAGCTCAAACGTCTCGCTTGCTGACATCCCTTAGGTTCTACAACAGAACGCATTACTCCGGGCTCGAGATCCATATTGCAAACTCCTATGCAAACTCCCTGCTCCAGGTCATGCACTTCACGCCGCTAATTCGAAACATGGCCCTCCAGCACGCAGCCACCGCATGCGTCGCTGATACCTGCTTGTTGTGCGAGTTGGGTTTCTTGTTCGACATGCTCCAGAAAGCTGACGGGTCCATTTGCCAAGCGACCAACATGCTGAAGACTCTTAGCCACCATCCCCAAGGTCAGTGCTTCTTTCCTTCTTCTTTTCTATTTTTGTATTTCTTGTTGCTCCTTTCTCCCCCCTTCTTCTCTGCTCTTTTCCTTCTTTTTTTTCTTCTTTTTTGAATTCGCGAAGCATAAGAGGACACTAACATGTTGCTAGCTGGCCCACTTGGTCTTCTTGAGGAAGACCCCAATGGGTCTACTTTGACGGTGATGTTACAGGGTCTGACGCGGTTCCTCTTGGACAAGATAGTCCAGGACTATCGATCCATCCCGCCCGGCTCGAATTTTATGGAGCAGGTATGTGGCAAGCGGCTGCATTGAATACTGTGGTAGCTGACCATTTGAAGATGCTTGCGACGTCAGCGACAAGTTCAATTCGATGCATGAACTGCAGAAGCGAATATACTCGGCCTGGGTCGACCTATGTGAACGACTTGATGTACCCGCAAACAACAGGGGTGAGTTGAGGTCTCAGTTTTTGCAAGCAGTCGGACCCTCAGGGGCTTTCGTTCTTGGCTGGAGCAGGTGATGGGCGGTACTTTGCGCTCTGAGCTCTGAAATGTTTGCCAACAGTCCTCTTTCAGTTCATACCACTAATCGCGCATAGAAGAATACGGGCCGCAACCAGAAAGCACCAAAGGTGACGTTTTCGCAGATCCTTAAATCAAGTGTCGAGAGGGAGACAACATCCAAAGGCTGGTGCAGTCGATGCCAGCGTTATCAGACCATTGCAACTCGGAAGACCATCCATAATATTCCCGCAGTGTTCATGCTGAATACCGCCGTCGGAAACGCAGAGCAAAGGCGTTACTGGTCCACGCCGGGCTTCCTTCCCGAGGAGATTGGCGTCATAGTAGACCACGGCCAGTTCTTTTGTTACGAGGGGGAAGATCTGAAGCTTCACCTCCAACGTGGAATCCACAACATTACTGTGTATTCGCTCATCGGAATGGCCATGAACATCGACCCCGGTCCGGGCCAGAAGCCCCATTTGGTTGCCATGGTCAATGGTAAGATCTTTCCTTCGGTCGTGTGAAATCGAAGCTGACTACGATGCAGTTGCCCATGCCCAGCCCACAGCACCGGAGGCAAGCCAATGGCATCTCTTCAACGACTTTCTTGTTCGGTCTGTGAGTGCTGAAGAAGCACTCTCGTTTCACCCTAGTTGGAAAATGCCGTCGGTCATAGCATTCCAAGTGAAGGAGGCGAACAACAAAATCGACATGGACTGGCAAAAGAATATCGACACCTCGCTGCTATACGAGGACAAAAAGTTTGAAACCCTTGAGAGTTTCCCCGTCACAGATGGCTCGCTGACCACAGCTAGCCCCCACATCGATGGCAAAACTTATCGCGCGCTCGACTCGGCCAGTGAACAGCCCGGGCCTGACAGCATTGTGGCCCTGGACACTGAGTTTGTTGCTGTTCGCCAGCCCGAAATCGAGATGAACTCGGATGGCGAAAGAGAAACGATCAGGCCAATAGTGTACGCTCTTGCGAGAGCTTCCGTCGTCCGTGGCCAAGGGGAGGACGAGGGTCTTCCCTTCATTGATGATTACATCTCCATCAGGGAGCCCATTGTCGACTACCTGACGTCGTACTCTGGTATTACCCACGAGGATCTTGATCCCCGCGTATCGAAGCACAACCTTGTACCCCTGAAGGTTGCGTACAAGAAACTCTGGATTCTGTTGAACCTTGGCTGCAAATTCCTCGGCCACGGCCTCAAACAGGATTTTCGAGTGATCAATATACATATCCCACGGTCTCAGGTCATCGATACCATTGACCTGTTCTTCTTGAAGTCTCGTCTTCGGAAGCTCTCGCTGGCGTTTCTGGCGTGGTATCTGTTGAAAGAAGACATCCAGCTGGAGACCCACGACTCGATCGAAGATGCCCGAACGGCGCTGAAGTTATACCGGAAGTACTTGGAGTTCGAAGACGCGGGTGTGTTGGAACCAATGTTGCAAGACATCTACCGTGCTGGACGAGACGTCAACTTCCGACCACCTGCTAGAAGCGGACAGGCTGCGGACGTCCAGAGGACAGACACACCGCCTCCCCTGCCTACCCACGGAACAGCCGTTACTCCGTCCACACCGGGTGCTGTTAGTATTGGACCATCGTCGAGTGGCGGGTTCGGCGCGGGCTCGACTTGGACGCCCGGAAAGGGGTCGCCGCTTCGATGAGACGGAAGACGCCACTGGTGGTCTAGCACTCGGCTTAGGGGGCTGCTTCTGTAGGTTTAGAGAACCGATAGGATCAATAGAAGACTTGTTGGACTTGCTGTGACGGGTCTGTCCCTCGCATTGACCGTGTCATTGCTGGAAAGGGCATGTTCTTGTCGTCGCCATCCCGCCCGGTGGCTTATTTCTGTCGGTTCTTGGATGGAACCATGTGATTCATCTTCAAGAGAATTGTTCGATGACCTTTGCGCGTGTCTGGAGGTGGTCTGGGGCAGGCTCAACTTGGTTGCGGAGGAAGGCATTCACCTCTGGGTGAGTGGAAACTCCATCGTTACTGACCCAACTGAGGTACGAGTTACAGCAGAACAAAGTCGGAAGTCTCGGGGTTTTCAGAAGCATATTTCAACATCAAATCAAGACATGTTGCCTGGAAGGTTTTCCATTTCCAACACGCGCTGCCATTTCCAGACCAAAATGCGGCGTTTTCTTTGACCGACTTAACCATTGCCCGCAATGCGTCAAGGTTGCGCAACCAAGCCACTCATATGGAGTGATGTACCGGACAACGGCTTCCTCCTGGTGCAAATTTTGCGATGGCATCTAGACCGCGAGACGCTTCATCAACGAGAATCGACGACCGATACCATAGCTCGACGATACTCGCTCGCACCGCCCACGATCCCCCACGTGCTAAGAGGTGTTCTTTTACCTACAACGCGTAACAACTCGCCATGACACGCGATTTTCACCGAAAAGATTTTCATACAGGTTCAATTGTGCGTTAGATACCAAAAGACACGCTTTTCGCAATCCTCCCCCAATTCGCCTACTTGTAATTGTCCCTTTGACTCTATTTCGATACACAAACGCGCCCCCATGCCTCGACCCGATTCGGTCTAGCCCTCTGATCTGTCATGATCCGTTTTTACTTCTTTGAGCCTAGCGTTCAGCCCTACGACGCGATTTAAGCTTATTTTGCCCTGGGGTGGGACTTTTCAGCCAATCAAATCTTGGTGATCCGGGGACGCGACCTTGCTGGCTCCACAGCTATTTAATCCCCCCTCCTCTACACCCCCTCCAACTTCCCTCCTCCTTCTCTCCTCACGGTTTGACTGTTGATTTGCACTCTGGCTCCAGCTATGATGTCTTCTCACTTCTCGCCTGCGTCGGATCCCGCCCGCCCGTCTGAGACCGGTCCGGATTCCAGGGTTAAAGTCCCTGTCAACACCAGCTCGACTTTTGTCGCCTCGCTTGGTTCCCTCGCCCTTCTGTTCGTCGCTTTGGCTGCGTCCTACCTTCGCCCTCTTCTCGCTCCCTTTTGGGAACGGATCAGGTATGTTTCTTCTCACATGAGGTCTCTCTCCAAGAGGAGCCACCCAAGGTGGCTTGCGTTTATTGACCTTGTGCTCTAGCGGTTTTCTCTTCGCTCCGGCGCCCCCCGCGATGCCTGTCGTTAGCTCGTCTCCTCGTCAACATCAGACTAGAGCTTCCCGACCCTCGATCACGGCGCCTTCTTCTCCCTCTCTTGGTAAGTCCTCTCAGGACTTTTGTGCGCGCTTCACGGCGCCTGTTCCCCCTTTCTGTACCCCTCCCCGTCTGTCTCCCCGGGCGTTCACGCTCAGCATGTCTCATTACATGGGTTCTCTTCCTCGAAGGAGCCCTTCCCTTTCTTGTTCATCTGCCCCTTCACCGTCTGTTTCTGTCATGTCCTCGCACTGCCTTGATGACCCCTTTGTTTCCCCTCCCAGCCCTGTGCCCGACTTTGATCAGCTTATGGCATTCGCCGATAAGCAGATCAACAAGGCACGCGAGGCTCGCCTTCGCCAGCCTCGCTCTTTTTCTTCTTGTTCTTCTGCTTTCTCTGTTTCTGGTTCTGTGGCTTCCCCTTCTCTTTCTGTATCCCCCCCTGTTTCTTCTTCTGCTCATGTTTGTCCTTCTTCCCCCGTTGTTTGCGTTTCCTCTGACTGTTCTTTGATTTCTGCCCCTTCTTGTACCCCTCCTCCTCGCGAGATGGATACGATCGATCGAAGTGTTGAGCGCATGCGCCTTCGGGCAATTGAACTCGACCGAGATGGTGACTTGAAGCTTGCGCAGCTCAAAGCTCTTGTGGCCAGTGGTATACCAATGAAGCCGTCGGCCGATAAGAGTTACGACTACTCCACCGACTCCCCAACCCCTCACACCATATCGAACTGGGATTCCACCCTCGAGGAGGATCGCCTCAGTTCCTATTCCTTCACGCACATGCCCACACCCTCTGCCCGCATTCCTGCAGCCTTGGCTGAATGGGATACTTCTTCGCAGCCTACCCCTGTTGCTTCTGTTTCTTCTCCCTCTGTTCTTCCTGTTTCTTCTCCTTCTCTTCTTTCTGTTGTTCCCTTTTCTCACCCCCCTGTTCCTTCTACCCCTGTTCCTTCTGTTGCTTCTGTTCATCCCCTTTCCATGTCGCCTGACCCAGTTTTGCGCAAGTTTGCGCGGAACGTTACCAAGGCTCACTTCGCCGCTCGTGGTGAGGAGCTTCCCCCTTCTTGGACGCCCCCCTCCTTTGCCCATGGTAAGCCTAGCCCCCCCAGCCTGCCGCAACCCCTTCCTGTGTCACCCCGACCCCCGCGCCGCCTTGTTTTCATCAGCAGACGCTCTCGTCGTGCTGGTCGTCTCTGATTCCTGATTCCTGTTTCCTACTCCCTATTTCCCGTTTCTTTTGTTTCTGTAGTCGCTCTTTGTTCCCAACCCTCCCCCAACATGTCGACAGTCAGAATATCATTAGTCCCTTGTTGCGGGAGGGTAATTGTACTCCCGCCACTCTTTATACGGTTATCACCTTTTTCTCCATCAAGAAGGTAAGTTCTTCCCCATCAACTAACAAGCCCTCAATTCGCTGACTTCGAGTGCACACATTGCCCACGTGAGAGGAATGAACATCAAGGTAAGCAATTTCCCTCTCCTAGCTATTTTTTTTTTCCAAGGTGACTAACATGATGACACGCACATCTACCTGCTCTTGTGGACGAACTCGATATGGTAACTAAGTAAGTAACTCTGCTCTCTTCTGCAACATCGTCATTGACTAACTCAACATGAGCCGTGCGCTTGCGTTCGTTTCCTATCAAGGATTGAAAAGGAAGTAAGTGTCCCTTTCCCATACTAAGATGTCGACACCAGCTAACCATTTGGCGATTGCTCTCCGGGACGATGTTTCCGTGTGTTACGACCATTTGCTCATCCTGCACCGTGATTGCACTCATGATTGTCATCATGTCCAACTTCCTCCCATCTACATTCCGTCCACGATGGTGATATACGTGTCATGCCCCCGACATGCAGATCAGATTGGGTTTCACGCGCCTTCTTTCACAGGCCCAGTATTGCTACAAGTCTTCACTGAAGCCTGCATCCGTGGTTGATGCTGTAACTGCCAAGGCTCAAAAATCATTCTGTGCAAACCTGATTGTGACTGAGACTGAGATGACTGCCAAGACTGAAGTAAGGGTCCAGTGCCACGCCACAGGCAGGGACGTTGTGTCAGGCTTTGACATGCCCTAGAAGATGGTGGCCCAAAAGGGTTCGGGCATTCCAGACCTGCTCCTTCCTACTGGAGGGGGTTCTGGGCGGATGATACCTAGCAACGATGCAGCAAGACCCACAGGCAGACTACGTTGCTTCGTCAATGTGAACTCGGGCATAAGACGCGGAAACCGAGGCAATTCGCCGGAGAAGGAAGGAAATGGCTCAAAGGCGACAACCAGATTGGTTGGCGGCTCGGTGCCGCGAGACGCGCGATAAGGAAAGCAACACAGCATAGCCGAGCCATGATGGATGCCGGGCCAGCCAGCCATAGGCAAGGCGTGAAAACCAACGCACACCCTTCCTCCGGGGACGCGAGAAAGGGCCACAAGGGTTTCAAGGGGGAGGCTACGACAGGATGTTGAGACGCTCGGAGCATGACTTGCGGTGTGAAGCCGCGGAAAAGGGTCGAGCCAAAAGCGAGGGTTTTCGGCCCAGGGTCAAGAGAGAGACGCGGGAGCATCCGGGATGTGGTTGAGTGGGTCGGCAATCCAAGATAAGCAAGCACCAGGCCAGGCCCGGGAGACGTGGAGCAGCAGAGGACAAGGGAGGTCCATTTTGGGTTCGATTCGAGTACCTAGCCGAACTGGGTCCTGCGTTCGTCGGCGTTGTCATGCAACATTCCTGCAAGGCTGATTTGTCGAGAGGAAGCAGTAGGCATACTATGTAGGCAGGTCCAAGGCGGGCGGGGCTTTCAACGAGGTCGTTTGGAATACGGGACCCGAGACGGGGTGCGCCGAGGAGTGCGCAGCGTCAGATCAATCAGAACGGTGCCGGTGGCGGATTGAGCCGCCGGGTGGGCGTTCCGGTTGTCGTGCTCCTTCTTACCTCTGGTCATGAGTGATTGTGCATTGCACGATCAGACGGCCAAACGTCATGCGGCGGCGAGATGGGACGTAGGAAGATTCGCGGTGGTCGCAAAGGTGACCAGGGTTTGTGCAAGGGATGAGTGGCGGTTGGGAGGATGAATGAATGTCGCTTCGTTGGGGTGGTGCGGGTAGGGCTGTGAGGTGTGAGGGAGGGGAGGTAGATAGATATTCTGTACGAGGCGGCTCAACAGGTTCACATGTGTCGAGACAAAAGAAAAGAGACAACATGTCTCGGACGGCGAGGGTTCGAGTGCCGGCCAATTCCAACAAGATACCTCTGCTAAGACATGGCGGGCTCGAGGCGAACGGTGTGGCCCCAACGGACGGGAAGGTGGTGTAGTAGTAGGTATCCGTAGGCTGGTAGGGTAAAGGACGGCTGGTTGCGTGTCTCGGTGAGGGCACGGTGTGGGAGGAGCGAGTGAGTGGAGATGATAAGATACGAAGATATTGGGTATTGTACGGAGTACGAGCGATCAGACAAGCTAATAATGCCCCCCCCCTGACAACCCGAGAGTACCGTGCACGATAACAGATAGGGGCCCGTGCAGAGTTGAGCTGACAATGGATACAGTTATAGCCAATAGATAAGGGTGTAGATAGAGGGGAAAAGTGGAAATAGAGGCCAAAAGGGGAAATAGAGGTAAAAAAAAACAGAGGCAAAAAACAAGGGATAGTCTTAGCCCATCCCAACCTAGAGCGTAGCGGAGGAAGCAGGGTGGGATAGACTATTCTAACCCTCCCCAGCAGAGCCGTTTTGTAATTACCTAAAGAAAAAGTTAGAAAAATTCAGAAAAAGATAGGATTAAACCTATAGTCTTTACAGTATTAGAAGCACTACTTACTGCTAGACTATGTAGAGCGAGAAGAACGTAAACTCCTGTTTTTTCTTGACCTATAGACCCTTTTGATGTGTGTGTGCCTATCTATTGGTTAGGACCTTATCAGCTTAATCCACTGTCAGGTCACCTTATTGGTTATTGTGCACGGTACTCTCGGGTTGTCAGGGGGGGGGCATTATCAGCTTGTCTGTATCTGTATCCGTAGTGTAGACTCGTATTGTACGGAGTACGATGTACGGAGTCTTCTTGATAGATCGAGGTACGTAACTATGAGTCCGTGCACTGATCTGATCTGTAGTGTAGGTAGTGTACCTAGGTACTGTGTACTGGTCTGTGCTGCTAGTGCCTGTTGCTGTCTACCGGTACACTATTACCCCGCATCCTCGTTGCAGCAGGCAGGTGGCAGCCAGCAGCAGTGCGTTTGTTGCAGGCCAGTCCCGGAGTAGGAGGAGGAAAGATGGCAGCACATGACAGACAGACAGACAGGCAGGCAGGCAGGCAGGCAGGCAGGCAGTTCCTATTTTTGAGGACGGTGGTGCGCCTGCCTCGCCTCGTCTGTAATGCATTCATCATACCTATGTACAAGTACAAGTACCTCCACCTATACTCATCGGTTACTGACAAGTACCTAGGGTAGGTACCTACCGGTAGTCTTCTTGCCACGGTGCCTGCGTGACGTGCGTGCGTGACCTCTTCACCCCAGCTTTGAGCAGGTTCGGAACAACGGCTTTGATCGGCAGCATCGGGGATTTCTCGTACACTGTGTGTCGTCGTAGAGGAAGGGGAAATGCCACCATCATAGCTAGCTAGGTAGGAAGGCAGGGAGGTAGGTACCGAGTTACGTACGGTACGCCGTCAAACAGTCTTCCATGTCTACCTACCATTACATTGTACATACGGAGTACACTTGGGTCGGTACTATGCATACACTTCTTCTGCCGCCCTCCAGCCAAGCAAATCAACGCCGGCCAATTGATCGACACCCGTTTCACTGCTCTTTGTGCTGTCATCCAAGCAATTCATGGGCGTCTTTGGCCCGCAATTGTACTGTGGCAGGCATAGGTAGTGTAGTGTAGGTAGTCGTCTTGTTGTTGTTCGCCTGCTTAGCCATTCATCCTTCCATCCGTCCGTCCCCCTCACGTTGATGCATGTGGTGTGCCGGAACACACATCAACCCCGCATCCGGACGGCACCAGAACGACGCGACACACAATACCTACGCCTGGCTTCGCAACCACCGTCTTCTGTCGGAACTCCTCCAAGCCTTCATTGGTGCGCCGTTGCGAGCCAGGGATAGCGGCGCCTGGACGGGAGGGTAGGAAGCTTTAGAATTCTGGGGACGTCCACAGATATCTACCTTTGGTTCTCCGCACCGGGTGATGGTCCATACTCATCATACTCATCATACTATCCCGTACACACATGGGACTCCTGTGACCACCACTCTAGAGATTCGACTGTGCGTCTTCGGGTTAAGACGCGAAGCTTCCTCCTCCATCAATCGGTCTAAAGCCTCCGTCATCCGCCAACACGCAAACGCTAAGGCTTACTTTTGCCGTCCAACATTAACAGCCTCCTTCCACCTAGCCCGCCTTCTTCTGCTACCTAGCCCGCCTAGGCCCAGCTACTGCCGAAGCTCGACCGTCCCGGGAGGCACCTGACATCTATCTTGGCCATCTAGCCTAACGTCAATCTCCTCCCACAAGCAAAATAAGGAAAGAAAAGAAAAAAGTAGGAAGAAGAGAGAAATACTCGGCCCCGACTACCCATCTTACCGTCTTCACAAGCTTCATCGACCCTCGACTCTGACTTGTCTTGCCCCCAGCTTGCTCGTTCCTCCAGTCTTCAACAAAGCAAAGCCATAGCAGATCCAACACAACCCCGCCTTTTTCGTATCCTCATCCTTCAGCTCCCCCCCCAACGGCACGCGACCTCGAATCAAACATCCGCCTTCCAGAGCCCCTGCAACGCCCGCCGGACACCGTTATTGAGTGTAACAGACCGTGGCACACGTACTCCTTCGCCCTTCGCAACAAGACATCGTCTCGCTTCAAAGTAAGTAGCCGTCATTCGAGCTTTTGAGGCCCCCAGTTTCTCACTCATATGTCTTTTTTTGGGGGGGACGCGAGGCGTTCAACAGGGGCGCCGAGCTAATAAACCCCCCCCCCTCCACCTCCCCATCTCTCTCTCTCTCTGTCTCTCTCCCTCTCTCGCTCGGCCTTGCCCTCTTCCCTTCTCCCAACCCCGCCACCGCTGCGGCCTTGCTCGTTGTAGCCGGCCGGAATTCTGCTTTTGCATAGTGTGCAGCCCGAGGCATTCAGACCCGTTCTCTCTCTGTCAAACATCCCGTCGTTCAACCACTCTTCCACTTACATGGGGACGCGCCGGTTACCTTAACCACGGCTGCGTCCCAACCGGACTCGCCCCACACCCCCTTGTCCCTATCTTTTCCGATGTCATACCCCTCCCCCCCACCATTACCGCCCTCCTCAGCACCACCCAGGCCGACGAGACCCGGGACCGTCACCTCGGTCGCGGCGTCGTCTGGCTCGGCCTGACCCCAGCCATTGTCTTGTTCTGCATCGGTGCACATTACCTACATGCCTACACGCGCTAAGCTCTGGCACTACACTCTACCGAGTACCTACTCGTCTGCATATCCATGCCTTGCCCATCGTGCGCCCGTCCGCGCATGTGGGACCTGCCAGCAGAATCCAAATGTCGAATTGCGTCTTTGCGTCCCGTCTCATGCTTTTGTTGGACCCCCACCGGTTCTGCCTGTACCTTGCTGGGGGGTTGTCTTATTAACATTGGCATTTGCAAGCCATTGAGGGATGAGGGAGGCCTCGTCCATACTATAAAGCTACCCGTGACACCTCTTCATCTGGACCTTGACTGACTGACTCTCTCTTCTCTTCTCTTCGATAGCTTCTTCCTTCCTTGTTCAATCTAGCCCCAGTAAACCAATCCGCTTACACGCAGCGGCTCTGACGCTCGACAACCCATCCATTCTCCCCACACCGAGTCGAGTACTCTCTTGATACTCACATCCCCCGACCCCAACATGAGCTCTGGTTCCTTCAAGCAGGCCGCCGAGGCCGCACGAACCCGCACATCGGAAGTCATGAAGGGGGACTCTGCCGCCGTCGCCAATGACTTCCTCCACACCCCGTTCATGAGGGCGGCTCTGCCCTTCATCAACGGCGGTATCAGTGGCATGGTTGCCACCACGGTCATCCAGCCTGTCGACATGATCAAGGTTCGTATCCAGCTCGCCGGCGAGGGTGTCGCTGGAGGACCCAAGCCCACGCCGCTGTCCGTCACAAGAGAAATCATTGCCAGCGGCAAGGCCCTTGACCTCTACACCGGCTTGTCTGCCGGTCTCCTGCGCCAAGCCGTCTACACAACGGCTCGTCTGGGCTTCTTTGACACCTTCATGGGCAAGCTCGGCCAGCGCGCCAAAGAACAGGGCAGCACCATTGGTTTCAAGGAACGTGCGACTGCCGGTCTCGCTGCCGGAGGCCTGGCTGCCATGTTGGGAAATCCCGCCGATTTGGCTCTCATCCGCATGCAGAGTGATGGACTGAAGCCCCCGGCCGAGCGCAAGAACTACAAGAGCGTCATTGACGCGCTCACTGGCATTGCCAAGTCGGAAGGTGTTGGCGCCCTCTGGGCCGGTGCCGCCCCCACGGTCGTCCGAGCCATGGCCCTCAACTTTGGGCAGCTCGCCTTCTTCAGCGAGGCCAAGTCGCAACTCAAGCAGAACACGCAATGGTCCTCTCAGGCTCAGACCCTCACTGCTAGCGCCATCGCCGGCTTCTTTGCCAGTTTCTTCTCCCTGCCCTTTGATTTCGTCAAGACCCGCCTGCAGAAGCAGTCCAAGGGCCCCGACGGCAAGCTTCCATACAAGTCCATGGCCGACTGCTTCGCAAAGGTGGCCAAGCAGGAAGGCGTGATGCGCTTCTACCGCGGTTTCGGCACATACTACGTCCGCATTGCTCCCCATGCGTAAGTGGACATTTTCCCAGTTCGCGTGGCGTCCATGTCGTGTGTTTGATTACACTGTACAGTCTGTTGCATTGACAGAGTCTTACTAACAATGTCGTGTGTCCACAGTATGGTAACGCTCATCGTTGCCGACTATCTTGGCTTCCTCACCAAATAAAGAAGAGACAACGATTGACACGAAACGACACTCGCTCTTACGGCCGGCCCCGACGTGGCCCAATTGATTTTTTCTTTCTTTCTTTGGGCCATTCTTGGGCTCTTTCTCGGACTGGATTGAAGCGCAACAGAAGCCAGCCTCGCCTGGTTCGTTTCATTTACAGATGGCCGTCGGGCACCTCAACCTCAGTCTTTTGAATTCACATTCCCTATCATCCCTGGCGCTACAGGTGTAATTGCAGTTTATAATGGGGTTTTCTTACGGGGCTTTTTTTATTACTGTCTCGAAGTATTCGCTAGGGTTTATACCAGAGTCCTGAACGGGACGAAAGTGTGAGGGAGAATGTACATAGCGCTGTCAACAATTGGCATAGGGTGCGTGTGTGCTACATGCACCTCCATGTCTAGTGGTTGCACAAATAAAGAAATCAGTTCAATCAGGTCAATTCTGCTTATATTGGGATGTCTGTGGCCTGATTAGACTTCTGGCATGGCTTTGCATACGTGAGAATGTACGTGTGTGTGTATGAGAGAGTGCGTATGTTGACGGGCTGTGTGCTCCCCAACAGTGTCTGAGAAAGGGAGAGAGCATGTGTTTTTTTTTTTTGGTGAGATGCAATTTCCGGGCGCAAGCGGGAATGAGACGGATATATCCGGCCAGAATGCCATGTTCCGCGGAATGCACCTCACCGAGCTCACCTGTTGGGGGGTGTGGCCAGCCAGGGGGGGGGGGGGTGGTCAGCGGTTCCCAAGCGCTACTCAACGCCTGAGTCTCGGGATGTCGTGCACTTGGCTTGCTGCCAACACCGTTAAACGGCGCCGGGAGGGTGAGGGTGGGGGTTTTGGTGGTTCACAGAAAACCAAGGGCTTTGGTCCGGATTAGAATTGTTGTTTGTATCTTTTTGAGTGCTTTGCCTCAAGAGTATCTAGCCAGCCTCGGCGTGTGCTTCTCTTTTTGCCTTGCCTCCCTCCCCACCTGCAGAATTCTGCAATTTGGAATTTGTACATGATTGGAATAACACACACACACACACACACACACACATACTCGAGAGAATCGGTTCTGCTCCACCAGCAGAGAGCATCTAGCCCCGACGGGACATGCTTCTCCTGTTTGAGCCGTGACGTAGTGCACCGTTGTTGAAGACACACGCCGTCTTCACAGCCCAGAGGATGGGGCAATAAAGAAAAGGGGAGGGGGAAGAAGAAGAAGAAGAAGAAACACCTTGGATCCTCGGCACCTGAGGTGGCGCCGGCATGTGTTGCAACTGATTAAACCCGACGGGTTGTGCTTTGTTTGCTTTTCTCTTTCCTTTCTTACGTCCTTTTTGTTTTGTTGACCGCCCAGCCCAATCTAGTTGAATGGAATTAATTCCCGACCCATGTGGTCAGCCAGGCCACCCTACTCCTGACTGGCGCTCAGGTCCGGGTTCTTCTCCCACAGGTTACGAAGGAGCGCCGTGACGCCCTCGTCCTCCTCGCCGCCCACCAGGCTCGATCCGCTCAGTCCCTGCACCCCGGTTCCCTCGTGCAGGGCCCGGCTGCTCTGGTGGTCGTCGTGGTCGGCCTCGTAGCTAGACCCGGCGCCGTTGGTCCGGATGGAGTAGGCACGGGGCGTCACCGGTCTCCGGGCGGATCCAGTGCCGCCAGAAGCGGCGGCTAGCGCCGACTCGTTGAGGCTCGAGTTCCGCATGTGCTGCTGTTGTCCCGGTACGACGCCTCCACGCATCGAGGCGGCCTTGCCGTTGCCGTTGGCGGTGCCGGTGCGGGGTATCCGCTGGTTCTTGTTTGCGCGGTTCACCTGAACGAGACGGTCGAGCGAGCGTACCACGGGGTTCTGGAACCGGCGGACACTGAGGTACTCCATCCCCGTCCTCTCCAGTTGCTTCGTGACGCGCGGGTCCCGGCTCGCTCCGCCGTCATAGCCCGGCCCCCCAATGCCGACCAGGGGACTCGCGCCCACCGCGCCCACGCCCCCTCCCGCCGCCTGTCCGGGTTCGATGACGGAGCTGGCCCGCTGCAGGTTGAGCTTCTGCTGCGTGCGTGATTTCTCGGCTGGCGGGGCGGAGCGCCTTGCGGACCGTGGCGCGAGCGCTGTGCCGTCAGTCTCGCCACGGACTTCACTTGCCTCATCGTCCAACAGTGGCAGGTCTTGCAATCTTTCCTGCCGACCTGGGCGTCCGGAGCTGGAGGACTGCGGCCTCCGTGGGGGGGTTGCTTCTGACCCGAGGCTGGACGGCCGCGGCGTGGGGGGCTGGTAAAAGGACCCTTCGCGGGCGGCGCCAGAGCTTCCGGCGTTGACGAACCTCGAAATAAGCTCGTCGCCGGAGCTGGGCAAAGTACTGACGTTATGCGACTCGGCAAGTGTCGAACCGCGGCCGATTGAGTCGGGGGAGCGGGAGTCGCCCCGCCGTGAAGCCGTGGCGGTATCTGTCGTCATCTTTGGAGGCGCGCCGTGTGACGGGATGCGTTGGAGTAGTCTCGAAGTCAGATACTCCTTGTGCTGGACAGTATCGTAATCGGGAGTCGCCGCAGCTAGGGAGGAAGGGTGCGCCGTGGGGGCATCTGCTCTCGAATTGTTGGCGCTGTTATTTGCGCTGTTATTTGCGCTGTCGTTTACGCTGTTGACGCTGTTGTTCGCGCTGCTATTGTCGTCGGGTTTGGCCGAGGCCTGTGTGCTGGCCAAGGATCCTCGTCTTGACAGGTAGGGAGAGGCAGAGGTGCTGGCGTCGACCCAGTCGTCTTCCTGTCCGTCGTTGCCCAGATCAAAGTGTACCTGTGACTTTTGCGACTTGACCTTGCTGACGGCGGAATTTGAGCCCGTCCTTTTGAGCTTTTCCGACGACTTGATGTTGGCAGGCTTGTTCACTTCGCTGTGGGATTTGTTGCGGCGCAAACTCGTGGCGGAGGCGGTCTTGCTGATGTTTGCCGAAGAACTGTCGCGGGAAAGCTTCGCTTCGGACTGGACTCGACGATGACCGCCGGCGGCGGCGGCGGCTGCTCGATTTCGATCGGGGGAGGGGGATGCGTGTCGGCGGTGGTTCAGTTTGGAGGCAGTCGAGCCATGGTGCTTGTGTAATGCCTTTGAGGAGGGGACGCGTGCATGTAGGCGGCCGGTGCCGACGACGTGCTTCTGCTTGGAGCGATGCTGATGATGATGGTCTCGGTGAGTTTGATCGCTGTTTGTTGAATCGCTCTCGTCGCGATTGAGAGGAGGGCGCCTTGATTGGTTCGTTGCCGAAGAATCGTCGGCGTCTCTACCGTCACGAACCATGGTTGCTTATTTGGGGGCCCCTAGGGGATGCTGGACACTGACAGTAATGAGCACCGTAGCAGCCAAGGCACAATGTCATGGATGTGGACAGGTTTCGTCGGGGGTGGGGGATTGATGGCAGGGCTTGTTGCTGATGCGCTGTGCGTGGGCGCGGACGATCGGAGGACCGATTGGGATGGCGGGTGGGTGGGCTGCTTGCGCTGTTTCAATGAGGTAATGCCTCAGACAAGACAGGGCAGGACGCGACCAATTGGACGGCGGAGGAGGAGGAGGAGGCGGCGGCGGCGACGGCGGCGGCGGGCGTGGTGGATTAAGTGAGACGAGAATCAGCTAGAAAGAGGCGGGGGGTGTCGTCGCAAAAGTCGTCGATTCGGGGGGGGGGGGGTTCTTTGTTCTGGAAGTCTTGAGGTACCCCTCGAGCTGTAAGTACGTTGGAAGCTGACTTGTGGGTTACAGGGAGAAAGGAAAGAAAAAGAAGGGGAAAAGTACAGAGGTAAGGAGGGAAGAAAAAGGTCAAACGAGTACAGGCAGAGAAGAGAGAGAGAGAGAGAGAGTACGGGATACCTTAAGGACCTTACGGATGGATACTGGTAGCTAAATTGCTAATAAACCGCCTTGACAAGGTACCCGAGACCATATGTGCCACACGCGCGTGCGCACCCTCGTCTGGCTCCGGCGCCATCCCAGGCAGGGCCCATTATCTGCATTCCACACCCGCTAAGACGCCCGCTGGAACCTCACCCCAGCATTCCACGATTCCTAAAAAAATAAAAACTCAAAACAAAAAGCCCATCCATCATCTTAGTGTATCCGTACTCCCTACTTACAATGTACCTAGGAAGTCTTTGTGGGGTCTAAGCCAGACGAACCATGATTGGCCCCAAAGCCGGATGACGCTGCGCTGGTCGTCGCGCTACGATTCCCCATTATATGCACGTGATCCCCGCCGGATAAGCTTCTTGGTTGCATCGATCAAACTGCCGTAGCTTCGCTTCATCACTTCACTGCATCTATTTTGCCTGAAGCAAGTAATCGCCAAACCATTCCTCAGCCCCGTTCAACTTGTTCTTAGCCTTTTTTTCTTCTACCATATTGGCCGTCTCATAACAAATCCAATCCGTTCCTACCGCTTCCTCAGTGCAGCCGTCGTCATGTCTAGTCAAATCACAGCCTTGGAAGAGGATCGCCAACAGTATCAAGAGCAGGTGCGCGCCGACTTGTCCCACCCTCATGGCCCAAAACAGGTGTTGACCGCTTTTTGAAACAGCTCGACGTCGTCCTCGCCGGTCTCAAAGACGATCCTGAAAATGCCGAACTCAAGAACCTGCAGGCGGAGTTGAATGACATGATCTCCCTACTAAACGAGTCTCTTGCTGAGCTGCAGCCGAAGCAGGCACTCAAGCCCGCACCACAGAAAGCTCCCAGCCCGCCAGAGCCCGAGAAGTGGTCCAAGGAGAACCACCCCGCCTTCAAGAAGGCCGCCCCCGCTCCGGAAGAGAAGGAATCCGATGCGCCGCTTGTCGCCTACCAGGTGAACGACACCGTCATGGCCAAATGGGCTTCAGGTGATCGAGGCTTCTACCCGGCACGCATCACATCCATTACCGGCTCGTCGACGGCGCCCATCTACATTGTCAAATTCAAGAGCTACGATAACACCGAAACGCTGCGAGCCAAGGATATTCGTCCCATGTCCAACAAGCGCAAGGCTGACGGAGCACCAGCGTCCGGTCCCAGTACCGGCCAGCAACCCACCCACACGCCTTCGGTTCAGTCAAATGGCGTCGTCACGTCCGCGGCCGCCAGCCTGTACCCCGAACAGCAGGCTAAGATCGAGGCTGAGAAACTCGCTGCCGACGGTGCCGCAAAGCCGCCTAAACCCAAGAAGATCAAGGCCACAAAAGAACTGGAGAAGGGCAAGTCCAAGTGGCAAGAGTTCAACACAAAGTCAAAGTTCGGAAAGCAAAAGAAAGAGAGCATGTTCCGCACACCCGACGGCGTCGGTGGCCGAGGTACGTGACTCTGACTGCATGAGTCGGCACGACACTGACACTGTTACAGTTGGCTTCACGGGTTCTGGCCAGGCCATGCGCAAAGACCCGACTCGCAGCCGACACGTATATCAGCAAAGCGACGAGCTTGACTAATCGCTTCCCAAGGAACCGGCTTGTGGGAGGATTTCCAGCCAAAAAGGAGGTTCGAGGCTTCGGTGGCGTTACGGGTGGTTTGGCAGTCTCGTTCCCTTCCTGGTAATGTGTTTTGTTTTCGCTTTACATAGGCTAACGGTTTGTACGCGAGTTATGTTCCCTCCAGACGATCGTCAGGGTTTCAGTCCCCCTTCTGGAATCTGCGCAGATGGCGCGGGGGCGTTTCCTGATACAAATACATGAGATGCCCAACTACCCCATCTCCCAGGTCGTTTTGACTAAACGTTTGGCTGCATAGGATATCTATCGTACACTACAACGGCTTCACACCAGCGAGGAGCGCCAGTGCCCGTGGATCATGGGCCGGTTGGCGGACTACGGCATGCGAAGGTCGATTTTCGGGGCAATGTCTCTCGCCATCTTGAGGAAGATCTCGGCTCTCTCGCTCATTGGTTCTGCCACAACAGTGGGTTTGCCCAGGTCCGCGTCGTCGCCGATGGACGGATGCAGAGGGACATCGCCCAGGAAGTCGATCTTGTGGTCCCTGCACATGCGCTCAACCCTCTCGTTGGACCCGAACACATACGTGTCGCCGTGACAGTGTGGGCAGCTGAAGAGCGACATGTTCTGGACCAAGCCCAGAATGTTCACATTGACTTTGTTAAACATGTTGACGCCCTTGACGGCATCTTTGACGGCAAGTGTGTGAGGCGTGGTGACGATGATGGATCCTGGTTGCGGTGAGCGCTTGCCAATGAAAAATGTGCCTTGTGATGTAAATTGTAGTCATGACACCAACGCTGCTGAGTGAGGGCTGACGTACCATCGAGGATGACCTGTTGAGTAATGGTAAGCTGTGTATCACCGGTGCCAGGGGGCAGGTCAAGAACAAGAATGTCCAAGCCGCCCCAGTCAACTTCGTGAAGGAGTTGTTGGATGGCCTTCATCACCATCGGCCCTCTCCATACGACAGCGTCGTCTTCTGGCACAAGGTAGCCCATTGACATGGTCTTGACGCCATAGTTCGTCATCGGAATCAGTTGATTACCTATCTCGTCGTTAGCCAGTTCTGGTGCAGCAGCCGTTGGAGCAACAAATACCTTGGGATAACCGAGGCTCCCCGGATAGATTGAATAATGTCGGAATAGAAGGACCAAAAATGTCGGTATCCAGAATGCCGGCGCGATAGCCGAGTCGCGCAAAAGCCAGTGACAGGTTCGCTGCCAAGTATTCAACAAACCGATCCCACACGTCTGCCATAAGGCCCATGGCGCCTACCTGCAACTGTGCTCTTGCCGACGCCGCCCTTGGCGGACGAGACGGCGACGACTTTTTCCACACCACGAATCTTGCGTTGTACAGGCTTTCTGGGCCAGTTCGGCGGTGTACCGGACTTTGGGAGCCCCTATGCTAGGTGTGAGCTATACAAGTCACGCGTGTACATGATTGAAGCGTAGTCGGTCCTACCAAGGGGTTCTCGTGGCCGAGGACTCGGATGGTCGGTTGAAATGGCCTAAACAGGGTTGGTCTCATCGTAGCTGCTCCGGCGTGCAATAAGGAGGGAGTAAAAATAAACCTATACGGGGCCGCAAACAAGTTGACAGGGCTTCAGGACAAAGGCCCAAAGGTTCATAAATGGCACCTCAAAGTGATGATGGCTGGAGATGTAATTGATTGGTTCTTCGCCGACACGTCTCCGAGCGGAGTATCTTCGGCCGACCTTCCACAGGCGTCACAATCGACTTCAGCTAATATTCTGGGGACCCGGCAAGTCTGAACACTGCATAATTGATAAGCTTGATTGTTGCCGTTAAATGGGATTCGAGACAAGCATAGCATGATGGGGAATCCTATTGTTCGTTCAGCTCAACAATAGACAATGGCCACGACACGTGACCTGGCGGCGAGGTATAGCCCCACAATTGGACATTTGGCCCGTGTACGTACCTTTCCATCGCGCTCTTGAGTTCGCGATGAGAGCCGTGGACGCGCTGGGAACCGACATATCACTGAAAAAAAGCCGCCGCTGCAAGTCGCGACTCCATACCCCGTTATCCAAGCATGACATGTTACAGATGAAGAACTCATAGCTGTCTCGCCCGCTTCTTCTCATCTCATCGTTCTGATACCCTCTTGACTTGGTTTTTCTATTGTTTTTTTCTTTTTTTTCTTTCTTGGTTTGCGCATTGGTTTCTTCACTCCGCTGGTCTCACCCAGAAAGTCTCGTTCCAACTATATCCACAGAAGTTGGTCGGTGAAAGGGGACAGGAGAAACGCATAGGAATTCCGGAAGCCTAGTAGGAACTGAACGCACCACACACACACACACACACACAAACACACACACGCACACGCGCACACAAACCGAACACCATGTCCTCACCCTCGGCATTGTTCGATTTGAACCAAGGGCGTCGCGACCTGGCGTCCCTACCCGCCGACTGGCAACAAAACATTAGAGAGGCTGTGAGTCTTACAGCAACCTCCGACCCAACGTGGCTGCTCATGAGGAGACACTGCGATATACTAACTCCCTTGCCAGTGGGAAGTCGTTGACCAACAAGGCCTCGGCTCCCTCAACGCGCGCGAGTGGCCATTTGCCCTCCGCGCCATCGGCTTTGACCTTGCCCGCACGGAGACCTACGCCCTCCTCCTCGCGCACGGCGTCCCGCCGCACGACCACGACCCGTCCCGGGGCCCTTGCAGCCCGTCGCGCCTGCGCATGCCGCAGGAGCACTTCTCGGCCATCGCCGCGTGGCTGCTGGTGCGCCGCGACCCGCAGGAGGAGGCCGAGGACGCGTGGAAGATGTTCGACCCGCGCGGCACGGGGCGCATCACCCTCGATAGCCTCAGAGCTGTGTGTGCCGAGGTGAACAGCACCCTGAGCGAGGCGGACATGAGGCGAATGATTGACATGGCGGACATTTCGGGTAAGGGGTGGGTTACCAAGGACGAGTTCATCGAGGTCGCCAAGGGCGGGTTTGGACGCGGTTAGGCGTGGTGGTGGAGGAGGAGGAAAAAGAGACCGGGGTGGGCGTTCCGTTGACGAGAGGCGCGTCTACTAGGCCCCGGAAGTATGCGTATATTGCTCATCATCGGGGTTGGCAGCTACCCGGGGGGGGGGGGGGTGGCGACTTGATCCAAATCCAAGTTGGCAGAGTCAAGATTTACACTAGAGCGAGAATGTCTTACTTTTTATTTTATTTTCATCACAACCAGGCAGAAAGACCATACTGTCTGTCTTTCACAGGTCTTCTTCATTCTACCTGGGTTCCAGCCTGTTTCGATACGGGCATGGGGGAAAAAGAAACTCAGACGACGAGGTTACAGGAGTGAAATATAATTCAAGACGCAAGTACAATGACGGTCGTGTAGACGGATGAGCATGTCTGCGGGATGCACATTGTTTTGTCATGTTGGCTGCCTACGCTCCTCCGTCCAAATTCAGACCGGGATACCAAGTGGCTTCCTCACCGGCAAGCTATACGCCATGTCAATCATCCTCATCTGGTTGATGCTTTCTTCCCCGTTGACCTAGGTTGCCCGTCTTCTTCCCCTTGCTACGGCTGACAAAATGCTCCCGCTGGTATCGATACGTGAACCACCACGCCTCTCCTTTGCCGTCTACACCAGCTTCCTCGAACGTGCACGTCTTTTGCACCGTCTTCCCCGTCTCGTCCTCCCCTTCATCCTCCACAAGACCCGCCACGCGCGGGTTAAACACTGGAAACACCGTCCCTCCCTCATCGAAACCTTCCGGAGCCAGACGGGAGGGACGAAAGGGGAATGCACCGTTTGTCACTGCAGATGGAACCACCGGGTTTTGTATGTTTTACTTCATTTTTGAGAACTATGTAGGTAGGCGTCTTCTGACTACTTCACCCTACAATGCAGAGCAGACCGCATCCCGTTTTGGTCCTGCCACTGCAGAGGTATCACCCATTATTCATCCTTTACAAAACATCGTTGGCGTTGAAGTCGTACAGAGCCTGCTTGACACGCTCCTTCATCGTCTTCTCACCCTCACGGACCCAGACTCTGGGGTCGTACTTCTTCTTGTTGGGCTTGTCGTCACCCTCGGGGTTGCCGACCTGGGTCTTCAGGTATTCGATGTTCTTGACAACGTAGTCGCGGACACCGGCCAGGTAGGCGAACTGGAGATCAGTGTCGACGTTGACCTTGACGACACCGAAGGAGATGGCCTTCTTGAACTCGTCGACGGAGGAACCGGAACCGCCGTGGAAGACGAAGAAGACGGGCTTCTTGTCGTTGGTGCCCAGCTTCTGGGCGACAAACTCCTGGTGCTTGCCGAGGAGCTCGGGGTGGAGCTTGACGTTGCTGCGAGGGTCAGCACCGGGGTTGAGCTGGGAGTACAAGGTGAACGTGACTTACCCAGGCTTGTAGACGCCGTGGACGTTACCGAAACCAGCAGCAATGCTGAAGTAAGGGCTGATGGGGTTCAGGGTCTGGTAGATGGCGTAGATGTCCTCGGGCTGAGTGTAAAGGGAGTTGTTGTCTGGCGGGGTTGTTAGTCAGGTCTGACGGAGCAGAAACGATGGGGTATCGTTGACATACCAACATCCTCGTTGTTGACACCGTCCTCCTCACCACCAGTGACTGCACAGTTATGTTAGCTACCCGACCGTCAGAAGCTCGCATGTTCAACGGCTGCCTTACTTCCGATCTCCATCTCGAGCCACAGCTTCATCTGTTGGCAGTGCGTCAGCGGCGGCTCCTGGCAGGTATATGAGCTTCAACTTACGGGAGCAGAGCGCTTGAGGTACTTGGCGGTGGTCTCAATGTTGTAGGCAACGTCCTCTGTGTTTTTGTGAGCGGCGTTAGACGGGCAGGAGCTGCGGCAGATCACGAACCCTCGGAGAGATCGATCATGTGGGAGGAGAAGAGAGGGGTGCCGGAGCGCTTGAACTCCTCCTCGTCGGCGGCAATCATGCCGTCGAGCCATGGCAGAAGCTTCTTGCTGGGACGGCGGTCAGCATTTGAGAGAGCCCCAAGGGCATGGCGAGGCAAGTATCAACTTACGCGCAGTGGTCGGAGTGGAGGACGACGGGGACGCCGTAGATGGGGGCAATGGAGCGGATGTAGTGGGCAGCAGCGATGGCACCGGCGACGGAGGCCTCCTGCTTCTCAGCGCTGTTGGGAATGCCCTTGCCGGCGAAGTAGGCGGCACCACCCTGGGAACTGGAGAGGTGTCAGAAGTTTTGCAACATGGCGGCGGCGGTGGCGGCGGGGTGGCTTCTGAGGGTTGTGACGTACGTCTGGAGGATGATGGGGGACTTGGCCTCGCGGGCAGCCTCGAGAGCGGCAACGGCGGTGGAAGAGGAGGTCTGCGACGCGGGGTCGTTGTTAGCCGACTGTCACCAGAACGCCCCTCATCTCACAGCACTTCATTCACCACGACAGGGGATTGATGGATAGGTGGATGTACTTACAACGTTGGCAGCGGGAATGGCAAACTCCTTCTCCTTGGCGTAGGTGAAGAGCTTCAGCAGGTCGTCGCCATAGACGACACCGGGCTTGATGTTCAGATCCTGGAGGAGACCCATGGTGGATGGTGGGGTATGTGACGTTTGAAGGTGGTTAGTTCTTGTTGCGGGGTTGTGCAGGAGATTGAGCAGTAGGGACTCTGCGACTTGATGCTGATGGTTAGAAGCAAAAAGGGGAGAGAAGGTTGCAAGGTTGAGGGGTTGGAGAGAGGAGAGAGGAGAGAAGAAGAAGAGGCAGGAAAGTTTGGAATCAGGTGGACGCGGCCGAGTTATGTTTGATTCACACGAGCGGGATTTTAGTCGGGCTGGCTAGCCATGGCATCAGTCCAGTCAGTTCCGCCTGGCTGGCGTGAGGTGCATAGGTACATAGGCCCGAATCGGCGTCCACCTGAGAAGGAGCTCCGCTCTGCCAGCTCCCGCGTTGTGTCGTTGCTTCTTGTTCCTGTTCCCGTTCCCGTTCCTCTTCCTCTTCCACTTCCTGGCCAGCCCAGGCAAGGCCGGGCAAGGTCCCTCGGGCCTTGCAATGATGAAGCAAACGGTGCGGCGAGGTACCTACGGTGAGCTTCCCTCTACGAATGTACCTTGTCTTTCCCAGAGCGGGAGACACCTAGGAAGGTAGCTGGGTAGGTAGCTATCCAATAAGGGTATCTAACACATAGCTACCTACCTAGGTAGTATACTATAATAAGACACGAGCAGGACCTCCGAAATACCATGCGTAAATAACCCGAGTCCCCAAAAATATACGCCAGCGTTTGACAATGTCCGATGAGAGAAACACCGCTATGCAACGATGGGAGAGTGAGTGTCTTGTCACCGTCTCAACCTCTTGGAGTTGTTGAGGGGCAGGAGGGAGGGCGAGGTACCTCCGCCGCGCAGGTCCATGTACCTTTTTTTGTCTTTATTTATTTATTGCCCTTGGCAGGACGAGCTGGAACGAGTCACAACGACGCCTTACACATAAGGTACCTTACCTAAGGTACCTTTGGAAATTCAAACGCGAACAACCCCTCCCCCACCCACCGGACCAAATTGACGTCAAAAAATAATAATAATCATGGCCTGCACTGCCCGCCAGAGTAATTGGGGTCAGGGTCCCCCACCATTCAATCCCCCGCCGTTCTTGATTTTTTTGTGTCCTTTTTTTCTTTTTTCTTTTTCTCTCTCCGTGGCTTGTTGTGTGGTGTATTTGTTTCATTGTGCCTAGGCAGATTTTGCTGTGTCTTTCTATTTCGGGTTGATTGGGCGACAGACGAGGTATCATTGAAAATGGCGTGGTCCAACTCTTACATACGTGGTGTGGTGCACTCTGTAGGTACCTCCCCGCTGTTGGCTGCTGACAGTCATGGCCTTTTAAATTGACTTCCCACCTCCTGATATCTCGGCCTTATTATGGTGTCCGCTGCGCGATATTTAATGGGGGAACCACGCGAATATCGAATGACTCGAGTGCCTGGCTTTCTATTCGAGCGCTGCGTACTGCCTGGTTTATTGCCCCTCCCTCTTCCCAAGGCCACCTTCACCGAGCAAGTCTCGGTGTAATCTTCCCATCTATACATCCATCCCGTCTGTCTGTCTGTACGTCCGTCCTGGAAGACCGGCGATGCCTTTCGGGTGACTTTCACGCTGCTCGCAACAACAAATCTCCGTTGCACACCATCCCTGCATCCCGACCCCCCTCCATCCCATTCTGGCTCCCTCACATCGTGCAGGCTAGACCCCGGAAAAGCACGGCCAATCGCGCCGCTTCATGACGATGACCTCCCCGGCCATGCAATCATTCTTTGTGCCATTCCCGTCTGTTTCCTTCCACACCTGGCCAGCCTTGACCATTGCCGAAGCCCGGGAAGTTGCGGGATCGCATCGGGCATCTTGACCCTTCGTCCGCCGACAATCGAAATCTCACGACTCCAACAGCCAGCCTTGTGGCCGCCACTTCCTCGGTCCATGGCCTGCCCCCCCCGCCATTTTCTCCAAGCGTTGCCCGAGAACTCCCACCCGGCTCGGCTCTTCTCGTGTCGTTAAGCATCGTGGCTCTCCACTTCCAAGACTTCTCGTTCCGTCGTCCGGCGCAATCATGACCTTCATCTCGGGTCCAAACCACGAGCTTGCATATGCCGTGTTATCAGCTTCGGGTCGTTTCCCGTGGCATCCGGCCTGGCGCGTTCATTCTGGGGAATTCCCCCGCTTGCCTAGTCACTTCTTCTCTCGTCTAGTTTCATTATCGTGTACAAACAAACCGCAGGCACCTTCCTTTCTCTTCTCGCTGCTTCCCGTATCTTCATTAGAGCCGTCGCGTCATGGGTATGTATCCGTGCATTCTCCTCCTCCTCTTTCCTATATACCGTTGTCCGATCCAGCCCAGCATCTCTCACACCCAACTTTGTGTCCCCCGCTCTGCCATGACCCCAAACTCTAGTCCAGATCCAGATCCTTCATCGCCTCCGCAACAAACGTCTCGTCCATTTGCCGGCCCGAAGATACCCTTCCATCGAGTTGCGCCCCGGCGTCGTCCCCAGCTTCGCTAGTGCTTCCCTCGCTCTCCGTCTCCGGGGGCGTCTGCAGACCGGTGACGCCGCGTGCCCCCATGTTTCGCTTCAGCATGCACATCTCCACCGATATACCCGGTCCGAACGCACACCCCACCACGTAGTCACGGACACGGCCGTCTGGCGCAACGGCGTCCATGTCTTTGGACCGCAGCCGGTCCATAACGCTGAATATTGTTGCCGAGCTCGAGTTTCCGTGGTTGATGTAAGTATCGTAGCTCGCTCGCATGTGGTACGACGAGATGCCCATTACCTTCTCGGCCCCCGATAGAATTGTGGCGCCTCCGGGATGCATCGCCCAGTCAAAGTCGTCAGCGTTTTTGTACGACGGTGGCAGTGAAGGGACGGACGCGAGCAGCTCTTTAAAGGTTGACGGAATGGTGGCCGATGCGAGCTTGGGGACCTTTGGCGAGAGAACCACCTTCCATCCTAGGTCGCTCATGTTAGTCAGGACGTCCGGGACAGGTGGTGGCCAGGAAGGTCTTTTGCTTACCAACGGGGTCGACATCGAACCCTAGATCCTGCTCTGTATCGGGAAGGATCTTGTGCTCCCAGCCCAGCAGGTCATATACGGACTCTGTCGGCTCGCCAACACCATTGCTAAGCACCACGGCGCTGGCGCAATCGGAGAAGAGAGCGACGCCAATCCTCGTTTCTTGGAGCTGGTCGATGCTGTCCAGCTCGCTGCGCACCATTGTCGTGCTCACCTCGAGCGCGACGCAGAGAATCCTCGCCGGCTTGTTGCGAGCTTTGTGCCCCAACGCCAGGTTCGCCGCCGTCCTCAGCGTCGCCAGACCCCCACTGCAGCCGACTCCGTGAAGCAGCACCTTCTCGACCTGGTGCGTGATGCCCAAGCCCTTGACTACATAGTGGTCGAAGCCGGGGTTGGCGCTGTCGGTGCACGTGGTCGACACGACGTGTGTGATTTCGCTCAGGTCGATGCGAGCCTCCTCGATGGCCTTGCGCGAAGCTTCCACCGCCAACGGCACGCCGTCGCTCATGAAAACATTGTGCAGCTCGGCGATGGAGGGCGCATCCTTGTTATTTACCACGGGGTGTTCATGGGTGCCGATGGACGACCGATAGTCAATGCCGGTGAAGCGATTGATGGCAAGCACTTTTTTCATACTGTTGGTGGGTCAGCGAGAATGCTCAATGCTCAATGCCCGATGCATCATGCGATGGCAGTGCACTCACGAAGGTGAGTCGGGGTAGAACTTGTTGCTCAGGTATTCTATGGAATCTGTCTTCAAGGAGTATGGCGGGTACTGGCTGCCGACGCCGATGATTGACAGACCGAGGTCTTGAAATGTGTTGGGAGCCGCCATCGTGAATGGTGAGAGAGGTGCGATGCGGGGGAGGGGTAGCTCGCGTTAGGCTGGTCGAAATCAAGTAAGATGTGTAGGGGGAAGGAAGCCAAGGCACTCAATGGCCAAAATCATGAAGAAAAGAGCTTGTAGAAGCCCACGAGGAGCTGTGGGAAGGGTCTAGCAAAGAGGCAAAGCCGGAAGCGAATGGCAATGGCTTGTGCGAGAAGGACTGGAGTGATGATATCACCCGCGACAACGGTAGGCAGGCGAACGGAGCACACCCAGATAGAACGACAGACAGAACAGCACGGGGTGGGTGGATGGATGAATTGGGGGATTTTTGGGCATGTGCTAAGAAACGACGAACAATCTAGGTATGCGAGAGGCAAAAAGTCGGTCAGTTTGATCAGGTAGGCTCGGAGCAAGTAAAATGGAAAGGACGGCTACCAGGCTCATGCACGAGGGAAACATAATAGTGACGGAGGCACGGCACGGCACGGCATAGGTTAGGTAGCATGGGGTGGTCGGTCCTTGGTGGTAGCAGCTAAGACACGTAAGGCCGACCTCGTCTGGTTTGTACCGTCTTGTTTTTTTTTTTTTTGGCACAAGCTGTTGTTCTCTCCAGGCTCAACAGATTCGCCGAGGCACCAGGGGCGGTTTTGGTGGGGGTGATTTAGTAACCGGCCTGCCGTCCCGTGCCGTCTTGTAGTGTAGCGGACGATGGATGGGATGGTTTGGTTTTGCTGCTGCTTTCTCTCGTCTCTCGTCTCTCGTCCTCAGACGTGTGCTTCCTTCCCTTGTGACGAACTCGGGGACGGAGGTATGATTGCACCGTTTCATTATGCATGTTCATCTCCCCCCGGCTCCTCATCCTGGAATGGAATGCAAGTGTATCCGTACGCAGGATTACTAGGCAACGGGGTAACATTGGGGCCGGTAAGGAAAGGAAAGGGAAACAAAGCCCACCGGAGCTGAAACTCTGCCTGAATCCAATCCTCGGAGCCGGGCGTTTGCTTGTCTACCTATCTAAACCTCCTTCAGCATGTGGAATGTTAGAGCAGTACCTTTTTAGAATTAACAACTCACCCGGAGAACACAAGTACTATGCTAGCTGACCTTCAGCATTCTGGAGCAGGCTCATCTGGGCAGAGGTTTCGTAGAGTACGTAGCCTTGGTTGCGCGACGCAGACCCCTGCTCCTGCTGCTGCTACTTTGTGATGGGAACCGAGTGCGGTGGAACTAGCCGTATGCCTACATAGTATCCGTAGTGTAGGTAGGTACCTAGGTAGCTATGGCTAGCCTATAAGTGGGTATTAGCTGTCTGTCTGTTGTGGCCGGCGAGTATGTCATTGAAACGGGGAAAAAAGAGGCTGTCAGGAACCAAGAGGCGATTATTGGGCTACCAATCTGACATGCGTGCTATGGCTGAAAATACCATGTGCCGACGTACACGTGTTTGCACGTTGAAGGGCCTGGCTTCGAAGCTGATGCGTTGAAGGGTCTGTGTTTTCTCCTTTTGTCTCATGCCCATGCAGTTCAGCAGCACCGGACGGCATGTCTCGTCCGATCAACATCGGCCCGTCCGAAGACGCCCTTTCTGTCCGTCTCTCCAATGGCATTTCCGCTTGACATGTTTCCCGTAATGATTCATGATTTTCGTGACTATCCATTCGGAACTGCTTGCCTTGGCTATCGACACACGCCAATTGCCTTAAGGGTATATGCTGGCTCGCGTGCCTTGCTCCATGTGGATGTGGCGAGTGGAGAGCTCTCCCACCACTGACGAGAGCTAGTGTAGACGTAATTAACCATCGACATGAATTGCTCCGAGTCCTCAATCACTTGCCTACCTAGGTAGCTATGTAAGCACACTAATCCCACGCAGAACTATCCGTACAGTGCCTACCTAATGCATAGAGACTGGACGAGTATCCGTATTGCAAACGCAGCTTTTGTGCTGACACGTCTTCGAGCCTGGTTTACTAGGCTAATCGGAATTTTCATTGAGGAGACGTCGCCCTTTTTCCATCTACGCCGCTTAGGGTTTCTGTAGCGATGATGCGCTCTCAACTAACATATGCAGAGAAAGCTTGACAGAACAAACTTCAAATCCTTGGTGAAACGCGGCACCACCTGATAGCCTCGACCTCCACTACCCTCCTTCATCAGCTCGGGCATTCGAGTTGCTCCGCAGCCCGACTTAACCCCCCTCTTTCTCCCACAATGCCGCTCTTCCAGGCCAGCAAGCTTCCTTTCTTCCTACACATCGCCATCGAGACGGCCTCCGCCTGCTCTTTCATCTTCAACCCCGCCAGCCAGCTCCCAGACCCGTCTCCCGCCACCCGACTGGTGCTGCAGTCGTTTGGCGGCCTGCTGCTTAGCACGAACCTGGTATGCCTCGCCTTCGTCGCGCGGCCATTTGACGAGACGACCAGGCGAGTGGCGGCGGCGTTGGCATTTTGGCACGCTTGGCCGTGCTGGCGCGCCTATGTACGGCTGGCGAGGCCCGTGGTGGATGGGACGGGCAAGGATAAGCACAAGGGCGAGTTAGTGAAGAAGACGCTTGGTGGGCCGGGTGTTCATCTAGCAGTACATGTTGGGATGTTCGTGTTATTCGCCGGGGCCGCGCTTGTCGGATAAAGAGCTTCACGCCTGCGGATCCTCCCCGACGAAGACGCGCCGTCTCCGCATCTATGTAATAACAGTCGACTCCTTTTTTCTGCTCGACAGCCATGGTCTATATATATATATATATACATACATATATCATGCGGACATCTTCATCATGTACAACTCTGTAGGCAACAAGCTCTCACACCCCGCCTAGACCGTTGCTTCAGTTGCGGAACAACCGCAGCCCGGCCTCCTCGGCGTCAACATCCTCATCGTCCTCCATCTCCGCGTCGGATGCCTGCTCGCTCAGCTCCATCTTCTGCCCGAACAGCGTGCCGAACAACCGGTCGATCGCGTCCTGCTCCCACGCCCTCCGGTCTTCGGGCGCCATGAAATTCTGCAGTTTCTCGTGCACGTTGAACCGCATCTTACGGCCCTTGCTCGCCCTCCTATCGACGTGCTTCTTCGTCTTGGCCTCCTTCATGGCCGCCCACCGTACCGTGGGCTGCGCCGCCGTGCCGCCGCCGGTGTCGGACGTGCGCTGCTCGACGAGCTCCTTGAGGAGCAACTGGTAAAAGTCCGCGTCATCGTAGACCTCCGGGTCCTCGTTGACCTTGCGCGCCACCTGCGCAGGCGCACAGGACCGTGGCGTGCGCGTGCGCTTGACCAGGCGGTCGACGTTGAGAAGCTGGTCCTCGAGGCTAGCGACGATCGACGTCTGCGTTGAGACGAGATTGCGGGACTTGACCTCGACGTTGGCGCTGCGCGTCTTGGCGGACCACGTCTCAAGCACCTTCTTGCGGTACTTTGACGCGCGCTGCTCGGCCTCCTGAATGCCCTCCCAGATGGCCTCGCTCGACGTCGAGGTATCGTAGTCGCCGCGCTTGCGCTTGGCGCCAGCAGCCTGCTGCGCGAGCTCGGCGGGGAGCAGGCTGGCGCGGAAGCTGTCGAGGGTGTTGAGCAGCTTGAGCGCGGCCTCCTCGGCGGCCTCGTACGGCTCCGAGCTCTGCCCGCCTTCCTCTTCATCACCATCTTTGGAGGGGGGCTCGACCGCGGAAAAGGAGTTTGTCGCGACGAGGGCCTTCTGAAGGCGGATGCGGATGTTGAGGAGGCCGTCAAAGGTCTTGCGTTGCTCGCGGACAGCCAGGCCTTTCTGCGCGTCCTGCTGGACGGCGGCGGAGATTGTGGCCGCGAGCGCCTTTTGGCCTTCGCTCATGAGCTTGCGCTGCTCGGCTCGGGCGTCGGACTTGGAGGATTTGCGGCGCGGCTGGTCGTCGTCGTCCTCCTCGTCGTCGTCCTCCTCGTCGTCGTCCTCGTCAGAGACGTCTGAATCTTCTTCGGAGTCTTCGTCATCGCCGGAGCCAATTTCCGCGTCGTCCTCGTCATCTTCATCGTCTTCTGAGCCCTCAAGATCGCCCAGAAGATCCTCATCGTCGCCGTCGGAGCTTTCGAGATCTTCGTCGTCGAGCTCGGCACCCTCATTGTCGTCATCGCTGCCCTCCTCCTCGTCAGAGATGAAGTCGGCGGCCTTGAGCCTCTTGTCGCGACTCCCCTTCTTGTCTTTGGGCTGTGAGGTGCTGCGGGAAATGAAGCCGTGGAGCTCGTCGTCGCTATCGCCAAAGGCGTTGTCGCTCGAGATTTCAACATCTTCATCTCCGACAGCGGCTTCGTCGGCGGCCAGGTCAGCGGTTTCGGGGTCGTCGAACTCTTCACCGTTCGAGTCGAGGTCTTCCCGCGCATCCTCGAATACGTCGCTGCCGTCCTCGTCGCTCGAATCGTTCAACGCATCCCGACTGACGCGGGCGCCACGATACTGGGGTCCGAGGGAAACGCCCTCCTTTTCGCGGAGCTTGCTCTTGCTGCCGCGATGGTTAGCCTTCTGCAACGACAGACCTGCAAATGGTGCGTATCGTACCCAACGGTCACATAGTGCTCGGTGCCCGCATTTTCATCAGCGGCCTCTTCACTGCCGCTTTCGTTTTCGCTCTCCTCGATAGGTTCGGCCTCGGGATCGCGGTCTGTAAAATAGTGTAAGTACTTGCAGGAGCGTAGTCGCTTGGAAACCTTATGCATTACCCTTTGGTGCCTTCTCTTCCCAGTCGGAAGCTCTTCTGCGGGTGGCCATTTTGTTTGGCTACTGCGGTTTGTATGGCAACGGATCGAGGAACTCTAGGCGAAATTTCTGGGCTTCAGAAACTTTTTGGTGGTGTCGCGCGGCAGAAACAGGGACCCCACCATCCATTCATCATCCATCCATCCTTCCCATCGACTTGTATTATATAAGCTCGGCTCCCTCTTTGTACGGATAGTTCTTCACGGTATACGGACAAAGAACCAGAGAGCAGCTAACTAACCTCAACGCACCTTGGCCAGATTTCGAAATGTTTCAAAGTTTGAATTCCGACTGCTCATATTCCGAGTTTGTTTTAGTGTCGCAGTGCGTCGATGATTATACAGACTACCTACTCTGCATGTATGTGTACTTAGTTAGGTATCTACCTATGATTTCGTCTTACTACCTAGGTAACAAACATCAACTTTGCGTTGCTAAAAGGCCCAATAGCCAGCCAGCCAATCAATTCACGATCGCATGCTACGCTCCTGGCTCATCACGTGATGGGGTGCGGTGCGGTGCGGGATGCGCTAGCCACCTGTCAGCGGAAGATGCCCCATTCCATTTCCAGAGAAGTGACGCTAAGGAAAGAAAGTACCTACCTTGGGGGCAAGTTTTGGAAAGAGACTCGTTCATTACTCGCCTGCTTTTCACGTTCACGAACAAGGCCCTGGGATAAGAAGCACTGGACAGAAAAGCAAGAGATCCTGCCGGGGGGGTCTCGCTATGCGCAATGGAGCAGATTGAGACGCAAGTCAGCGACTTGCGCTACTTGACCCAAGCAGCCATCCCTCTACCGCCCGACCGCGCTGTTCCTTCTCCACACAATCACTCTACTCATTCCCCCCTTTCCGCGACACCCGGAGACAATTCCGCGCAACACCCAGGCCAAACTGCCGCCGGCACGCCTGGTTCGAGCTCTGTATCGGGTTCCAAGAGGAAGTCGGAGGACGAGAGTAATGCTGCAAAGCAGCAAAGGAGCAAGAGGAATCGGGTTCGTTTGTCCCTGCAATCAGCCTGCCACTAGCCATAGCCATCCCCCCTCCCACCCCCCAGAGTGCACCTCGCTCCTGTTCCCGGCCTGTGCTGCCATGTTCCTCTCGACCCAAACCCTGTGGAAATCCAGAAAGCTAATTACCGTTCCTGTCCCAGTACATATCCATTGCCTGGTAAGGACAGCTCTGTCTCCGTCATGTCTACCGTGCAGGCGTAGCCAAAGAGATCCATCCTCTTGTGTGCGCATGCCGGATTGCCCCAATGTCGTTGCGGCGGCTCTACGCCTCTACCTGTTTGGATCAGACAGCCCGGCCGAACGAACCCTTCCTTGCCTCTGCTCAAACAGGTTCTCTTTGGCCACGTGCCATAACAGTCCAAGACCACTAATATCACTAACCGTTCTTCTCTACAACAGCAACGAATGCAAAAGACGCAAGATCAAGTGCAATGGCGAGACTCCCTGTCAACGATGCGGCAACCTCAACCTGGCGTGCCTATACGCCCCAAACTGTTGCTCCAACAGCTTCAAGGATTCGGACGAGTACAAAACCATGACGGCGCAGATGGCGCACCTGCAAGAGCAGGTTGATGCTCTCTATCAGAACATGAACGCCCTCCGTTCCGAAACTCTACGTCTGGCTCCCATCCAGGACAAAGCATTGCCTCTCCCCTCGGGCACATTTCAGGCCTCCCCAGCGAGCTCGCTGTCTACTCTCCATCGGCCTGAGTTGACCCAGTCCAAGCAGGCATCCTTCCGCGGGCCAACCAGCATGGCCTTCAGTCTTGACGTCGCAAACACCACCATTTATAACATGGGCTACAAGGGCATAGGGGATGGCAACGATCGGGGCACACAGTTGGGGATACCCGAGGAGAGCCCATTTCTCATGGCTCCCCGAGAGAGTCAGGTCGACCCGTTGTGGGATTTTGGAAAGGACGAGATGATTCGCCTGTGTCGGTTGCATGAGGAAGAAGTCGGCATCATGTATCCTGTGATCAAGATACAGTCCGTTATTGACCATGTCCGCCAATTGACAGCTTATATGGACTCGGCCAGGAAGCAGGGTCTTACACCCAGTTTCAACGACGAGAAGACACTCCAGCTCAAGATTGTCATGAGCTGCGCCCTGGTTGTAGAAGAGCACGGCCATAGCGAAAGGGCATCCAAGCTGATTGACAGCATGGAGGCAATACTCAACCGGAAGCTCATGGTCGAGGCTGCTGACTCTGTGAGTCTTCCGGCGCTGGCCCTTCTTGCTGGCTACAGGTTTCTGGCCAACGAGGAGATCCTCGCATGGAGAGTCATGGGTCAGGTTACTAGGTTATGCCTGGAGATGGGCATCCATCGAACAACTGGCATTGCCAAGATTCGAGACGAAGAGGAAAGAAAGAATGCTTTGAACAGCTTCTGGTCGGCCTATGTTTTGGATAGAAGGTGGGCCTTCAACACAGGTCTACCGTTCGTGGTTTCAGACGAGGAGATTGATCCAGCTCTACCTATGCCCGTAAGTAGTCTTTTTCTTTTCTTTGCAGTAGATGAGAATGAAATCTCGCTCACATATGAACAGGAAGAGTATCCGTATCTCGTCGCCATGATCACCTACTCAAGGCTGGGAGCCAAGGTTTGGCGCCAAGTTGCTCACTTCGGCCCTGTTCTGGCCCGCGAGCTTCGACACGAAGACATGGAGCAGCTAGATCAGGAAATCCTGCAGTGGTATGACAATGTCCCAGAAGAAGTCAAGCTTCGTGGCTGGGACAAGGAGAAGCAAATGACGTCAACACCGTCGTATAACCTTCAGCGACTGCGTATCTGGACATATCTTCGTTTCAATCAGGTCCGTTGTTACTGATCGGCGAGCAAAGGCGAGGATGGTGCGACGCTAACATCCTTCAGATTCGTATCTGGCTATATACACCGATCCTTCACAGTGCTACAAGCATAATGAGCCATTTCGCTCAGGCCCAACGTGTCGTCGACCTCGCAAAAGATACGATTCGCTATCTTAGCCACCTTAACAACACCACGAACCTTTACCGCAAGATCCAGGTCTTTTATCACCAGTTTCTCACATCCGCAATATCTGTCCTCTTCTTGGCCTCCGTACACGCGCCAGTAAGGTTCAGTTCCACTTGCCGCGAAGAGTTCTACATGGGGCTGGAGCTTGTCAAAGACCTTTCGGCCAAGAGCTGGGTATCGCAACGGCTGTGGCGTACAATCAGTTCACTGAAGGAGGTCGCGCCGAGCATTGGCTTGCGCAATCAGTCGGATGAGGATGCCCATAGCTCTGCGGCCCTGGCGATGGCCGGCTTAGCCAGCGGGCAGATGTCAACCAGCCCAGCCACGATTACCCCCTTTGGTCGTTCTTCCCTCTCGACGACGCCTACGATGCATCAACAAACGCCCAATTTGGAGACGGCACAATCACCGAACAACGGCGTTCGCATTCAAACTGAAATGAGTCGCATTTTCGAGGGTTACATGGGGCTTAATGGAAATCCAGCTGGGGGAGAAGACGGTTTTGGGGAACAGCAGTCGAGTGCCAATCTGCCCCCCAGTGCTTCAAGCCCCTACGTTGACAACGTCTTTTTCCACTTTAGAGAAATGTTTTAGGGCTCCTATGGGTCAAGCCACATTCCGTTTGTGTGGGCGGCTGTTGGTATCATGGGGGCATTTATCGACCGAGGTCGGAGGGGTGACGAATAATTGGGATGCGGTGGTTATTCTCGATTGTGAGTGAGGGTTAAGAAAAGTAGTCCTTGTTGAAAGGTATGCCATATCGGAGATAAAGCCTCGTGACCAGCGATAGCTGGCGGTGCCCAGCATTGCCGAAACCCAGGTTCTTGCGCCGCCAGCACTTATGTAATATGTACAGACTATTGTATTTACATGAAGAACAGTTTAATGAATCTCAATATATACCTCGAAACCGAGCCAAGCTTACGTCCATGTGATTCCTCACAAGCCAAACCACTTCAGGTCCTCACTCACATGAACGGGTACAGTATGCCCAACACCTTGCGCAGAGACGCCCATAACTTGAGTGCCATCACCATAGATAATCCGCGTGTAGCCGGCGGAGGGTGAGTTCGTGATGTTCGTAGTAGGGCTGACACCGTGGATAGTGGACCACTCCTTGAGCTGCTCGTACAGGTTAGGCGGCCTGACAAGCCCGTCCGCCGTGCCGTGGTACGTTTGGATGCGCGGGTAGCTGCCAGTGTAACCCGGATACATCTGACGCACCTGGGAAGCCCATTGGGTACCCGACTTAATGACTTGGGCGTTAGCACACTTGCCATCGGAGGTGGTAGGGCTTGAGCCTGGCGATCCCGCGACGCATCCCGCTGCAACACCCGAATAACACGTCGCCGCGGCGAAGATGTCCGGGTACGTGGCAGCAAGCACATTAGTCATCATGCAGCCCGACGAGCTTCCCGTGACGAAGACGCGCTTCGGGTCAGCGTTATAGCGCGCAATCGCGTAACGGACCATGTTGGCTAGACCTGTGGAGTCGCCGCCACCGTCGTGCTTAAGGGAGGCTGCAGAGGCGACGTCCCAGCAGTTGTTGTCTCTGGTGGAAGACGGGTAGATGACAAGGAAGTTGCGCTTCTGATCAGAGGCCGCGATGTAGTTGGCCTGCTGGGCGTAGGCGTGGCCGGAGCCACCGCAAAGGTGGAGGGCGAGGATGATGGCGGGATTGGGGGCCATGTTGGGAGGAACGGAGATGTCCATGGTCAGGCCGGTCGGATTGGCGCCGAAGTTCCCGACACGCTGGAGGGCCGCCTCAGCTTGGGACAGGAGGGGGAGGAGAGCAAGGAAGAGGCTGCGGAAATGCATCTTGGGCAAGCGAGTGACTGATTTCCAGAATCTGGGTTGATGCTGAAGCTGAAGGATGGTGATGAGTTCAATGAAAGAGGCTCCGTATCAGGAAGCAGCTCTTATATAGATACACACGCAAGGGTCCCATCAAGGGGATCTCTGGTTTAAATGAAAGGAGCCCAAAGGGGGAACCTTGTCCGTCGCGTCATCCCCAGCCTAAGTGCATGCATGGTATTCGTACGGCTGTTACTATAGGGCTTCCAAAGCATTCAGCAGTCCTCATGCTCTGACGTGCTCCTGTTTCCTTCAAGCAAGGTATTCGCATCTCCGAGAGCCTCGCTTGTGATATGTCAACCGTCGAAGTTGCAGATTAACAAGCGGCTATAGCGTACACCTTCACCGGTCTACATCGTGACCCAACCTCTGAGGCACATCCTGGATCGACATTATTAAAATGTATAAGCACTAAGTCTTACCAGATGTTTAGCAGGAGCAGAGTGTGTCTATCCGTACTACAGGGTGGCAGGGCCAAGTTAATTACCCCTATGATGTTACCCCCCACAGCTGATATCATAATAGAGGGTGAATATTCGCCAAAAGTGAAGTCCTGTAGTAGGGGGGTGAACATTAGTTACCTAACAGGGGTAAATTAACTTCGGCCTGGTACCATCGTATATGTGTATACGGAGGAGCGTGTCAAAAGTAGTGATCCATAGTGCCAAGGCCTACCCCCTGTTAATTAACAGGGGTAAATGCAGGGGTGCCCTCTACAGTTGATTGCAGCCACCATTTCATATTATAGTCTGGCGGGTTATTTAGTTGCTCTTGATGTTATTAAATTGCTAATAGATTATTGTTGTCAAATAGTAGGGATTGTAATGGTTACTTGATTGATTATATGATATGTTGTGTGTGTCTATAGTGAATTACTATAGAAATAGGGAAAACCCCCTATTTCTTGGTTAGGAAATCCCCGGCCAATCCTGGCGATATTATTAGTGGACTTACCACTAGAAGTAGGGCTAATTCACCACCTATTCCCTAACAATTCGCCGTAGGGCAACTGTGTATTTGCTAGCTAATTTATATATAATTCCGCTACATTTAACACACCCCCTTAGCGCTAGTAACGCAGTTAATTACTATAAAGCCTGCGCTAAATATTTTCTATATATAGCCTATTTATTTATTAATTATCCTTTAATATCCTATACGTTTTCCTCCTCTATCTAGTAGTAAAGCTTTACTTTATTATTAGCTAATTCTTACTGTTAATTTACTTTAAGGCGTACGTATTAGTTACTTATATTTAATTAAGCTATAAATATAGTAAATTATAGCGCACTAAGCGCCTTTATTAATTTATTAGCTATTAATTTAGTAAACTTCTTATATTTAATAGTAATTTAATTTACTACTACTTCTTATTATAGCTAGTAGTTATAAATATCTATATACTATAGCCTTATTTATAGTTAGATAAGCTTTTTAGTAATAAGCCTAATAGTCTAGGTATTATTATAGCTAATATAAATAGTTAGTAGCTATTTAGTAGCTACTTACTTATTAAGTAATAATTTAGTTCCTATTTATATTAATAGTTAAATACCTAGCGTAGTAATTAATCTACTAGTAAAAAGCGCCTTCTTTATAGTAGATAATAAGGCTAGTAATTTAGCCTTAGTAGTTAATATTATTACTATATCTTATTTATTAGCTTACTAAGAGATAAGCTCTTTAAATAGCTTTAGTATATACGCTTATAAGCTGTAATAGTCTAGTAAGTTATTAGTAAATAAGGTGTCTAAAGTAACCTTTAATATATTATCTTTACTGCCTAGCGTTACTTTATATTTAAGGTAAAGGTGCTACGTTTAGTAAAGATATCTAAGTATATAATTTACTACTTTTTAGTAATCTAGATTTAGATTATAGTTAAAGTAGGTAAGCTAGCTAGCTATAAAAGTAATGTCTAGCTAAGTTATTACTACTATATATAGGATTATCCTTACCTTTTTTTAATATTAGTTAACTTTTTATAATAAGGCTATATATTTACTAAGTAATAGCTTAGCTTTTACTATAAGTAATAATTTATTATATTTATATTTATTATTTATTAGTAGTAGTTTTATTATTTTATTATAGTATACTACTTATAAGAGCTAGAGATAATAGTTACTTTAGTTATAAATTACCTTAAGGCTAAAGAACTACTATAATAGGCCTTTACCTTTAAGGTAGTATTATTACTAAAAAGCTACTATCTTATTACTTACTTATGCTTTATCTATATAGTAATAAGCTAATATATAGTTATTAATATAAAAAAAGAATATAATATAATCCTTTTTCTAATAGTAGTTCTTACTAAGCACTTAGTAAAAGCCCTATATAGTAAGTCTTTTTTTAAGGTGCTTTTATTATAGTAGTAGTAATTACTAAAGCCTATAAAGTACTTTTAATAACTAAAAGATCTAGCTAGTAATTTAGTAGCCTAAAGGTATCTCTATAAATACTACTTTATTAATAGTAGTATAAATAAACGTATTTACTATATTATATTAAAGTAATTCTAGATTAAAGTAAGTAGCTATTACTATAAGTATTTTAAATAATATACCTACTAATATAGCTATATAGGTATCTTATAGATCTTTTACTTATTAGTTACTATAGACTATAAGTCTTACTTTAAATTTAGTTAATTAACTATATTTATTAAGCTTATAGGTATATACCTAATAGTAGCTAAGGATTTAATGCCTTTTAGCTACTACTTATAGTACTATTACCTAAGATTTTAATATTTTATACCTATATAGATACGCTTTTTTAGCGTCTTTAAATTACTTTTTATATAAGTAGCTTTTTAACTATCTATAGATTAGTAGAGGGTGTAGTAACTTCTAATATATACTTATTAGCTTATAAAGTCTAGTAACTTCTTTATTACGTGCTAGTAATTTACTAGTAACGTCTTTATAATTATTATACTTATTAGGCGTTATATAGTTAATTAAGTAGCCTTAGGCACACTTTAGCTAAAGGTAGTAATCTTTACTTATTAGTTAACTTTATAATATACTAGACTATATTACTACTTATAAGCTACCTTATATATAGTCTATAATCTTTTACTATAAAGTAAGCCTTATAAGGAAAGTAGCCTTAAATAAAGTCCTTAGTGTAATCTAACTACCTATATATATAGTAAGATAATACCTTTTTATAACGCCTTTAAATAAGGTTACTACTAGCTAGAGATTGCCTAATAGGCTAGCTATAGTTACTTAGGAATTAAACACCTTTTTACGCTTAGTAACGTCTTATAAATTAATTATATAGAGATAAGATAAGGTATAAGGGATTACTATCCTTATTATTTTAGAACTATTAGTTCTTAATAAGTTGCTAGCTTATAGGCTATTAGCCTTTAATAAATTATTTAAACTATTATTAGCTTTAATTACCTTAAGTAAGTTACTAGCTTGTAGGCTATAGGCTATTAATAAATTAATTAATAGGCTATTAGCTATTAATTTAGGTATTTACCTATTATTTATTTTACTATTAGTAATTATTTTACTATTAGCTATTAGATTAATTAATTTAGAACTATTAGTTCTTATTTTACTACCCCTTATATTAATATTTATAACAGCTATAAAAAAGGCGCTTAGTAGTAATAGTAGTAAAGTAAGGAGAAGCGTAAACTTTACCTACTTATATAAATATTTTAGTATATTACCTAATTATAAAGCGCTTAGTAAAGTAATATTAGTATATTTAATTACTTTATTTATTTCTTTATTAGCTTCTTTATATACTAAGGATTAATTACTAGCTGTAATTAGCTTATTAATTTATTATTAAATTACTATAAGATTAGCTTTATAAAGCTTATTAAGTAATCTATTTATTAATCTATTAAAGATTTATTTTTTATTAAATATTACGTTATATATAGTAAAAACCTTATTTTATACTAGATACTAGACGTAATATAAATTACTAAATATATACCTAATAAGGAATCTAATCTATATATAGGTAGTAAGCTTTTACTAGTAGTTTTATAATAGTTATACGTCTGCTGTTAGTATATACGCTTAGTATCTATAGGCTTATAGATATAAAAGATCTAGCTTTACTATTAGTAAAGGCTTAGTGTGCTTATTAAGTATAAAATATAAGTAAAATAATTAATATAGGGATTTCTACCCTTAAGCTGCTAATAGCGTTTAATTATAAAGGTATATAGCTATAGTTATAATTTTAGGCTATAGGACTTTAGGTAATTTTATATTAATTTATATATATTACGCCTTAAGTTTAATAATTATAGTAATTTACTTAGCACCTCTGTTTTAAGCCTAGGTATTTACTACTAATAGCTTAATAGAGATTCTATAATTAAAGAGCGTATCTATAAGTTACTTAAGGCGTAGGATTTCTTAGTTAGCCTTAATAACTTTTAGCGTAATTAAATATTTAGTTTTTAGTATTATAAAGAAGCCTCTTATTATTAATTTAATAGTATCTTAGTAGTAGCTACGTAAGTAGAAATCCTATACTAGGCCTGTTACCTAATCTAAGATTATTATTACTAAGTAGTATCCTATGTAGCCTTATTTAAGATTATAAAAGTCTAGCGCTAGGTAATTACCTAGCGCTATATTTATAATAAATTTATAAGGCTAGTAGTAAATCTGCTACCTTATTTTACTAAGACTATATAAATTATAGTCTTATATTATTATAGCGTTAACTTAGGTTAAATATACTTTATAGGTAGTATTTATAATCCTTTATAAAGCCTTAGTACCTAGGTAGCTAAGACGCTTATACTATATTATTATGTTACTATAGAGCAGTTATTACTACGTTAACGTTATATATTTGTTTCTTACTTATAGGGTTAGTAGTAAATTATTAGTAAAGTGTGTAGTAAAAGCGTCTTTACTTTCTTAGCTATAGCTACGTTACTTATAATATTTAAGTACTTATTAGTTAGC